ATATTCAACTGTTTAGTGAATTGTTTAAATTACATAATCTAAGAGGCGCGTCATAAGTTCGCACAAAAAAAGCACAGGAGTGGACTTGTGTAATAAGTGCGATATACATAAAAATATTAATTAATAATTTTTTAATAATTTAATAATTTTTATAATAATAATAATAATAATAATAATAAATTAATAATAATAATTAATAATTTTTTATTAATTATTTTTATTTCTGAAACGGCCTAATTGGTCAATTGTTTCAAAAATAAATATAATAAATAATAATTTATTATAAATTAATTATTTTAAACATAAGCTCTATTCAACTAATTCATATAATTAAAAAAGTAGAAAATTACTCAATACTTAACAACTTATTTTTAATTAATGTATTTAGTACAAATTTTTAGATATCACGAAAGCGTAATTATATTATTGGGATAATATACCAGGATTAAAACAATACAAATCACTTATTGGTATCTATAACAATAAGATGAACCTATCAAAAGAAAAACTTGGAATCATCACAGAAATCTTTACAGGGCACTGTAAACTAAAGTACCACCTTATAAGACTGGATGTACTTACGGATGCAAACTGTAGGTTCTGCAAGGAGTCGACCACACATTTGCTGTTAGAATGTCCCTCGCTAATGCACATACGGAATAGGCTTAGGAATGTATATTGTTACGGAAGAGGCAATAAAACTCTGTACAGTAGGTTCTATACTACTTTTTATTGACGCAACAATGCTTAGAGACCTACTCTAAACCCAGAAATGGACACAATGGACCTGACGTCCGCAGTGCCACATCCCGTAATAATAATAATAATAACGAATGGTTACAGGCTCCTCGAGGAGGTATGCAGATCTGAGGTCAATTATTGCTTAGTTTGATGAAGTGATAAACAATAATCCAGTCAAGGCGTACAGAAAGGTTTTGAAAATACCTCGAGTTAAGAAAGAGTAAAAGTGCTCAATTGCACTGGCTCAAATGGCTTCAACATAATTAATTATTGTATATAACAATAATATTATTCTAATAATAATATTATAATATTGTAAGGCATCTTAACTGATAACAGTAGTTGTATTCCAATTTATTTCATATTAGACGGTTTTTCTCATCTGCCCAAGTGCAATGTTTACTATTAAGTAACATTTAATTTTATGGCTATTTTACGTTTTGTTTACTAAATATTTTCACTATCAAGCACCAACAACAGCAATGAACAATTGCATTCAATAGAACTGCAAGTAACGTTGCCGAGTCATTGAACTTAGCCTGTAAAAGTTCTAGGCAAGAATATGCAGAAATAGTAGTGCAGGCGTGCGCTCGAGTGCATTGAGATGTGTGCCGTAAATTCTTTGTGTCTTGAATTGAAACATTGAAAGCAAATGTAGCAAATGTAAACACAAGCCAAATAATTATACATAAAATAGTAAATTAGCATCACAATCTGAGAAAGTAAAAAAAAAAACAAATAATAAAAAAGATTAAATCCGAAGAAATTGGGGAGTAGTGATTTTATGTCCCACGCAGAACGTAATTGCGTAACGCTACGTTGTGGTATTGCCGTGTGTAAAAGCCAACAACAAATCAACGCAATCACACAACGCAATGACAAAGTTGAACTGATTGAACTTTAAATGGTAAACCGTCTTCTTCTGTGGTGGGTATTATTTATACGAGTGGTCTGTCATAAAAATATTAAGACATATGTTATGTGTATGGCAATGCCTTTTCAATCTTTAAACAAATCCTATAAAAAGGCAAGAGAACCTTCAGCTTTTTCGAGAAACTTTACTTTATAGTTTCAGTCCATTCAAAATAATTTTTTTTTACTTCTTCCGTCTGCACTCCCATTTAAGTACAACACTACATCGGTACTTAGGGTTTCTCACAACTATTTTCTGAAATCTGATGTAGTCTCATATCAGTTTTCAGCCCATCAAGTCAGTGGAATTGGCATTGCATTACCGTTCGGTTCCCATTTCAGTACCATTTTAGTGTTTTAATGAAAAAATGAAATTAAATAATGAACATTTTCGTACTACGATTTTTTACAATTTTCGATGTGGATTAACCAGAAAAGAATACAAGGATCAACTTAGTTCAATATTTGGTGATGAAATATCACATCCAGTGATTGAAAAATGCCAAATGAACTGAATGAGCTTGAGCGTAAACGTCGATTTCTTCACGACGAATTTTATGAAGGTCGTCCAAGAACGGCTGTTCTATGAATGCGATGCGAGAAATGATTTAGAGGATCGGCATGTTACATACCGGGAGATAGAGGGGTTCTTGGGCATTAGTGGGACCAGCATACAATCAATTTAATATATCATTAGTTGTTAGATTTGTTTCCGTTAGATCTACCATAATTTGACAATAGCTTCAAAGAACACGTTGATTGGTGCAAAGAAATCCTGCAAAAATACGACTGAGATAGCTCAAAACATGTCTACGACATTGTGGCAGGTGATGAATCATGGCACTACGCCCATGAGCCGGAAACAAAATATCAATCCACTGTTTGGGTTTTCCAAAGCGAGCATTTTTATACGTCCGAACACGTCGTTAAGACATTCTGGTAATACCAAAGTCAGAGTGACAAAACTGTTTCGAAAACTGGATCAATCAAATGCAAAAATATATTGATCATACTTTAAAAAATTTTAAAATCATTTTCACTGATTAACCATTGTGTTTTCAATGTTAGACGCAAGACTTAAAAGGCAGCCCTTATTCATATATAAGTATTAGCCATATGTTTGTATATGCGTGTATGCAATTTCTGTAAATTTGATTCGATTAGTTATTAGTTGATTAGTTATTAGTTATTATGATTATTTTATATCTAATGCTATGTGGTGGCACTGATTTACTTAGAAGCCTAGATGAGACTTGAACCCACTAAAACCATCTCTTAGGAATGAATGGAGAAGATTTCCACAGCATTGAGGAAACTTCATTTTATAATTCAAGAGAGAGAGTTGTGAACATATAGGCTAAGTGTTAAGTATTTTATTCATTAATAATATTTATTGTGTTTTCGAGACTAAATTTAAAAACTTTAATGATTGGAATTTTTAATTGCGCATCTATATTGCTAAAACGAAATCACGGTGCATCAAACCACAAATATCAACGAAACTAATTAAGGAACTTTAATATATTTTTTTCAGATTTGGCTCAGTATTAGATCTTCGTTGAGCTTGACTTTGTAAGCTCATAATTTAGTAACATGTCATTTACTATTAAAATATTTAATTTTAAAGTTATAAATGAAATGTCATAGAAAGCTATTTATCTATAAAATTACTGCTACATGTATTTATTTTTCTTAAATTTCCATTAAAGTAACAGCAACTTTAAAGAAGATTAAAAATTTAATTAATGCTGTAAATCTATTTAAAACCTTTTCTAAATATAATCGTACATGCAATATTGCACAGGCACCATGATTCCATATTGACTGTGTCCGCAATCTCAATAAAATGTCATGAATTTCCTGGGTCATGCTCCGTTTTCTTCTTCTGAAGATACAAATTGTGAGTTGTGAGCAACACAGATGTGTGCATTTTATACAGACTCACAGACTCACAGACTCAAAGTGAAATTGTATTTTCGCAAATATTCGATGAAATACGATAACAAAAATGCGATACATTGCGTAGATACAAAGTAATTTGTTTGCTTCGTAAAACGCTTAAAAGGAAAACAAATCTTTCCGGATACATCGACTTTGTCAATAATATCAGCATTCACGATACTGCAGAGGTATCTTCATCTGCTACGTGAGTTGATTTGTGATTTTTAAAATTTAAGTGTCAAATAACAGCACTAAAAACGAAAAAGATAGAAAGATGAAAGAAAGAAATAATAAAAATGCCAGCTAATGGCACTTATATATGTAAAAATCAAAAGAAAAAAACTAAAAATCGACATTTTATTTCAAAATTGATTTCTAAAGACTATAAATATTTTCATTTTAAAAAAATTCTTAAAACAGTTCGTTGATTGAAAATTACTTTCTGGCAGGAAAAAATACCGTTGAGGAAAAGTTTACATGGTATTCTAATCGAGAAAAATCAATTGTAATTTACAAGTTTGGTAAATTAAACATGCCGTACTGCCAACGATGGCAGTGATTACTCTGATCATAGTATGAAGTTGTAACACTCGAAATAATTAAGAAAAACTACAAGGGAGAGTTTATATAGAAAGAAAGTAATAATAATAATATTTATGGTAAATTGACATTCAGTGACAATAGCATCAATCAGCGAAATCACTTAAAACAATCATACCAATCAGCCGAAAACGTCATAGCTTCAATATTTTGGGATGATTTTCACTTCCACTGAGACTGCGTCCACTCAATAATGACTTTTGTCGCGGCTGTTACTCTGAGAATAAGGAAGAAACTATGCTCAATCTCATGTCTCAGTGTCTATCTCTAGCTAGGAAAAAATCTATAGTCTTCGGCACACCTTTTCTTGCTAACCTGACCGAACTGTCATTTTGCGAAATTATGAACTTATCCAAATTCATAGAATTGTTAGGTTGGTTCACCTTTACCTAAAGAGGGAGTCGTTGCCTTTCGGTCGTATACTGGCCTTTCAGTCTGTGTACAAACCAACACTATTCCTGTGGTATCACAACAGTCCATTATTTGACTTTAAGTGAGTTTTCTTGGAGAAAAGACCGCAACTCCAACTCCAACCTAACCTAACCTGTTTTCATGTTTCAATACTTTTCAGTCTATATGTTCTGATGACTATAATTGCTATAAATGTATATGTAATTTTAAACAATATATCATTATTCAATATCCGAGCTTCAATATTCAATGCTTCTTTATCGGTTCAGTATTAGTTATTTTTAAAAATGTGAAGTTAGTATTTACAGATTTTCCATATATTTTTTTAGTATTTCCTTCATATAATATTTTTTGTTCTATTAAATCAATATACTTACTTAAATCAACTTACTTACCCGAAACTGTATCACTCGAGCCCGAAGAACTAACCGGACTTTGCTGTTCTCGTGGACTAATGGGCGTGGGTGGTGTTAATGCTGGTGATGAATTGATACCGCTTGCTGCTGTTGTTATTGTTGATGTAGTTATATTTGTTGATGTATTTAAATCGTCAACTTCATTTTTCAGATGAAAGTTTGTATATGAATTTGAGTTGCCAAAAACAATTCTATAAAAAGGTATAAAAATAAAAATGATTATTATCAATAATTATTATATTAAATCGTTTCTAAAGAGTTCTAAATATGATCAACGGTATTACAAGACATCACATAAGAAATGTTATATGTAAATACCCTTTCTGAAACTTGTCGAAAAGGATTATGTTGTTCAAGTCAGTTTGTTTTTGTTATCCTATCTAGTCAATGTTCCAGAAAAGAAATGGATGTATTTGCTGCACAAAAATGTATATTAATAATATCGATGCAGAACTGAAACAATTTGAAGCCAGGGATGAAACGATACCTCATCCCTCGTATCGCAAATTATTTGTGGTTAAGTGAGCTTTGATGAATAAATCTGCCAATACAATCTAGCTTAACTTGAAAATAATTTACTTTTAATTTTAAGAGTTCATATGTTATATAAGGAAACTATAAATATACGAAGTGTCGGAATACGACAATTTAATTTAATATACTTTATGCGATACTTAAAATCATTGCGGTACGAAAATTTGCCACTATTATTTGCCTATCTTATACGTTCGGAAATTTACTTTAACCTGATCGAATTGAACTGGTGGAAAGTTCTCCATTTCGACATGATTCAGATTGATCCAATACCGCTCGACTTGCTTCGAACCGTAAGATGTAATCCCATTCAATCCAATGACGTCTAGTAGTACATTTAGGATCGAGCAAAGTATAAATTGATATAAAAAAGATTCGATTATTTTTCAGAAGTAAGATAAATTAAAGAAGTTTTAAATTTCTTCCGCCATTCATTTTTCTTTTTAATTTCAAAAGTATGTAACAAATTTTTTTATAATGTTTAAGTAAATGAAATTGTTATTCTGCACTTTTACAAAACCGTGGCAAAATTCAAAGCCCTTATCTTTAGCAAAATCCCTGAAGCGTAAATCCTTGAAAAGACCTTGCGACAAAGCCAGCCCACCACGGAACCTTTCTGCCTGCTAGTTTATTTGAAAATAAAAATATTTATATCAAAGTGAATAAATAAGTAAGCTCCTGTCAAAGAGTGTATATTTGCAATATATGTACATATATATATTAAACTATTGATATACATGTACGAGTATCTGTATCTGACTTTTACGCATATGTGTGCTGTGTAAAGATAACAATTTTATTATTAAAGTTAAACGAATTTGTTAATGAAATCATACAATTTAAGCGCCAAAAGCCGATTGCTTCCAATACTCCAAGGATCGATTTAAAAATAAAATGGAAAAGACATACTTTCCTACTTTCCTACTTTCCCTCCACTTGACAAAGGATGTAAGTGATTTTTCCACAAGTATTTAAAGAATTTTTTTCTGTGTGTGCTCATAAAGCCTAACAAAAATATTATGACAACAAAATATGCCAACAAGGATGCTTCTGTCAAGAGGTTAACGGCAAAATGGAAATGAAAATGAGAACAACAACAAAAATGATAATAATAATGCATGAGAATGTGTTTGAGATGTGCAAAGTATCTTGAAGTGTCTCCAAGGATGGCGCTTCAACAAGAACACTGAAAGCTGAAAACTGAAAACTGAAAATAAGAAATGAGAAATGAGGAATGTAAAATGTGAAATGAGAAAAGAAGAACAATTTTCAGCAGGAAATCGATTTTCATTTCTTTGCACGTGCTACTTTTCATCCACAACAGGCTGAGGCACTGGGGAGTTGTGCATTACAATCAGTAATAGGAAAATGGGAAAATCTTCTTAGAAATATTGTATCCTGTGCACAAAGGCGGTTGTGTTACTAGGACACAATTTTGGATGGAAAAGTCATTTAGTAGAGTTTATGAAAATCTGGAAATAGGTTGTTCATTTTTATATAAACATTTTGTTTACAAAGGACCCACAAGACTTAATATTAATTATACTATCATTGGGTCTTTGATGGAGTTATGCAGAACTGTTATATATTCGTAATTGACAATTGAATCCTTTTAACAATATTAAAAATAAATTAATTATAAAGGTAATGAAACTGACAAATTTGTATTACACAATATACATACATATAAACTTCTTTTCTTAATGTATTATATATACATTATATATGCTGGTACATGCAACCGAATGAATTTTCAATGAAATAGGAGTGAAATATACTAACATAGCTAATATAAGCTAAAAAGAAAAAGTATTAAAGAGGGGTGCCTTAGCACACTTTAAAATATACAATAATATCATATCAGTATATCAGCCCCTCCCCCTAATTTCAGCCTTGGGTACGCCCATGGTTCTATAACAAATATAGAATATCATTTCACTAGATAAACTAAGAGTAAAAGCTAATGTTTGAAGTCATATCAAGGCATTATATTTCAAGATAACTGGGATTCAACTACAAAATCTAAGGAAAATGTATTAAAACCTCTTATAAGATAGTATGCGTTAAAGCCTATTGTTGACTACAAAAATATATGTCTATAAATCAAAAACATTGAAGAACTAAGAAAGATCAAAACATAATGTGTTCACATTTTCAAATTCAAACAATTTTAAAAACAATAGTTCTCATAAAAACGTAATATAGACAAAACAATATTACATTCCGACAAAATCTATGATGATCACCCATCGTTATGTGTCTATGTAGTCTGCGATGTCTATTCTGTTCTTTGATGAAACTGTTATTTTTTATTACAGTAAAGATATTTTTCGTTAAAAGAAAAAGAGCAATATCTATATTTTTCAAAAACCTCGTAAAATCCCAACTAGAGATTCTCCATCACTCAGTTTGTGGTATTTTGTTCATAAACTGGATTAGTCACACATTTATAGATTAAATTACTATTCAGATTTTACTTGAATTCTAAGACAACAGCACATTTTCTACATACAGTGTGCTTGTGGTTTATCGGAGTATACTAATGGTATAACTCCATGGAAAATGTTCGATGGAGCAATATCGGATAATCTTGGTTGCCGATTCATATCAGCATTTTTAAAGATGTCACTGTTTTTACAATTTTTTTTCATTAAATGGTTTTTATCACGAAATAATGACATGTTGCATCATATTGTTTAAACCAAATAAACTCGCTTTATCTACGAAGAAAACCTTCTACAAGCTCATGGAGAAAATCGAAGATGATAGACTTGTGGTTTTCATGTCCTCTACAAAAAGTATTAGCATTCCTGTTATATGGGAAATGGTAATGATCGCTGAAAGGATTCTGAGCGTAGATGACATGTTTCGGTTCTTTAGGTTTAGGCTCTTTAAGTTTAGGTTTAGAACACAGGTTTTCGGATTCGCATTCAAATAAAAAAGAAAAACATATACTCGAAGTCCAAATCTTTATTTATAAACTTTACCGAACTATTATTTTTAAGATTGGAGTTCCACTGGAAGCCTACATCCGCAATTTCTGTGTATAGTGTAAATCTTTTTTTTTAATATAACCCAATAAAGATTGAACAAGATAATACTGCAGCAATCATTATTGAACGTGGTATACTCTAAACTATCTGTTGCAATTAAGATAAATTAAGATTAATAAATGATCAGATTTAAATCTAACTTGTTAACTGCCTTTCTTATCCTATATTTTTTTTTATAAATCTATATTTGTGTACTCCAATCTAATTAGTTTCGTTAAAAAAATTGACCTAATTATATTGGCATTGAATTCTCGGATAGAGTGTACAAGCGTATAGTGTATAGAAATACACAATTTCTTTCAATAACAAAAGTATTTTCTAATAAGTCCATAATCTGTGTAAATTTTTAAAATAAAAAGGTTTTATACAAATGCGACTATGCCACACTATAGCTGATTCTGTATCTCTCTTTTACTAATATTGTATCATCATCGCTTAATAAGTTTTTTTAGTTACTTCTAAAAATACAAATATCTAAAATAATGTACTTGGGTCGAAGAGTCCTATTGGGATAGGGCAAAGCTTTCTCTCGTATTATTATTAAAATGGTCAATATTAAGCTATAAGTTTTGTTATGTTTTATGGTACACCTGGAGAATATGTTTTTATCTTACTTTGACAAATTTGAACCATGTGTTCTCCTAACAATATATCTTGATTAAAGACTACAGACTTCATTTAGTTTTACTAAAAACCAGTTGGTTGTTATAGATTCATTTCCCAACTATTACAGCATACAAAAAAAAAAGATGAACGGATGTCCCAGTCTTTATATCACAAGACACTTAGGTGACGCCATCGTTCTTTAATCCCACCATCTTTGAAAGTTGGTAGTTAATTAGAACGTATTCAGTTGAGAAATCTTTAATGTGAGTTCATTAATTTGTAGTATTTTTGTTGACTTCATAAACAGATCTTATTTGACATTTCTGAGTACTGATGCAGTTTGACAAATGGAATTTCTAACAGATAAGATCTTTACATATGAGTTACTTTTTATTATTATGGATAGACTGTACATACACTACGACCTGAAAAATCTTTTCGCAGCCAACTTTTAGAGAATTTTGTTACAATTGTGGGCTTTAGTTTAGCTATCCACTGCCTAGATAGTTAATTCTGTGTCTTGTCGCGGCTGGGCAGACGCATAGAACGTGTTCGGCTGTTTCCTGTTGCTATTGACAAAGGCGGCAGGATCCTTTTTTTGCTAGACTAATCTTTTTCAGATGCCATCGCTGTCTACAATGGCCTGTTAGCAGTTTCAAACGAAGCATTGTCGAAAGCACCTTGTATGTCTACAGATACACAAGGAGCCATTTCCCTACCCCATGTGTTACTTGCGTCTCATAGTTTCATTTAATTCGTAGGAATCTCATTCTTACTAAATACAAATATCTGGAATCTTCTTGGATTATGAATATGGATATTCTTGAATATGGAATTGATTTCCTACCAAGACAATTAGGCTCTTTTATGTAGGCTCTTTTTATTATTTATTTGTTTATTTATGGGTTGTTTAAAGTGAAATTTATACCGGATGCAGGGTGCAAAAATAAGAACGGGAGTTCATGTATATAAAATTCAAATTAGGCACGCGAATGAAAAATAGTCAAAATAATGAAAACTCAGACGCAAAGAATAAAACAAAATCAGGTCATAACGATTAAGGAAATAAAATTTTGTATTGCATAAAACCGAGAGTTTTAATGCCTTTTTTGCAAGCCAAGATTTTATGAATACTCGTACAAAAAAAAGTAGCAAAAAACCGGAGCAGCACGCGCCGTTGGACCACAACTGCGGACGATTAAAATGAAATGTGAATGTGTTCAGTCTTCAGTGTTCAGCGTTCGGGGTTCGGGGTGCGGTGTTCAGGGAATGATGTTCAGTGTTCGGGTTGCAGTGCAAACATTATTTTGCCGGCCTACTTTGCACGAAAGCTTCATTTGGGTTAACAATTTTTTTTTGTTCCGCTCCTTTGTGGAACGACCGACTGACTGGCTCACTGGCTCACTGGCTGATAGGCTGACAGACTGCATGCATAATAAAATTAACACAATTTTTTATTATATAGAGTAGAGTATATTATATGTAGAGTAGAAGGATGAATGATGTTTACCTGCTGGTGGTGTTATTCGTATCACTGGCGGCGCTTAAACTAGTTGTATTGGGAAAATCCATGGGTCGCCGGCCCTCGACGGGGCTGGCCGAGATAAATAAAAGCACTAAAATGCATTTAAACTGCTGCAGCTACAACCAACTTTTAATTAAAACTTTTAATTGTATTGTGAAATTTGATTTAATTTAGTATTTTAAGGCTGCAATAACAATTTTCATTATAACAATATATCTATGAAACTGACAAACTTTGTTGGTATAAAGTTTTAATTTTATTATAATAAACCACTATATTAAAGCACTAAAAGCATCCTTTTTAATGGTTCTTCTAAAACTGACACTTAACCAAACTGCAAGTAAACTGCAGGCAAACTGCACCCGGTTTCGTTGGCAATGCACAATGCAATATTTACGAAAGGACTAAGCTTTTTTCAACTGCAGTGACATGCAACACACAAACTTCGCATAGAAAATTAAATAATTTTTTTTATTGTTAAAATTATTCACAAATCACAATGAATCAGTTCAATTTCTTTTAATTTTTTAATGGATATGCACTTCAACAATATTTTTTCAGACAAAATTAATAATTAAAATTAGTTGATTTTAGCTTTTAATTGCAACACAATTTCCTCTACGCCTCGCCTCGCCTCCTTTTAATAATTACACAAAATCACATGAATTTGTTTTTGTTTTTGGCTTCAGTGTTTAAGGTTCAGAACAAAAATGTCACTGCAATTTGTGATCAAATCCTGAATCCTTAAGTCATTTATTTTGTACCCTTAACGTCCGCAAGAAATATGTTAATGGTCATTGCGGAAATGTCACGACGAGTACTGGAAAATAATATCGGCGCAGCAGTGCTTAGTATTTGGCACAGCAGTGTGACTAGGCCAACAAACTGAAAGCTGCTGCTGCTGCCGCAGCCGATATGCGGCACATGTGGTGCGGAGTATGAGCGAGGAAAATAAAGGATACAAATCACATGTGTGCGCGAATAAGCGAGCACACCGACAACAACATTATAAACAGAGCCAGAGCCAGTCGTGTTTGTTGGTGGGAGAATGAGAGAACCTTCGTGCACGAACCTTCGCCGTATGTAGAAAAAACTGAGTGAGAGCTCGCATTGAAGAGCACAAACGCAGGTGAAGAATTGAAGAGCTTTTTACTTGCATTATGCGACGAATAGCAATCCCGACGCATTTTATGACTTTAACATTAGCTAAAAACTAATAACAAACTTCAGCAATGAGTAGGATTAGGTGATTTCAGCGGGGGATTAAATGAAATGAAATAGTCTTTGGTTAGTTGATTGGTTGCCATGGCAGGCCATTCGATAACTTCCATGTACCACAACTAGCGATTTTTCAACGTTTTGCTACCACATTCCTCGCAAGAACCCTAGTATAAAAGAGTATATAGAGACTAAATCCATCCCGCCGAATGTAGATAATTTAATGGGTCTTTCGTCTTCTATGAACAGTCTGATAAACTATCAGTTTATCAGTTTAATTTCTCTGTGTAGGTTCCTATATGTTACACCAATGACCAGAAAGAACTGCATTAACCGTTATAAGTGTTCACGCTGTCTCTGTTGATGAGTTCCGAGAATCTATTTTTATTATAGGTGGACCATGTTTACATTGAAGTTGCACATGATTTAAGTGCTTTCCATCTGTTATTGGCAAGTTGCAGAAAGTAGAGGGTAACATAAACCGGTATCGCCAGTGACAAATCCAGGGAAGCACCTGGACGGGCTAAACTGTCAACTTTCTCGTTCCCTTTGATGTTCCTATGTCCAGGAACATAGATAAGGGTGAATTCAGGCAACCGATTTAGCTCGTCGATTGCTACTCTATATTCCTTTACTATCTTTGATTTTGTTATAAAAGATTCGAGGACTTTGAAAAACCGTGGCCTTATTAGGTAACCTAAGAGTATTATTTATGTTTTCAGATGGTACGAAGATTCCTGCTTCTGCCCCACAATTCATCGTCGTTTGCTTCGAAATTTTTCCTGTTCCATTTATTTCGTGAAGGGAGGGTTGTCTAAAAATTTCTTTCAAAGTCTATGCACGGATTCAAATAATCTTTTAAAATAGTGAGTAGTTACTACTACTACTTACAATTGTAAGTGGCTTGGACTTAACCAAGAAGGGGATTATGATGCAATGGCATCAAAAAACTCTGCTTCTGTTCCTGTCTAAATGTGTAACAAAGACATTATTCGATGGTCTTCGTGTAATGGAATAATCCTTTCATCTGAGTCAAATTAATTTTTTGAGAAGTAAGTCTTTTATTTTTAGTGGATGTTGTAATAGAATAGAATGGTTTCAACATTTGAAAAATTTATTGATTTATATTAGAAGAAACTTCACCCGTTTTCAGTGGATGACTGTAGTAGAATTGAGTAATCCTAAAGTTTGAGAAGACTTTTAAGTCTAAAAAGAATTTGTTTAAGAAACAAATTTAGGAGCAATTAAAATTTGTCAGCATTCAATTATTATTAGAATTATCCTAATTGAGACATACATCCTAATTGAGATCATGAATATTTTACTAACTTACTTCAATGACCATTACAATTACAACGCATTACCGGGTTTTGGCCTGACAGAGTATGTCCCTCATCACTCCACCAGGAACATTGTCTACCACTACGTCTTCTTCTTTCAACTACCGCTTCAAATACCATTTTCGTTGAAGTAGTTGTCATCCAATTTTATGACATGACCTATAATAATATACATGCGTTGATAAAACTCGTACAGTACATGGTAGAGGAGCAAAGAGCTTACGAAGAAGTTTTCTCTCAAAAGCTTCCAGTATGATCTTATCATTCTATGATAATGTCCTTACTTCTACGCGAGTTTTGTCTGTCATGAGAGATCTCAACATCCTACTGAGCCCACTGCAGCACCTATTGGAAATAGTAATTCTTCACCTGATCCCTAGGCTGCCATCGTTGTTGATCATGCATACCAGTAATGTATAAATTGTTTGAATTTAAAAACCACTTGGTGATAGGAAGACTAAGCCACTTTATTTATAGTAACCACAAGAACAAATGCTACCAATTATATAGGTAATTTATTACATAAAATACATATTTAATGGTGGTCATAAGAAGTTTCCTTGCGAAGTATACTGAAAGAACACACGAACTTGTTCTTAGATACTGTTGTTTTGAACACCTTATGACAGATGTTAAAGGCTGACTAACTTTATAAAGATAGTCTTTATAACAGCTAGTCTCTTTTAAATTCTAGACTGTTACTTAGTCTCATAGATATGAGACTGATATTAGGGTTTTACAAACAGTTCATTGTATTGTAGGTGAAAACGTGCTAAAAAGTAAAATTTACAATTAATATTCCAGTTTTGAGAGAAGACCACACCACAATTGTTCAGTTGGTCTCTAGCCAGGTCTATCCGAGGTTCATTCATTTAAGACCTTATTGCTCTAGAACCCACTGTGAATGACATCACAATTCTTGATTTTTGTTAACAGCCAAAAATATTTTTCCGACGAAAAGGGCCATGTTGGAGTGAGTCATTGAAATTCCAATATCTTGAGATCCAATGCTAAACTACTCATTCTAAGATTATTCTTAACAGGAGCGGCTGTATCTACATCTCAAAGCAAATTGTGGAACACCGAGTGCCGTTCAACACTCTCAAAAGGGACTACACCAGAAAATTTCTGCAGATTACAACAACAATATTCTTAATATTAATTATTAAATTGTACTGTTTTTCTGATATAGATCCAAAAAGCTCTTTATATTATCTTAATATTGATTAATATTTTTCCCGAGTGTATGAGAATAAAGAAAATATAGGCGCGATTTATTTTTTAAAAAGTTTGTTTATTATATCTTAATTTATTTTTTATAAGATTTTTTTTTGGAATGCACAGACAGTATATATTTTTGAAACATGTCCTTTTAATTTTTAGTGCCCAAATCAAATTTTTCTCTTATTTTCCTCTTACTCTTAAGAACTCTTACTCTTAAGAGTTTCGGTTTTGTTAAAAGCTCTTTTGGTACAAAAGAAGCTTTGCCGAACTCAACCTCCACGTAATGTCGCGGAAAGACGAATCGTCTGTAGTTGAAAAGTGAATGTGCCACTCGTGCTCCCAATAAAATTCAATAATGGTGTAGGCTTGCCTTCAAGTAGGTCACGGCCGTTGTGCTCATTGCAACGATTCGCACTCATCCCGGGCGGCTACATTTCGCATTGAAACTGCACGAAGCACTTCGGTGCGCCTTTAAGAAAAAGCTTAGCAGTTGGGATGATGTGATGCGTTAGATGGGGTTGGTGTGCGGTGCGAAGGATTATTTAACATGCAATTGCCATGTGTGAGTCTTGTAAGCACGTGACCGGCAACATCCGATTTTGTTTGTGTTTTTGTTGATTTCCAGCGGCAAATATGCCGAGTTAGAGTTAAATAACAATTTTAGATATTCAGAAGACGAACATTTCAAAAAGCTACGAGCGAAATTTTCGAGAATATCCTTTAGAGTAGTTTTTAATTAAATTTTAACTAAAGGATTTTAGTAAACTTATTTTAAATTATCCCCATTATTCAAATAGAATTTCATGTACATTATAATATCAGTGATTAACTAGTTATTTTTTTATTATTTGCTATATTTCGCTATCCGATATATCTCATCTGTTCAAATGTTAATAAGAGTCTAAGCAAATCGTAGGGTATTATGTGCAGAACACGGTAGCGTTCTGCACGGTAGTGGTACGATAGCAGGACAGCAACGGCACGATAAAAACCGTTGGAGTGTGCAATAGGCCTTATCGACAAATTTTTGGATATTTAAAGACACATATGCTTTTTAACTTACTATTAGTGCACAATCCCTTTAACAAATTATGGCTTAATTATTAAAATACTAATGAACACACATTTATTTAACATTATTTGTTTTATTAGTATAAAATTTCTGGATAATTCGATAAAAATAACGAATATATATAGTCCACACATTGGGTGGATACAAACACTACAAACACTACACCTTATGTCGAGTACATCGCTGCTCGAATCTTACATATGATGAGTGTTAGTTGCATTATTGAGTTATATGAAAATTATATAATTATATATGTTAAGTCATAAAATCGAGCACCGCTTAAAATCTAAACATAAATAACATTAAAACATTAAACACTCGCAGTAACAATACAAATATTTACGTTAATTATATTAAAATCAAAAATGTACGGACTTTGTAAGAATAATTTGATCGTAGAACGACTGTGAAGGCACTTAGCTTGGCTTGGCATCTGGTACGTTATATCAAATAGTATACATAAACTAATAAAATACATTGACTTAAATATTAGTTGGCATTATGTTTGTTGGGCACATCGTTAGATGTTAGTTAAGGCACTTTTTGCTCACATCATTTATGCTTTAGCGTTTCATTTTCTCTAAAATTGGTTGTACCATGTCAAACTTTGGTCGTTTGCCGGGATCTTCATTCATACAAATTGTTATCAGTTTCGACATGTGTGACGATGTGCCCGGTGGAATTTTCACACGCAATCCCTCGAGTGCTATTTTCATTCCGCACTCCATGGGCGACCATTCGGCAAAAGGTATTTCACGTGTTGTGAGTTCCCAAAGTAGAACAGCAAAACTCCACATATCACAAGCTTCCCAATTGCGATCACTCTGCTTACGTTGTAATGTTTCAGGTGACATCCAGGCTGGCTGATATATGCGACCCTTTTCTTGGAATGAAAATTTCGCATCACCCATATTTACACGAGCTGTCAAGTCTTCATCAATCATAACGTGATGACTATTCAAGTGATATGTGGGTATGATGCGTTCCAATGAGTGTAAGTAGGCCATACCACGTGCTATATCCAATGCAAAACGCACTGATTGTGATGTGTCCACAACTACGCCCGTGTCAGCATGTAACAGGTTAAACAGAGAACCTCTGGGCATGTACTGTAAATAAAAATAAATTAAATTCTGTTTTTTTTGGAAATGCTATAAAAAGTGTTCTAAATATAGTTAATTTCTATTTTAAAGTTATATTAATATCATTTGTTAACGTTGAAAAATCTCCCGCAATGATAAATAGATAAACTCAACAAAAACAACCAGGAACTCTGGATTTTTATTCCGCAGCTATAAATCATCGTTGAGCAAGTGCTTACTATTGCTCACTATTCGTATTCGTGTTTCACCATTTGTAAGAAAGACGGGAGAAAGTCCTTATAGCCTTTTTCACGCAACAATTTAACTACTCAAGTGCAAAATAACAAGAACAACAACACCATGAACAAGAACGGGAAGCATCGAACTTACCTGACTAATCACAATAAGATTTGGTGGACTATTGCAAGCTCCAATAATAGGTAAAATATTTGGATGGGAGAAAATTCGTAATTTTGGGAATTCTTCATTGAAATCTCGTGAAATTCGGGATGTACATTGCCTTACAGCGAGTATCTGAAATTAATGCACAATTAGCATATTTGATTTTATTATTAAAACTGCTAAGAAAAAAGCACCTTTGCTATAACATCATTTTTTTGCCAGCGGCCTCTCCATGTTTCACCAGAAGGTGTTACTGCCACTTTTGTATGCAAATCCAAATCACCAATATGTATACCCTTAAAACGTGACAGAGTTGCATCACGTGAACGCGTCTTCATTCCTAACCAACTCTGCTCTTTGAAGCTTATTTTCTTCATTTCTTGTCCAGATCGTTCTGCCATGTCCTGTAAGCGTCTACCGAGACTAACTCTAGCCTTTTCCAGAGGCGTATCACCATCTTTATTTGCAATTGTCACTAAAGCTCCAGCATTTACCAAGTCTTCGCAGAGCATTTCATATCCCCAAAAGCAAGCATAATGCAGTGGCGTATTGCCATGTTCATTCACGGCATTCACATCGGCTCGTTCTCTTAACAACTGCAATAGAACAGAAATAATAAAGTAATTTTGGTTTCGATGTTTATAGAAAAATAAATACCATTTGCACAATGTCACGGTGCCCATGCGCTGCTGCTAAGTGGAGTGGTATGTCGTCACCCATATTCGTAGCATTGACCCGCACTCCTCTTTGCAAAAGTGTCTCCACAAGTTTTGTGTGTCCTTCTTTGGCACACCAATGTAAGGGGCTGAAACCGTGATCATCGCTAAAACAAACAACAAAAATATTCCATAAATATTTCACACTTCAACAACATAAAGTCAAAAAAAATAAAAAAAAAAATATTGCAAAGGCGTCTGGTGTGTTTACATAAAAATTTATATTTAGAAAAAGTATGAACCAATAATGACGTCATCTGGCATTCTTAGATGCGTTTGATTATCTTTTCACTTCTATAATACAATTGTTCACATGTATTATATATTGGGGTTTTAAAACTAAATTATTCTCTTTAATTTTTGATATATTTTTATTTATTTTACCCTAAATTTAAATCGTGTTCTGTATCGTCCAGCCAGAGACGCACTTGTATTGAATTTCCTTCTCGACACCAATGAAATATATCTTCCATTTTATGAATTTGTGTTTGTTTGTAAAGCAAAATATATTATTTACTGCACTATCTAACTAAATTTTATTATTTTGGAAAAAATTAATATCTACGGAACCAAAATATATAAATAAACCAAGCAGTTGTCTTTAGCGAACTGACTTCACTTGAATCTTGAAATGCCACAAATTAAAACAACAACAACAGTTGGTTTATGTCTTTGCTAAAGTGTCAAATTAAATTCTGTTATAATAGTACACTTCAAAAAATATCACTTATGCAATGTAACATTAATTATATTAATAATACTAAGGGACATATCAAAAAATTGATCACTCTTATAATAAGACAATAATAAAATGTGTGGGTATGTAAAATATTACTTTATAATTACTCAAAGTAATTATCCAGTTAAACTGTTTTGCTCATTATAGCATGGATGATGAGGATGATTTAGCACATACAAAGTGCTTTCATATAAATAAACTTATTATCAATAAATCAGCTCAAATAAAACGAAAAATTTTGAATGCAACCCTTAAAAATAAATTTCCAACAAGGGAAATTATTAAAATTTTATATATGTGCTATATGTTTTATATGTGAAATGTAAACAAACAACAGCTGAACTGTAAACAAAGGGACTGAAGAAGTAAGTATTTAATAAAATCTTTGTTTTTATTAATTGAATATGCAATTAATATATAAAATGTATATAAATAATTTAATATATCAATTATATATATGAATTGCTTGTGTGATATATTATTAAGTGGAGTTTATAACACTTCCATCAGCTGCATAAATGACTTCATTAATGTGAACGTTCGTTAGCTCATTAATATAAATTAGCAAATGCTTCAATGAAACATTGTAAATTTACTATTAGGTTGAATATATGATTATTTATGTACCTCAATTTATCATATGAAACTCGAAATGGGACATTATGGCACATGTATTCTCTGCTAAATGCATATTCTTGTGTAAAGAATACGAATAAGAAAAGAATAAGATAATGCAACTCTGTGAGAATATGTATAAATTTATGTTTACATATTTTCTAATATCAAAAAGTGTGGAAACGTGTGTTGCCTCTAAAAATCAGAAATTTTTGTGGAAAATTAAAAGAAAAAGCAGTTTTTATGTCATATAGTCTGCGAAAAATGAAGCTTAGCACTTATAATTTTTTAACTTCAAGCAACATCAAAGGCGTTAAAGTGGGTTTCCCACTTAAACTAAAGGTAAGGACAGCTGCCGACGCCTAGATTACAATTTTTTTTTTCATATACTCAATCCATTCCTCATTTTGCAAAGATTGCCAAAAAAGATGTTGTAGAGACAGATTTTAATCCAGTGTTTATTGAACGTTTGATTCCAAAACTAGATTGGGCTACTGTGTGCTTGGCAGCACAAATTGTGAGTTTTATTACACAAATTATTTGTCGCTATATTATACATAACACATATTATCTATTGGATTTATTTTTGTAGACTGGATTGGAAGCTGATATACCTGCAGAGCAGCCAAGTAACATTAGTGAAAATGAGGAGCTCTTAAAGAAGTTACACCATCTACTTCTAGAGATAGATGTGATTGAAGGCGAACTCCAGTGTCCTGAAACAGGACGTGTTTTCCCAATAACCGAAGGCGTTCCAAATATGCTGCTTAACGAAGATGAAGTTTAAATGAACAAAATTAATTTTATTCAACATATAATGCATAACACTTAGTGTTGCAACACTAAACACTATGTTAAAAATATTGTAAATTAAGTTATATTTAATATGCATATTTGTTTATCAGCTTTCCATGAAAGACGTCATATTTCCGCCACTAAGGCATCAGTTAATCATATAATATTTAAAATAATGCCATTGAACTGTTTACATACTAAAATGTATAAAAACCTTACATTGACACATAAATTTCTTTCAAAATATTATATTAGAATTATATTTATTTCAAATAATATCGCGAGCTACTATTTTTTCGAATTTTAACTTAGCATTGATTTGATGTTGAATATTGTTCGCGTTATTTAAATAGTTTTTTGATTAATTTTGTGATAAAGAAGAAACCAATGCATTTTTGGTGTTTAATTTGTTTTTGTTAAACTTCATTAACATTTTCCAATGTATAGAGCAAGAGAAATAAATACAAATTGTGTTCCTTTTAATTATGCTTTATTCAATAAGAGATACATGGATATCGAAAATAATTAAATGTTTAAATGTTTATAATAAGAAGATCATGGCTTAAAATATTAATTAAATTATTGGACGAATAAAATTGTAAACATATTTAAGTAAACTGAATGTAAATTTGGCACATTTCAATCAATGGGTGTAGGCAAATCAGCAAACATTTGTTCATATGATTAATTACACTTAATCTTGGCACTTTTATTAGTGCCAGTTACTATTTGTGTATAAATACTGCCCTTAGCCAGATCCAGCTTCGGTCCATTGCATAGTTCATTGTTGTGCCCGAGTGGCTTATAAGAACGTCCACTCAAAAGAGATATATCTGCTCCAGCAGTAGCCGTTTGACCTAAGTTTATATCAGGATTAGCGCCATTCCAAGTCACATAATCAGCGCTATAAGCGAAAACAATAATTTAAAAACAATCAACAATATGTATTTAGATACTCACAGTAATAAATTTTCATCAGCACCTTTGCTTAGATCGGAGTTGGGACCAATTGTGGATATGCGTCCCAACAAGGACTGGAATTTCAGCTTCTCTTCACTGTCGGTGCCATTTTCAATTGAGTTGCGTTGGGAGCTTCTAATACATCAAAATGAATATATATAATATTGAGATTTTTGAACGTTTTTATTCAAATATATGTTTTATGAGTGAAACAAAATGCATTCTGGGCAACATGCTACTAAAAAAATTAAATCAATCAGGCCGTATTAATTACGAATTATTTTATTTTTAAAATGACATATTTTCAGTAAATCATTTCTATGATCTAATACGAATTTACAAATTATAAATATTTAAGATGACAAAGTTTATAATTAAAAAATGAAGCTGCGTTGCATAAGTAAATTATTTACGAATTTTGTGCGATTTGAGAAGCTAACTACAAAATCGGTGATATAAAATATTAAATACTAAAATTATTTCAAATGTAAATTAAGTAGTTTAAAAAATGTTCAGATAATCATGAAGTATGAATTCCATTTTTATGACTTTTGCAATTAATTTTACCAATCAATCAAAACTAGAAAGGGTACTGTTCTTGAGTGCCAAGAGTGATGGGTGATCGCAAGAGTGATGGAGGGTCACCAAAGTGATGTGCGATAGGTATTTTTCCATATTTAGTCCTCCTTGCAAAAAACTTAACTCATTTAAATCCTAACAAATGGATCTATTGTCATACCATAGTTTTAAGGTACGTAAGCTATTGTGGACTGTGAAGCTACTGTGTCGTTTTAAGAAAACGGGAAATATCTTTAAGGACTAAGCTTGTAAAATGTGATAGACACTTGTGACAGGGACATTCTAGAGTACACTGGAAGTGACAGAGAAGATAAGTGCATTAAACATCTTCTATAACTGTAACAGTAGTCGCTGAAAAGCGGCTCTAACCTCATTTTTAAAAAAGGTACTTGAACACTTTTGTGTGTCACCCAAACGAATTGAAAGACTATATGTGTACATATGTCTTTTCATTATTAATGCATTCTCAGATAATTAAATGGTGAAAAAAAATATAATCGGCTTCATGTTTTTTCTGAATTGATTCTTAATTTCTGGCTTTGAGTCTGCTTAAATCATTGACATGGTAAGGCCTAGTGCTAAAATCCATTTCGCCGGGAAAAATGATATAAAAACCATAAAATTTACAAGAGTCCATATAAAATAATGTTTCACAAAAGTATGTAGTGCTAGGCTTTAGAGGAAAAAAAAGTAGAGACACATTAACATAGTATTGTGTTTTATACTATACTTTGTTGTTGATTGATCAAAATGGATTTATGTTAGGTTATACCGGAGATCCAAAGGACTCACTTCTAACCAAAGCACCCATTGTTTTACAGTATAAAGAGAACTCAGAGGTTTAAGAAGATCTTCAAAAAAGGAAGCTCTTTTATACTATACTATACTTTGATGTTGATTAATCAAAATGGGTTTAAGTCAGGTTATGCCGGAGATCCAAAGAACTCACTTCGAACCAAACGACCCATTGTGTTACAGTATAAAGAGAACTCAGAAGCTTAAGAAGATCTTTAAAAAAAGAAGGAGAAAGGAAGCATGCATGTGGCAAAAACAAAGCAGAGATAAGATACTTTCATTGTCCTCTCCAGAACAATATGTTCAGCTAGTTAAATGAGCATGAAAAAAATAGTACTAAGACCGAGTATTTGAATTGGTTAAAATATATGACATATGTTTTAAGCTCATTGTACTTTAGGAAACTTGTTTCTTTCGTTAAAACATACATATTGATGTATATGCAGTTATATAATAATATTTCTTTTATGGGCTTACTATATCTTATCCAGGTTTTATTAGGGAAGTTTTGAAATTTGGTGAAGATAGAAAATAATTTAAAAAAAATTACTAATTATTTGAATGTAGGTAACGCTTTGTTAAAATAAGAAAAAAAATATAATTATTAAAACTTACAAAATACAAAGTTCACAATACAAAGTCTTCTAAATTATACTAAGAACTATAGAGTAGATAAATAAGTGAAAAGATAATACTAAAGGTTAAAATTTTAGCACAAGTCAACTTAGAAAAAACAGAAGTTAAATAGCAAATGAATAAAGATTTCAGCGTACTTCAGTGAATTAGTTTTGTCACGTGGGCGCGACAATTTCAATTTTTCCAGTAAGGAAGCCGCAGAGGATACGGAAGAGAGTTTAGATCCATGCATATATCCGTTGATGCCAATTGAATTCAATTTCGAACGCGCGAGTATACTTTTTGTTGTCAGTGTCGGATATGATAATGAAGATGAGCATGATGAACGTGATGTGGATGATATTGAGGAGTTAGAGATTTGACTATTAGTGGTGGTGATGGTGGTGTCTTTGTTAGCCAATTGAGGTGAAGAAACCGGTCTAGTGTTTCGTTCATTTCTATCGTTTTGGGTGAATTTAGTATTCGTTTTCGTGATTGTTGGTTCTGATTGCGGCGAGCATTCGTTAGCAATTGAGAATCGTGAATTGGAAAGTATAATTTGTGTGGTGGCGGTCGTGGGTGTGGTTATATTTATGGACGGATGCTGATATTTTTTTGTAGTTATTTCCGAAATATTGTCGTTTTCGTTGTTCGCATTTTGCGTTGTTTCAACGACAACGGTGATGATGCTGCTTAAAGTTTATTTTGAAGAGAATAAAAGTTAAAAAAACTTAATAATACACATGTTTCAAAATAAAACCAAAAAGTAAAATAAAACATAAATAAAAGACACAATTTTGTTAAAAGAATGCAGAATAGCAAAAGCTTAGAATATTATACAAACAAAAGACTATCTTGGGTTCAAAATTAGATGTCAAAGCTATTTTTCTGCTGCTCAACTGCTTTCCACAAATCTTAAAAACTCATTATTAGATTTAAAAATTAAAAAGGTAAAATGCTTTGAGGATTTTGGAATCGTGATTCTTTAAAAAGTGTGTAATAATTTGAAAAAATATTGAATTTCTCAATCTTTACTTAAAAATTTACAATTGAACACAAATTGAACAGAAAATGAGATGAATTCGCTTAAATATGACCTCACTTTTGGAATTCTTCAAATTCTTAGATAAATTGGAACAATAACTTACTTATCACCAGATGTAGACGGATGTCCATCCAAATCAGTTTCATCATTCTCCAGCGTTACTTGTAACAGACCATGTTTCTTCTTAGCAGACAACTCATCTTCTTCCTGCACAATTTGTAGAATTTGTATTGCTCTGTCTTCAGTGTAATTCACCTAATTTCCACACTCCATTAGGAAAGTTTATTTTCATTTTATATTAAATTAACTTACCGACTCTAAAGCCATCAATATGATACGTTCCACAATATTAGGATATTTTTCCTTTAAACGCTGTTTCACTGTCAACAAAAAAATCAATTAAAATATTATTTAAAGGACATGAAAATATACAATGGCTATTCTAGTTATTCGAATCTTTCAGAAAGCGTCATTGCTACCGCTGACTCCAATAAGAGAAGCACACTCGGACTACTGCATTGGTGAAGAGTGAGAATGAATGGATGGTTTTGAAATGGAATAGCAAAAGGCAGGATATGGAAAAATGTTTGAGGGAGGGAATGGAAAAATAATTTTTAACCCATTTCAATATTCAGGAAGTATGCGGCCTTACTTACACGAAAACAGATCATTTGGATTTAAATTTGAGTAAAAAATGCAACAGTTAAACAGATGGGCGACTCTTTGAGACACAAGTCTATAGTTTAGTCGAATACTAATAAAAGTTTACATGATTCACAAGACTATTTCCTGAACAAATTAAATGGCACCAGTTCTCGGCGTCCCAAGCAATCGGCTATCTTCCTGAGCGATGATTGGCGAATGTTTACATTTAATTTTTTAATGTTTATAGTCTCGATCACAATAGCACTCTTCTTAGAATTCAGTGAATTCTAATAAATCTTAGAGCGAACACGTAATATTTTGTCCTATTAAACTGAAAGGTTTTGGTTAAAGTTGTGCTATTATAACATGAGAGTGATAAATCAATCGATATGATATACGACACGATATACGATATGTGTTTTATAGGATTTAAAGCTTCTTATGTTATTAAAATATTGCATTAATTAATTAATTCATCATTAGAAATTTTTTTTGATATTATTAAGGGTATAATGTTAGATAGATGTCTAAGAGTAAAGCAAAATGGTTTTGAAGTGGGAACTGTACTTCTAATAACAAGACTTAAAAAAAGTAAGTAAATCAGATGTTTAGTAGAAAGGAAGTATTTTCAGACAGAGTTCAAAGCTGTCAAACAATATTTGAGAGTGAATTATGACATTATTGAATTAGGTAATATAAGTTAATGTGTACTATATAAGTTTTATCTGAGGGTTTATAAGTACAATGAACATAACATCTTAGAGGCAAATATAAATAAATCAAATCGTGTTTAAGAACCCGCGTAAGCAGCATAGAATTAAAAAGAATAATTAAAACACAAATAACCCCAAGGAGTAGACTGTTTGAAACGACAAGATGGTATTGGGAAAATTGGATAGTACTACAACTTAAAGGGATTAAAATGAAGCCATTATGCATCAAGGGTCACAGCCTTGCTATCTCAATGGGACAGAACAACAAATCAATACGATATTTTAACTACCACTGGCTGCAAATAGGTTTATAACAAATAAAACTGTGTTTTACTAGACAATAGAATCACAGAAATTACAAAATTATATATATAAGGGTTTATAATAATATGACATACTTTCTTCCTTTTCCTCTAAAGTGTGCTCCTTTGGTCGTAATGGTATTATTTTCTCATCTTCAGGTTTCTTTGGTACATTAATTGTGCCATCTAAATTCGTTTTTCTTTGAACCGGAACAAAATCACGTTTAACATAACCCATTGATATCAGTTTTTCTGATGCCAACTGCACATTATTATCAGCGCCAGTCAAAATATCCAACAATAACATCTCATCTGCCTTGGGAAATATATTTTTCATGTATCTAAGACAATTAATTAGTAAATATGTGTATTAGATTTAAATCGTTATAAATATTAGGGACAAAATTCACCTCAGTTTCATTTTAGGTGAAGAATGTGGTTTTGGTGAACTACGCCACTGTTCACCGAAGCGTGGTGAACTATGATATAACGACAGAGGGTGAGCAAAACCATCACCAAATCTACTTGTATTACCAGATGTAACCCCGTCAGTCATATGCATGCTCATGACACTACCGAAACGCCCGCCTGGTATTGGACTGATCGTACGTGAATTATTAAAGCCGGAAAGGCCTCGACTATGCGATGCAGCAATATCAGGACGACGCGCCGGTGGTGTCATGTGAAAAGCAGAATTACTGTGAAATAAATGTCGCTGTGCAGGAGGTGTAACAAATGGTCCTGGCATTGTGACAGGATGTTTTTCTACTTGCAGTGCGCTGATTACAACGGCTTCACGGTTGTAATATCTACGAAAAGTATATAAAAAATATAATAAAACTTTAAACTAAAAAGAAAGGAACTACTGTGCAATAGAATTTAGTTGAGTTACTTATTGTTAGTATTATATTTGTTTTAAATATTAGTAGAATCTATTTTCGATTTATTACTCTATATTATAACTATTTTACTCACTTCTTCAATAGCAAACGTATGTGATTCTCACTGGCTGTGGGAAACATGTTCTGAATTTTCGTCACAACCGCATCCGTGTCGATTTGATTGGAGAACGAAGTTTCTTGTATTGTTGAACGTCTTGACATATTAGCCAAGCGTGGTGTTTGCATTATAGATGACTTCAAAAATGGCACTGGAGACATTTCCTAGAATTTATATTATATATTCAGTATTTGAAAATATTTTTGGGAGCAGTTATGGGGGTATGAAGAAGAATTTATTGTAGTTGACAATTAGTAAATTTTCTTAATTTAAATGTCTTGTGATAATACATCGAAGGATTTTGGTTCAAATTACTCTTTTACGAATTGCTTTTGTAGGTATTCTAAGAGAGATAATCCATTGATATGGAAGGTGTTACCATGACTTTAGGGCTAAGATTTTGTCTATTTTTCATTGATAATTTATAATGAGTATAGACATTTTCTATTGAACCATAAAGGAGATCTTGTTGTATTAACGTTTTATTTTAACAGATTTAAGTAAGTGAACTTTGGAAACTTCTTTAATAACTTAAAAACGTTTCTGTATAAAATAAAATTATTCACTTAAAAAAAATTAATTAATTTCATATCTGAAATCGATAACTAGGATACAAAAATTGCTCACTTCCTAATATTCACTTCACTCTTACCAAATTGCCACGAGATGATAACAAAGGGCTAGATGACATATTATGCAAGCTTGGATTTGTGCCTGGACCAGTTTGAAATGCCCTCATAGCAGGTAAATTGTTGGTCGGATAGACGTGATATGGAGAACCATGCAGAGGCTATACATCAAATAAGGAAGATTAAAAAGTAGTAAAAATTTTTATTTTATTTTATTGCGTAGATGGATGTTAACTTACTTGCATTGGTATTGATTCTGTGGAGCAGCGTTCGTTTTGCAGCTGTTTGTAGCGTATACGTGGGTCTTCCAGTTGCATGGCCTTCGTAAAGTAGTTTATGTAGTAGCTATAAATAGATTAAACAGGGATATATTTAGCTAATGAAGGTTAAATACAATATTATTCGAATGTATTGTGGGCATTTTGAAATTGACTGGGCATTGACGCAAATGCCTTAATGTCCTCGACTTGCTTTGAGGTGGTTTAGTTGCATTTCAAGGATACTGCCGATAGCACCTTGAATATTATTTCTCCCTAAGTGCACACTTCTAAACGCTGGAGTAACTGAGAAAGTACTTCTCCCAATTGAAGTGCTACTTAAATTATTTTTAAATTGCGACACGAGCAAAAGAAAACAAAAGTGAAAAAAGCACGACAATCGTTTAAAGGACACGTTTATTGTGTGTACACATCACGTTTGTCAATCACAAATGCTTTATTGAGTCTCAGATTTGTGCTACACACGGGAATTAGTAACTCAGCCTCAGCTTCAGCCTTGCGTCTTCACTGACTGTCAAGTGCTACTTATTCTTTGCATAACACAATAAGGAAATAATGTTCGTTTAAAAAATCGAATATTTCATTTGTTTTCCTCATAAAATATGCAGTTTAATTTCATTTTATCTTTACAAACGAAGTTCCTTTATATTTCAAAGCTCTGGCAGCCATTTTGAAATATTACACAATTGAGTCCTCCACCCCAAAACTATGCTGCGGAATTTAACATAATTTCGTACAATTTGTATTGCAGACTCACCAATTTCCCGTTGTCTGATCGTATTTGGCGTCCCATCCTGGCGGTAGTTTCTGATATTGTCCATTGGCGTCACTCATTTTCATTCGCAATCGTTTTAAATAATTTTTATTTCGAAGGAATTAAACTTTTATTTGTTCACTATTGTTCACACTCACACTTGTTCGTCTGTACCTGAGCAGACGATTAGGGGGTTGCAAAAGCTAAGCAACCACCACAAGGATACGATTTCCGCTTCTGAACTTAACGTGTCGCGCTTCTGCTTACAACTGACTTTTATTATTGTAAGTTTTATGCTTAAAGTCCATTTGGAGTAGAGTTCGAAATTCGTGTTCGAATTCTAATGTCAGCTTATTTGCAGTCCTTAAAGGGTATGCGATGTGCTAAATGCCAAAGGATGTTGTGGACGAAACAGCTTATAAAAACAAAAACAAAAATAAAAATAAGTGTTTTTTTAGAAGTGCGCATAAATATAAAAACTTCCCTCCAAAATTGCAACATAGTCGTACTGTAACGAAGAATCAATATACTTTGATGACTCTGAGATTTTCATACTCTCTCTGTATGAATAAAATGCATTTTAATCTTTTTACATTTTTGTATTTTATATTTTATCAGTCCTAAAATTAAAAAAATATGTTATTCATCTTTTTGAACTGTTCGTGTCTTATAGAGCAATTTTTTCGGGTGGGTCAAGAACTCATACATATATCTCTATTGCGTATTTATTGCTTCAATTGCGACGATATTAATAATTTTAATAAATTTTGCGATTAAATATTGGACTGATATCCAACCATTGAAGCACATTTTGTTGAAATCTCGTAGGAAGGAATAATTGTCCAGATTCAATTCTTGCACTTTGTACAAAATCTTCCACAGTAAAATTCGTGAGAGACCAAGTTTTTGTGAATGATGTCGAATCAATGAATTAGGGTCTTATTTTCTTTATCTGTGTGTACTCTTTATGGTGGCTTAATGGTAATGAACGTCGTCAAAAATATTAAAAGGTTCAATCGATTTCCCAATAATTAACTCAATTGAGTGATATAAACGAGAATTTAATACTTACTTTTTTATGAATACAATTTTAAATTCTTAAACATAAATTAAATTGATATTTATTTACATTAATATTTGCTCATAGTCATACGCATATAATGCAATAGCAAAAATCATAACAGCAGCAACAGTTGAGAAATTTGAAGATAAAATATAAGGAAAAAATTAGAAATGGAAGGGCAAATGGAATGTCTATAAAAGTCTTCCACAAAATATTTTCAATACTCAAGATATACACCCGAACCCTAATGAATTTAAAGTAAACGTAAATACTTGTCCTTCTGTAGTTATAATTCCTATAAGAAAAGTGCACATGTGCTTTAATTCTCAAGTACTATGCAAAGGTTCGAAAACATAGACGCTAACAGAAGCTAATAAGGTGTACAACCTTATAACCTTATAATACAACCTGGATATGTAGAGTATAGAGTTTGATGGAGTATCTTAATAGAGAATCTGACAGGATGTTAAAATGTTGTTCGATTTCTTAAATTTCAAACATTGAACTCATTATCAGAATAAAGCTTTCAAGAATGCCGCACAGCTTTATGAATGTTCGCTAAAGTTGGACTGAGGTGGATTAAAATTAAAACAAATGGGCATTAGAAAGATCCACATGAAAGTACAGCTTGAGCTGTAGACCTCAAGCTCCACAAGACAATTTTTTTCTACTAAAATTAAAATCTGTTTGCAGTTAATTTCAACACATTATAATAGCTATGTAAACACCCTTTTAAATTTTTATACACAACGTTTAGAGATTGTTTGAGTTAACTTCCCTAATCAAGAGTTGAAAAACTTCAGACTCCCATATATGAAGACAACTTGAAGACTACATTAGTATGAGTTGAGACTCATACGAAATCTTGAATCTCTAACTTGTTTATTCTATAGTAATACACAAAAAATTTTCCTTGATATCTGCATTGACTCAAATACCATAAAACTAACCGAAATAAAAACGCACTTTTAATACTGTTCAGAATTTAAAACATGCTTCACACATCTCGGTACAATCATAGAAATTCACAATACAATTAACATATGTTAGGGATTGTTGATGTTATGGACTCATTCAAACTGTAATGGCTTCACTTTTAGTTTATTTGCCAGATTTTCACAAGTTTTTAATTGATTGTCTGTGTATTCAATGCCACCAGCTTTTTCTACTTGTTTTAATCGCTTGATTTCTATATCACCTGGCACAAGAATTGGATTCTTTGGATCAGCCTAACAAATTAATGATGTTTTAGATCTTTAAAATTAAAAAAAGTAAGTCCAAATACTACTTACCACTTCACAATTTCTTAAAAGGCAATTGAAATGAGTTAGACGCTGTTGAAAATCTGGTGCGAAAAAGCATGGATCAATTACCACAAATAATTGACCCAAGTTTTTTGGTTTGCCTCTACCACCAACCATTGTTGAATATGTTGCACCTGACAAAACTCCCGATAAAACATCCACAGCTGCACCTAAACCGTAACCCTTATATCCAAATTCAAGACCTCCCAATGGTAGTAAGTTATTAGCTTCAAGAGCTTTATTCACATCTGTCGTTGGCTTTCCTTCTTTATCTAATGCCCAGCCTTCGGGTATTGTTGATCCTTTACGTTTAGCCAGTTCAAGTTTTCCTAAAGCAACTTGGGTTGTGGCCACATCGAACAGAAACTGATCATCACATCCTGGAGCACCAATAGATAAGGGATTTGTACCAAGAATCGCATGTTTCGCACCTTTTGGTGCCATTAGTGGTGAAGTGTTTGTCATTGTAATACCTATTAATCCCTGCTTCATTGCTCTTAGACAGTATAGTGCTGGCACAACATAATGATTTGAGTTTTTTGCACTCACCCAACCAACGCCAATCTTTTTCGCTTTTTTTATAGCCAAATCCATACAAAATTCAGCAACAACAACACCTAAACCATGTCGACCATCTACCCAGGCCACAGCTGAGGTTTCGGACAAAATTTTGGGTTTAGCACAAGGGTCAGTGTTTCCACTTTTAATTTCCTTCATATACATTTCGAGTCGATTCATACCATGACTCATTATACCACGGTAATCGCAACTCGCCAATATGCCAGCCATGGCCTTAGCATGATCTTTGGGTACATCAGAGGCAACGAAACAATCATAAATAAATCGTTTTGATTCCTTAAATGAAACTAATTTTTTTTCAGATTTGGATTTTGCGTTGCCTGTGGAATATGTGGGCGTAAGATCATTTTGACGCCAGATCTTGTACAAATCTATAAAGTTGAGATAGGGTTAGATAGATTAAAATGCAAGAGAGCAGAGCCGTACTTACTATTCGAATATATCTTAGGGACTAATTGGGCACGCAAGTACTTGACTATATAATTGGCAGCAGTTGATATACACAATTTCAAAGCCATTATGGAGAGTTTTTGAACCGAGATAGTTTAATGGAGCATGTCACAGTTAACGGTTAATTTTCATCAAATTTCGCAAAAGTTAAAATTTAAAAACAGAAATTTTGAAGAATGGGGGCCAAAGAAACTATGTGCAAAGAGTTTTGAAGTCTATTGTATTATATTTTAAAAAATATTTTAATATGTAATTTTCAAATCTTGTCATGGGTAAAGAGATTTTAGTGATAGGTAGTGAAGCATTTTTTAAACAAGTGGAAGAGTCTTATACTCTCTAAACGTATGTAATATGCCACACAATAAGTAGCTACCTTTATGAGCTTTAACATGCAAAAACTAATCAGAGCAGACACTACTTTTACCACTGACAATGAGGTACCACGATCTTTATGTTATCATTAGAGAATGTCTCATAAACGGACCTGGTCAAATTCAACCTATTGATCAATTTAACAATATTTAGTGAAGTATAGCTTACAGGCTAATGTTGTTTCTAACAAAAAATGTGTACTTAATGGAGTGACTCTCATAGCTTCTGAGGCTATCCCTCATTCTTGATCATAGTGTTTAAGGCTTTAAATTCAAATTAAAATTTCTATATGCTGTAGATATTATCATAAAATCACATCATATCATAATGTTATCATTAATTTTTTTAAGTCCAGACAGTTACGTTCTGTATAATTACATGATACTCTCTATTAAAACCGGCACTAACCGTCAAGTCGTAGTTTTTTTAAAGCTTAATATACAGTTACCGCGTTTAGAAAATAAAAAAAAGATAAGATATATTATACATATTATTTTGAACTATTTCTAGTTTCTCTATTTTATTTGAAAGTTTTTTTTATCGAAAATATTATTATTCATTAACACTATTAATTTTTAACAAACAAATTGCAATGGCTCCACGTCGAGTTCCTTGGACAGTTTTTCGCATGCTTGCAGCTGATTTTCTGTATATTCGATACCACCCGCTTTGACCACTTCTTTCATGCGTTGGATTTCTGTATCTCCAGGAATCATCAGCTTATTTTTCTCATTGTCCTAACAACAATTTTTTTATAAATATCGCATTAGATTAGAAATATATTTGAATTTACTTACAACTTTGCAACTTCTTAAAGTTTGATTAAAACAAGTTAAGCGCTCTTTAAAATCTGGTGCAAACATATTTGGATTTATGACTAAGAAATTTTGTCCCAAGTTCATTGGAACGCCTTCTTTAAAAACAATATTTTTGGAAAAGTCAGAATCTCCTAACACACCAGTAAGTATATCAATTGCACCAGCCAGGCCATAACCTTTGTAACCGAAATCAATTCCACCCAATGGAAGCAACAATTTCGCTTCGAGAGCTTTCTTAACATCAGTAGTCGGTTTTCCGTCCTTATCTAAAGCCCAGCCCGCCGGTATGGTTGGCCCCTTGCGTGAAGCAACCTCAAGTTTTCCAACGGCCACTTGAGTTGTGGCTACATCAAATAGATAATGATCATCAGCACCTGGTGCACCAATGGATATAGGATTAGTGCCAAGTATAGGTTCTTTTGCTCCTTTCGGCGCCATTAATGGCCATGTATTACTCATATTTATGCCGATATAGCCCTTTTCCATAGCTTTTAAGTTGTACAGACCAGGAACAATATAATGATTCGAATGCTGTGCTACCACAAATCCTATACCGACCTCTTCAGCTTTACCCATTGCAAGCTCCATGCAGAAATGTGCAATAACTGCACCAAGACCATTCTTGCCGTCTACCCATGCTGTTGCTGGTGTTTCGCATTTAATTACCGGTTTTACACAACCATCCAAAGCATTCGTTTTCAACATGTTAATATACATTTCGACTCGATTCATGCCATGGCTCATAATACCGCGATAATCGCACGCTGCTAACGTCTTTGCCATGATACATGCATGATCTTCGGGTACACAGGAAGCTATAAAGCAATCCTTAATGAATCTGATGACTTCTTCCATAGCCACTAACTTCTTGCCAGATTTGGTCCCTGATGTGGTGGTTTTACCGCCCTTATTTTTATTTCTCTTTGTGTTGCATTTACTCCTGTGAAAATTCTTCTGAACATCTTATGTGAAATACAAAATTGATCAGATATATTTTTATTGCTGTGTAATCAATGTATAATCGACTTAATTACTTACCAAGGATCTTCTGAATAATCACATTACATTTTAAATTTTTACATTTATGTTGAATTGCTTGCCGTAAACATCTATTAATGCAATTTAAAAACAGCATTTTTGGAGCACTTATTTTTAAAAGATTAAAGATGAATTAAAGACTTTTGTATCCGAAGTTCATTATGTTTGGATTTCTAAATAATTTTTGCAGTTATTTAATTTTGTAATTTTGAATAGATTAGGTCCTAAATAAGTAGTGCCAAAAATGCATTTTTGAATTTTGAAAAATATTCTTTTTTTCTTTCAATGACAATTAAAATAGATTTAATTTCCTAAATTTAATAAAATTAAATTTAATAGAAAAGAATATTTGATTAATTTTTTTATCTATAAAAATTAGGCCAAAATATTTTTTTAAACTAATCAGTCTTTACTCCTAAGTGATGGTAGTTAGATGCCCATTGTGAATTAAACTGCTATAAAGATGCGCCTTAAAACTGATACTGCATCGGCTTGCATATTGAGAACTTTCCTATCTAGTAAGGTCATAATGTCCTCATAGATCACGCTATTAGATCGCACAACTCATATCATCAGGTATATAACTTGATTGACTCTTTCAAAACAGATAGTGTTTTCGCCATGTAGACTTAACATGGCATTTAAATTAATCGTAGTCAGTTTTTAACCAAAATATCAAGATCATCAGTAAAATCACATATCTGGGATCATATATCATAATCATATATCTGTTCAGAATATTGTCTACTAGTGGTCAAGATTTTGAAGATTTTGTTGTATATGTTTTCATTCGATCATATAAGTTAATTTTGATTTTTTGTTAATAGGATATTTATTATTATTATTATTGTTAGGGGATGTTACTGTGGCCGTCAGGTCCATTGTATCCCTTTCTGGGTTTAGAGTAGGTCTCATTCCCAAGTCTATTCCGTATGTGCATTAGCGCAGGGCATTCTAACAGCACTTGTGTGCCCGACACCTTATTCTCTTTACAGAATCTACAGTTTGCATCCTTAAGTATACCCAGTCGTGTAAGGTAGTATTTTAGTTTACAGTGCCCTGTTAGGATTCCTGTGATGATTCCAAGTTTTCTTTTGATAGGTTCATACAATTCTGGTATCTCTTAGTATTATAGGTACCAATAAGTGATTTGGATTGTGTTAATCCTGGTATATTATACTCGTGACCCTTTTATTATGATTCTCCTTTATGTTTATGAGAAAAAGGAGCTTACTATGTCCTAGTCCACAAAAAAGTCCCGGCCCAGATTCCGGATATTTAGTAAGTTTTCATTTATTATCAATTTCTCAATTTTATACTTTGCCTATCTATAACGCACTGGACAACACACTTAAAAATCAAACGTCAAAATGTGACGTCAGAGTTGCCGCTTTCATGTATTTTGTATATCTGGGTAAAATACTACAATCTCCCTATTACTATTTGCTATTACTTACTAGATCCTTACATTAGATAAAATATTTTTTTGAGATATCTTCCCTTTTCCTTTAATGCGTTTTGTGAAATGGATGGTAGATTCAAGTGACTGCAGTGACTGCAGTGATGGTAGATTCAAAAACAAGATTCACTTTGTCACTGGGAGAAGGTCTATTATTATACCAAAGTTATGGGACACGTTGACTGCTCTATTGGTAGAAATACCACTATTTCGGAACTAGAAAATACTTTGTCACTTTGACAAAGTGGGCAATCTTTTTAATACTTATATTTGCGATATCGATCAGACATTTGAGAAGAAAAAGAAATATTAATTTTTATGTGGTGCGTGACGTATATCATTAATTAGTCAAAAGTCTTCATTTTTTACGTAAAATCTATTTTCAATTTTTTATTTCTTATCAACATTAAATTTAAAAAAGCTTTAATTATAAAAATAAAAAGGTTGCAAGTACAAAAATCATTAAATGAAGCTAAAGTAGATTTTAAATGCAAAGTCATAACGTCATCATCATGTCATAAATAATTACTCATAAAACACTTATAAAATATTTTACTTAAATGAAATTTATTGGTTTGATATGTAATCGTTGGGCTAGAGCTTCACAAGTTTTTAATTGATTTTCCAGATATTGAATGCCTCCTGCAGCATCCACAGATTGCATAAACAGGCTCTCTTTATCACCAGCGACAAGCACTGGTTTTGATGAATCAGTCTGTGAAAAAAAGAGGATTGTTAAAAATTTAATTTTGAAAAATAAAAAATAGGCGAATTCAAAAGTTAACTTTCAATTCATTGAACTTGTGTTTTCAAATAAAGCTGTAGTTAATAAGCTCGTTCTGATATAAACACGGCAAGTGCTTTGGTTAATGTCACTAATTTAATAAAAAAGTAACAAAAAGGTGGCTAGAGCACAGAAAGTGTATGCAGCCTTGGCTACTCGTGGATAAACACGATTATTCATTGCTTTTACCAGGTGTACCGGTATGAAATGAGCGTTTTTTGGTGAAAATAAAACACTAATTATTAATAGGAAAGTAAAAAGCATTTTATTCAAAGTATTGGCCATTGCTTTCTACACATTTTCACCACCTCTCTGGCAATTTGTGGATACCAAGCCAAAAAAATTGTTCGTCTTTTAAAACAAACCAACCAGACACCCAATTTTCGACCACCTCGTAGGAATCAAAGTGCTGCTCAGCCAATGCGTTTCCCATCGATGAAAACAAATGGTAGTCTTAAGGAGCCAAGTCTGGTGAATACGGCGGGTGGGGTAGCAGCTCCCAGCCAAGTGTTTTGATTGCATCCTGAACCCGTTTTGCTTTGTGTGCAGGTGCGTTGTCATGGAGCAGAATTACCTTGCCGTGCCTTCTGGCCCATTCTGGTCGTTTCTCGATCAATGCATGGTTCAAATTTATCATTTGTTGTTCATAGCGACCAGCATTGACGGTTTCACCAGGTTTTAGGAGCTCGTGATACACCACACCTTTCTGGTCCCACCAAACACACAGCATTGTCTTCTTGCCGAATCGATCTGGTTTTGCAGTCGATGTTGATGGTTGTCCCGGATTAACCCATGATTTTTTCCGTCTAGGATTCTTAAAATAAATCCATTTTTCATCGCCAGTAACAATCCGGCAAGCATTCGATGCGACTCTGCACCACTTTTCTTCAAATGAAAACAAAAAATTATTGCTTTCCGCAAATCATCACTTTCTGGTACAAAATTCGACATTTTTAACACGATGAAAAAATATGATGTTGTCTGTTCAATGACTTGATGTATACTAAATATATTTCACACATGTCATAGCAAACAAACAAAAAAAAAATAAAGGCTCGTTCACAACAAATGTTCCCTGTCGGAACATTTGTATCTTAACGCTCATTTCATACCGGTACACCTAATAATTTGACAGGCACGAGTTCTTGACCTGGTACTTGCAGTCCAAATAAATTATATACAGACTACATGTTAAACTAATTAAAATTCGATTATTTCCTAAGATCACTGATGATGAGTACTTGGCAATACTCGAAACAGCATTGTATGGTCAGCCAAATTTCAATAAAATTAAATAAATTTTTGTGTTTGTCCTTTGTTTCTTTCTTTGCTATTCGAAATCCCTCTATATTTTAAATATAGCTTCTTTGTCACCATATAAAGAAAGCGTTGCTTTACCAGCAACAACAATACATACTTTTAATATTTAATATATATAATCTTACCGGTTTACAGTTTCTTAAACGTGAATTAAGATCAGTGATACGTTCTTTAAATCCGGGCGCGAAGCAATTTGGATCTACAGCTATGAAAACTTGACCCAAATCGGCTGCAGTGTGAGCACCCGCATGCGTCCATTTACGTATTTTTGTGGAGTAGTTAGACCCTGCCATTACACCACTCATCACTTCGACCATAGCACCTAAACCATATCCTTTATAGCCAGAATTTATTTCCGCCCCACCAAGTGGCATAAGACAGCCAGTGGCAAAAGCCAATTCGGGATCGGTAGTTACATTACCATTTGGATCTTGTGCCCAACCATTGGGCAATGGTTCAGCTTTGCGACGCTGTATCTCAATCTTACCTAATGCAACTGCAGTAGTGGCCATATCCAAAAGAAATTCATCATTTTTACCAGGTGCGCCAAGGGCAAGTGGATTAGTACCAAGTGCAGGTTCTTTCGAACGCGTTGGCACCATCAAAGGCGAAGTATTCGTCATAGAAATTCCAACAAGTCCATTATCCATAGCATGCATAACATAATAACCAGCCATGCCATAGTGATTAGAACCCTTTGCACAGACCCAACCTACGCCTACAGCTTTAGCTTTTCTAATAGCCAAATCCATACAGAAATTGCCTACTACAGCACCTAAACCATTGCAGCCATCAACCCAAGCAGTTGAAGGTGTTTCATTCAATATTTTAGGAATGGCAGTGCCATCTGTTGCGTTTATAGCCAAATCATTTATGTACATTTCCAGGCGATTCATTCCATGGCTGAAGTGACCACGATAGTCAGCTGCTGCTAACGTCTTTGCCATGATGTATGCATGATCTTCGGGTACACAAGAAACTAGAAAGCAATCCTTCATGAATCTGATGGCTTCTTCGAGAGCCACTAACTTCTTGCCCGATTTATCAGATTTGGCCCCTGACATGGTGGGTGTATCGTCCTTATTTATATTTCTCTTTGTGTTGTATTTACTCCTGTGAAAATTCTTCTGAACATCTTATGTGAAATACAAAATTGATCAGATATTTTTTTATTGCTGTGTAATCAATGTATAATCGACTTAATTACTTACCAAGGATCTTCTGAATAATCACATTACTTTCTAAATTTTTACAGTTATATTGAATTGGTTGTCCTAAACATCTATTAATGCAATTTATAAACAGCATTTTTGGAGCACTTATTTTTAAAAGATTAAAGATGAATTAAAGACTTTTGTATCCGAAGTTCATTATGTTTGGATTTCTAAATAATTTTTGGAGTATTTTAATTTTGTAATTTTGAATAGATTAGGTCCTAAATAAGTAGTGCCAAAAATGCATTTTTGAATTTTGAAAAATATTCTTTTTTTCTTTCAATGACAATTAAAATAGATTTAATTTCCTAAATTTAATAAAATTAAATTTAATAGAAAAGAATATTTGATTAATTTTTTTATCTATAAAAATTAGGCCAAAATATTTTTTTAAACTAATCAGTCTTTACTCCTAAGTGATGGTAGATAGATGCCCATTGTGAATTAAACTGCTATAAAGATGCGCCTTAAAACTGATACTGCATCGGCTTGCATATTGAGAACTTTCCTATCTAGTAAGGTCATAATGTCCTCATAGATCACGATATTAGAACGCACAGCTCATATCTTCAGGTATATAACTTGATTGACTCTTTCAAAACAGATAGTATTTTCGCCATATAGACTTAACAAGGCATTTAAATTAATCGTAGTCAATTTTTAACCAAAATATCCAGATCATCAGTAAAATCACATATCTGGGAGAATATTTTGAATATTGTCAACGAGTGATCAAGATTTTGAAGATTTTGTTGTATATGTCATCATTCGATCATATAAGTTAATTTTGATTTTTTGTTAATAGGATATTTATTATTTGCGTCCCTTTCTGGGTTTAGAGTAGGTCTCTAAGCCTTGAGGCATCAATAAAAAGTAGTATAGATTATTACTTTACAGAGTTTTATTGCCTCTTCCGTAACAATATGCATTCCCAAGCCTATTCCGTATGTGCATTAGCGCAGGGCATTTTAACTGCACATGTGTGACCAACACCTTATTCTCGTCACAGAATCTACAGTTTGCATCCGTAAGTATACCCAGTCGCTGTTAGGATTCCTGTGATGATTCCAAGTTTTCTTTTGATAGGTTCGTACAATTCTGGTATCTCTTATTATTATAGGTACCAATAAGTGATTTGGATTGTGTTAATCCTGATATATTATACTCGTGACCCTTTTATTATGATTCTCCTTTATGTTTATGAGAAAAAGGAGCTTACTATGTCCTAGTCCCCCTTGCTAGGTAGTCACCTTGTCGTGGTGTAGGGGCTTATTGTGGACTGAAGCATGTCATATGGAAGTCATGACATGATGATTTTTCATGTGACATGATTCAGCACACAAACTAAGAACTGCCGCCAACGCACAGGTTGAAAGTAGGTATCTACGATTCCTGATCAGTCGTTGAGGCTAGCTAGTGGACTTTAATGGACACTTGCTAATTGGTCAGTCCTATAGGAAAGTGCGGCTATCTATCAGACCAATGACTCGCCTTCAGTACGGTCATGTCTCTGCTGTTTGTGGGTCGCCGATAGTCGGGCGGGGGAGAAGGAAAACTCCCTAGGGCAGGGTCTGTACACATTCTAGGCTCCCAAGGCTAGGTCTTGATAGACTGGAATATGAACATACCTATTGCCCCAAACAAACCCCCTAAACTCACAGTGGAACAGCTATGCTGGTGAACTTGCTTGACAGGGTAGAGTCAAGCTTAATAGCGAACTCCGTACCAGGTCTGGCAAACCTACGGTTTCAATTTGTCCTTCCCATGGGGGCGCTCATGGGTGACCAACCTGCACGGTTTATTTAAACTTACTTTGTATGGAACTAAATAACATTTTCAATTCTATGGACTGCACACCTTTAAATGTGCAAAATATGGCTTTACACAGCCAAAACTTATCACTGAACGAGGGGGCACCTGGTACCATCGTCAGTGAACAAATGGACCATGACTTGTTGGAGAGGGCACCTGGTCCTCTACCCGACAAGCCGGAGGAAATGGACATTCCACTTAGCCAAGAGTCGGCTGGGATGTCTATCTCCTCGGAACAGGAGAGAGATCTTCTGGAGCCTGGTCTAACTAAAAAGACTCAAACGAGGGTGAAGCTATCCGGCGCTGGACGCAAAAGGTTGAAGGCTTTACTTGCCAAGGGCATCCCCCTGGAAACAGCAAGGTCCTTGGCAGTAAAGCCGGCCACTGCGACTAACGAAGTGCAGGCAACACCAAAAAGATCCCGATCGGACAGCTCTACACCAACATCAAGCTCAAAACCGACAAAGCGGATTGCACTACAGGGCAAGAAAGTTGATAATAAATCAACAGTGCCTGCAACTGCTTTGCCGATTTTCAGTAGGATGAAGGAAGTAGAGACCTCACACGGGGGCAAACCTGGTCCCAGTAAAGAGGTGGCGACGGTATCTGTGGGGCAGGCTAAACAGAGTACTTCTTCCGAAGACCATTGTTCAAAGCCTACCCTAGCAGAGACTGTTCGCTCTAAGAAGATCGGTATACTACCGCACAATTTCCCAGAGGGCATTTGGTCCAATGAGGAAATTGGCAAGGTGCAGAAATGCATCCTCGACAAGATGTACGAAACTTATCGAGCTCCTGGGGTGAAGCCTCATTTCGCCGGTTACAGTCTAAAGCCCGGATGGTTTACCATTAACTGTCTGGACGACGAGACTGTAACTTGGTCTAAAGAGACAATCCCAGCCTTGAAGCCGTGGGAAGGAGCCCAGCTGAAGGTAGTGGACGAGGCAGAAGTGCCAAAGTCTGAAATCTATGTTGGCTACTTCCCAGGCTCAGCTTCCTGGCAAAGCGACCGTATTCTGGGAAAAATTGAGTGCCAAAATTCGGGCATGCGTGTCAGGGACTGGCGGGTACTCCACAGGCTCAATAAGGGCGATATCGTCGAGATGGCGATTGCTCTGGATCCTATGTCGTCCGAAATGGTCGGAAAGCTGGGCAATAAAGTCTTCTATGGACTTAGCAGTGCCGTGCTGAGACCAAGACATAAAGGAAACAGAGCAAAGGAAGTGGTTGAAGATGAGCGACCAACAACATCTGCGGCTTGTGCTCAGTCAAGCAACCAGAAGCCGAAAACGGGTCTCAATTCCGGGGGACCACCCTTGAGAGGGGGCAGAATCCGTGCCCAGGGCCGAAAACCTTCCGCTCTCTCTGGTCGTCTGAGGAAATGGGAACGAAAAGACCCGGAGGCCGCGGAATTGCTGCGCGGTACGAAGGGCGGCAAGGTCCGCAAGGGCCAGTCTGGAATATAATGTCCCGGACTCCGCCACATCCGCAAAACTCTTGGAGGCAACTTCATTGCCTCCAAATCAACCTCCACCGGGCTATAGCAGCTTCATACAGGCTCAGTGCCCTGGTGGAACAACACTGTCTGGATTTTGTGGCCATCCAAGAACCATGGGCCACAAAGGGGCGCATAAACGGTCTACAGACAAAAACGTGTAAGTTAATCTATGATAATAATGTTGATCGTCCTAGAACGGCGATAATGATTAACAAAACCATTAAATCTCTTCCAATTACAGAGCTTATACAGCGTGATCTGGTGGCGGTACAGGCAGAAGTGCCTAGTACTAGGGGGACGAGAATAATAGTTTTTGCATCTCTGTACCTCCCTGGCGACGCAGAGGAAGCGGTGTCTCTCGAGCTCCAGCAGCTTACAGAATACTGCCGTATCCGAAACCTACAGTGGGTAATGTGCTGCGACGCCAACGCACACCATACAGTATGGGGAAGCACAGACATCAATAGACGAGGTGAGTCACTTTTTGATTATATCACAACTAACAATTTAATGGTAGTTAATAAAGGTAACGAACCTACTTTTGTAAATGCGATAAGGGAAGAGGTATTAGATCTCACTTTAGCAAGCGCATTTATATCAAATAACATTTCAAATTGGAGGGTGTTGGAGGAGAACTCCTTATCAGATCACAGATATATACGCTTTGATTTGGAAGGGGAAGTTGAAGACACTTTCGAAATAAGAAATGTTAGGAAGACCAACTGGTCTCTATATAACTTCTATTTAGAACAAAACATTAGTTGTCTTGGGAATAGGATTACTAATTGTCAGGAACTAAATCTTGAGGTTAACAAACTAGAAAATATTATTACAGGGGCTTTTGAAAATAGCTGCGAACTTATCAAAAAGAAACGTTCTAGGAACGTCCCATGGTGGAATAGGGAACTAGATATTTTACGCAAAAAAGCCCGCCAGCTCCTTAATAGAGCCAAGTCCAATGGGGACTGGGCATCTTACAAGTGTGCCTTAACGGCTTACAATAGGGAATTGAGGAAATCAAAGAGGGAATCATGGAGGAGGCACTGCGAGGAGATTGAAACACTTCCTGCGGCTGCGAGACTTCAGAAATCTCTAAATAAAGACCACTCAAATAGCCTCTCTACGTTAAAGAAGGCTGACGGAAGCTTTACGGTAAGTCTGGAAGAAACGGGACAGCTTTTGCTGGACACTCATTTTCCAGGCTGCGCCATGTAAACTGAGACTACGGAAACCATCGAGGATACTCGTTTCTTATTGGTTACACGAAGAGATCTTTCACTGGCCCGTAAAATCTTTACAGTCAATAAAACTAAATGGGCCATTTCCACTTTCAGCCCGTTTAAATCACCTGGTATCGATAATATACAACCGTGCCTTCTTCAGAAAGGCGTTGATATATTAGCACCGATATTAACAAACTTATTTAGGATAAGTCTAGAATTAGGCGTAATACCTAAACATTGGACGAAGGCTAGGGTAGCTTTCATACCGAAAGCAGGCAAAAAGGCGGACCACACGCCAAAAGCTTTTCGGCCCATTAGCCTTACTTCTTTCCTGCTTAAAGCAATGGAGAAGATTCTAGATCAATACATCAGGGAAGTCTATATTAAAGCTTCACCTCTACATATTGAACAGTATGCTTATCAGTCGGGCAAATCGACCGACACCGCTATACATAGTCTGACGAGTAAAATCGAGAAGGCTTTAGACGGTAAGGAAATAGCTCTCTGCACATCGGTTGACATTACAGGAGCTTTTGATAATGCAACATTCAGATCAATTGAGGCAGGAATGGTCAGGAAAGGAATACATAGACTGATCATAACATGGATTCTCAATATGCTGAAAAATAGGACGATAATCTTTGAAATGGGGACGAAGAGATTAACTGTCAAGTCAACCAAAGGATGTCCTCAAGGAGGCGTTCTTTCGCCACTCTTATGGCTATTGGTCATTGACGAACTCCTACAGTCTCTTGGTGACCTCGGATATGAAGTTCAGGGCTTTGCAGATGATCTAGTCATCATGGTTAGAGGCAAATTTGACTCCACCATATCCGATCGTATGCAACTAGCTCTTGATATCACTCAAAATTGGTGTCAAGAGAAAGGACTCTCGATTAATCCGAATAAAACAAATGTAGTACCCTTCACCAGAAGAAGGAAAATGAGTCTAGGGACCTTAAAGTTAGGGGACACTGACTTAATACTATCTAAGGAAATGAAATATCTAGCAGTAATTCTAGATAAAACTCTTACTTGGAAAAACCATTTATCATATATAACTGGCAAAGCTCTAAGAGCAACTTATGCGTGCCAAAGACTGTATGGTAAAACATGGGGTCTGCGACCAAAAATGATGGCTTGGTCGTACAAGACCGTAATAGTACCGATGATCACCTATGCTTCTTTGGCATGGTGGCCAAAGGTAAATCAGACGAAGGCTAAGATGACTCTCAATAAGATTCATCGAACAGCCTGTCTAAGCGTAACGGGAGCAATGAGAACGTGCCCCACAGAAGCCCTAGCAATGCTTACTGGACTCACCCCATTACACATTACAGTTAAAAGGACTGCGACCAGTGCTGCACTAAGGCTTCCTTATCTAGGTGATCTTAAAGAGGGCAATCTGACAGGACACGCAAAGATTCTAGACGAAATCTGGAATTCTCCGTGCCTTAAGGTCTTCGACAAGATGAATAGAAAATTAGCTTTCTCCAGGGAATTCGAAGTGGTCATTAGTGACCGATCAACTTGGAGAAATAATAAAATAAACTTAAAGCAGGGCTCTCAATTATGGTATACTGATGGGTCCAAAATGGATAATGGCAGTGCAGGAGCAGGAGTTATGGGACCAAACTTCCGTAAAGCAATCGCAATGGGAAAAACTGCTTCCATTTTTCAGGCAGAGGTCCATGCCTTAGAGCTTTGTGCAAGAGAATGCATACGTAGGGGCACCCGAGGTACCAACGAGGCATTCTATCAGACAGCCAAGCAGCTCTAAAATCTTTAGCAAAATCCTTATTCCAATCAAAGCTGGTTTGGGAATGCTTTCAACTTCTCAACACCCTAGCATCGAGGAACTATGTTACTCTTATGTGGGGCATGAGGCATGAGGGCAATGAAATAGCAGACATATTAGCAAAGAAGGGTGCATGTACTCCTTTCATTGGGCCAGAGCCCTTCTGCGGGGTAACAAATAGCTTCACAAACAACTTATTATGTGAACGGGAGAAACAGCATCTACTTAAACACTGGAGAGCCCAAACAGGCATGCGACAGTCAAAAAGATTAATTGATCCTGAACACATCAAAGTTGATGCTATCATCAACCTTAGCAGAAATGATATCAAAATCTACACTGAACTTCTTACAGGACACTGTAGACTTAATTACCACATGAAGATTATAGGTGCGGTAGAAAGTGATTCCTGTCGACTCTGTCATGAGGAGAAGGAAACATCAGAACATGTTCTATGCAACTGCCCAGCGGTGGCAAGACGTAGACTCGATTACCTTGGTATCGGGATCCTGGTCCCAAATCAAATAGGTAAAATTAAGCCCACTGCAATTATAAGATTTATAAATAGTCTAAAATTGTCCTAGTTGGGCCTATAGGCGCACAATAGATCTTTTAGGTCGGGATGCACAAATAGCCTATTTTAAATAATAATAAATAATAATAATGTCCTAGTCCACAAAAAAGTCCCGGCCCAGGTTCCGGATATTTAGTAAGTTTTCATTTATTATCAATTTCTCAATTTTATACTTTGCCTATCTATAACGCACTGGACAACACACTTAAAAATCAAACGTCAAAATGTGACGTCAGAGTTGCCGCTTTCATGTATTTTGTATATCTGGGTAAAATACTACAATCTCCCTATTACTATTTGCTATTACTTACTAGATCCTTACATTAGATAAAATATTTTTTTGAGATATCTTCCCTTTTCCTTTAATGCGTTTTGTGAAATGGATGGTAGATTCAAGTGACTGCAGTGATGGTAGATTCAAAAACAAGATTCACTTTGTCACTGGGAGAAGGTCTATTATTATACCAAAGTTATGGGACACGTTGACTGCTCTATTGGTAGAAATACCACTATTTCGGAACTAGAAAATACTTTGTCACTTTGACAAAGTGGGCAATCTTTTTAATACTTATATTTGCGATATCGATCAGACATTTGAGAAGAAAAAGAAATATTAATTTTTATGTGGTGCGTGACGTATATCATTAATTAGTCAAAAGTCTTCATTTTTTACGTAAAATCTATTTTCAATTTTTTATTTCTTATCAACATTAAATTTAAAAAAGCTTTAATTATAAAAATAAAAAGGTTGCAAGTACAAAAATTATTAAGTGAAGCTAAAGTACATTTTAAATGCAAAGTCATAACGTCATCATCATGTCATAAATAATTACTCATAAAACACTTATAAAATATTTTACTTAAATGAAATTCATTGGTTTGATATGTAATCGTTGGGCTAGAGCTTCACAAGTTTTTAATTGATTTTCCAGATATTTAATGCCTCCTGCAGCATCCACAGATTGCATATTCAGGCTCTCTTTATCACCAGCGACAAGCACTGGTTTTGATGAATCAGTCTGCGAAAAAACAAAAGATTGTTAAAAATTTAATATAAAAAATTTGTGTCAGCACTCTTACCGGTTCACAGTTTCTTAAACGTGAATTGAGATCAGTGACACGTTCTTCAAATCCGGGCGCAAAGCAATTTGGATCTACAGCTATGAAAACTTGACCCAAATCGGCTGCCGTATTAGCGCCCGCATGCGTCCATTTACGTACTTTTGTGGAGTAGTTAGACCCTGCCATTACACCACACATTACTTCGACCATAGCACCTAAACCATAACCTTTATAGCCAGAATTTATTTCCGCCCCGCCAAGTGGCATAAGACAGCCAGTGGCAAAAGCCAATTCGGGATCGGTAGTTACATTACCATGTGGATCTTGTGCCCAACCATCGGGCAATGGTTCAGCTTTGCGACGCTGTATCTCAATCTTACCTACTGCAACTGCAGTAGTGGCCATATCCAAAAGAAATTTATCATCTTTACCAGGTGCGCCAAGGGCAAGTGGATTTGTACCAAGTGCAGCTTCTTTCGAACGCGTTGGCGCCATCAAAGGCGACGTATTGGTCATAGACATTCCAACAAGTCCATTATCCATAGCACGCATAGCATACCAACCAGCCATGCCATAGTGATTAGAACCCTTTGCACAGACCCAACCTACGCCTACAGCTTTAGCTTTTTTAATAGCCAAATCCATACAGAAATTGCCTACTACAGCACCTAAACCATTGCGGCCATCAACCCAAGCAGTTGAAGGTGTTTCTTTCAATATTTTAGGTATAGCAGCGCCATCTGTTGAGTTTATAGCCAAATCATTTATGTACATTTCCAGGCGATTCATGCCATGACTGAAGTGACCACGATGGTCAGCTGCTACAAGCAAATCGGCCATCGCCTTAGCATTCTCATCTGGAACATTGACGGCACGAAAGCAATCAATCATAAAACGGCGAGACTCCTCTACGGCCACTAGCTTCGGTTTCGCTTCTGTTGCTGACATTTTGCGGAGAAGTAATTCTAAATTTCCTGTAAGACAACAAATATTTGAAACCACAAAAATTCAACTTATTCTGCTGCTTCTTATTTGACTACGACTGTTTGGAAGTTACTTTGCAACTGAATTGAATGCAATGTTAAATGAATGATAGACAGTTAATTGACAAAGCGAAGACGCGATATGAATATTAGAAATGCGAAGCGATGGTCAAGAAGAGCGAAATTCAAAGAGAGTTCGGAAAGATTACAAACTGTGGGACCGTATTCGAACAAAAAGTGTTTTCTGATATTATGTTTTATATTTGACTTAAATACGAGTATAATACTTAGTTACTTGCAGTGTAAACGCGGAACCGACAAGTACTGCGATAACACTGAAAATGCTCACTTATCTTTATGGGTTTTGGTGATAAGTAATTCGGTAATGCATTTAATAGTATTATTTAATTAGAGAAAATATTGTCATTTCAAAAAACAATACAGCTGTACATGGTTTAATTAACAATAACGACATTTATTGATAGGTGCGACCTTCTTTAGTTTATTCTATTTATGTATCTTGAACGAAGTGCGGTTGGTTTCGTCAAAAACTGTAGTCGTATTACTCATATTGCAAATTACTCACTGGACTTTGTAGGATAAATGCTACTTATTTTTCGAGAATCAACTTTTTGATAGCTGAAATTGGAACGTTTTTGTTTGCGAATAAATAAATTGAACAAAGGCGAAAATATACTCATTAGTTACAGCTCTGGAGGAGCACGGAATGTTTCTATTGATTCAATGGCAGAATAATGTAAACTATTTTACTATTTTCGTAATGCTTATCACAGCTAGAGTGTTTGCGTGCCAACAGACTTTGTGAAGGTTAAGAAAATTTCTGTGCGCGTAATAAATTATTAACAAATTATTAGCAAGGGTGCCGTATTCGCAAACAGTGGGCCTTACAGTTGCTTTAAATTTTTTCAACTTGACAAATAAAAATATCAGCGAAATTCCGTTAACCCTGAATTTGGCCTCATTAATCAAAAATATTGTTTGCTAAGTAATTTTGAGATACATATCTATATATATCAGGTCGGTTGTATTAGAACTGTACTTTTACAACATTGTTATAATGAGCTACGAAGAAGGAACATATCTGCGCTAGTATACTAGGAAGTGGTTGGTATTGGATTTCTTATATCAGCTGGTGAAAAATATTTGGAGAAAGTCATTGATATAATGGCTGAACCACAAAGCAAAGCACAGTGACGAAGTTTCAGAGAAGAAAGGAATTTTTGCTTATTGAAGTCAATACCATAGGTTTGAATTTCTTGTTGCTCCATTTATTTATACACTGAGAATTATTTTGCAAGTTTGAATTTGCTAACCAAAGATAATGAATTTTATTTTAAATCCAGCGCACTTGAGTAAACTAAGTTCACTTCAAAATTTCAACTGAAAAGGTGAACGGTACTTAGTTGTCGCAAACTATTGAATTCGGAATCCGATCTTTAAAATTACCGTATTTATAACTAACAGTTTTTTATAAATCATTGGTAAACCGAAGTTTTTACAGCAAATGATTTCAATTGTATTTAAGATTTATTAGTATTTGATCTTCAGTGATTGAAATGTGGAAGAACTCAAGAAAAGAATCCCCTACAAATATTCATTAAGATGTACTTGTATTGTATTCTTATATTACGCTGGTCTGGAAGAATTTCCTATATGGACTTGCAGAATCTGTAGCTAAACATCATAAGTGATTGTGGATTGGCCGTTCCTGTGATGGAGGAATCTAGAGTCGCTGAGCAGGTGCTCCAGCAAAAAACATCGCTTTGAACTGGTATTAAAGAAATTTGTGATGATTAGTGTAAAGATGCCACGGGTACAGAGTGAATATGATACGTCTAGACTAAGATAGTCTATAAATATAGTTATCAATTTTATCAATTTTTCATCCAAAAATCGTATATTTAATAAAACAACTATGCAAAAACAATAAAGGATGATACACAGAAACCGACTTTTCAAGTTTTAATGGGAACGAAAATAATATAAACATGTTCTCTTACATATTTTATTTATATTGCCACTTGATTAGATCTTGAACAAAACTCTTTAAAACACTAAAGTATTCAAAGCAGCTTATTCGATTATATATGAGAATTATGTTTTTCGAAGGCGTTATGAGTTGAGTTTTAGATAACGTCTATTAAACATAGTGAATAACTGGAAAGGCTGATCCTATAATCCTGACTGTAAAAGTGTTAAAACTGCACTTTTCTGTCATTGAAAAGTTTAAAATAAATATGGAAAAAGTTTAAAACATAAGTAAATAAATAATTATCTTTTCGATTTATATAGGTAAAAAAGCCCCACTAATTACATGAAGAAGTACTTAAACAATTTACAAATGCACACTCAACACTTTTTTGAACTTTTAAATTTTCACATAAATATTTACATTCTAAAATACTTTTTAGATTTATTTTAAAATTGAAATTCAATATTTTTTTTTATTGACGAAATGCTTAGTTTGGACATGTTTTAATGACACTCACTGTAATTTTGAATAATTCTGTTACAATCGAAAGAAATCAATCAACGTCACTTATATACCCAATGCACTTGAACTTGACGTCTCCGCGTATCAATTTTGAATGTTAACGATTTTAAAACAGAAATATATTTTGCCAATTAGTGAATACTTAGTGCCCTACATTTTACATTCGGTGTGTGCAGTTTTTCAAATAGCTTGAATAGTATTGTAGATATGTAATATATTCTGTTTATGTATAGTTTTGGATTTTCTAATACTTTTATATTCTTCACTTTTTGGTTAATAATTAAGTTCATAAATTTTTTGTAACGAAATCTGAGTGATGAGTTATATATAGCGTGTATTTAGGTCTACTAATAAAATATTGTTAGTATTAGGATATTTATAGCGTAAAAGCTTTCATTAATGAAGAAATATTTTCTATTTCAATTATATGATATAGAGATTAAATTCATCAATATGCTAGTAAAGAATATTATATATTATTATGTATGCATTTCTATGTATTCTGAAACCGTTCGCCAGTGTATGGCATAAGAGATTATAACACCAACACCAAAGTATAACACCAAAAACTTTCTCTTTGCTCCCTACTAATTTTGACACTATTAGGTTCAAAGTAATGATGAGCGGTTTAGGGTAGTAAAAATCAGCACAGGTTTTTATTCAAAAGGGAGTAGATTGGTATTAATTCTTTATACATTAACACATAGGTATAATGTACTCATACCTGAACATGTAAGCATTGGTACATATGAGGACTGAACTGTTTTTTTAACTCTACCTAGAAAATGGTAAAAAACAGTTATATGCAATGAGATACTTGTTCATAAATTCCACTACTGGAGTTTATCAACCAAATAATTTTCTACAGTAATAGAAATATCTTAAATAGAGCATTTATTATCAAATACTTGATCGAAATCTTAATTTTTTATATAGAATTATATGGATATACTAGTAATATAATCATCTATGATTGGAAAGTGCACGGGTCTGGTTTCATTATAGTTTTTTAATTCAATTTGTTTTCTATCGAAGCAATTATGTGATATTTTAAAATTATTGTTAAAAAAATATTGCAGACAGGATATAGAACAGAATAAAAATAAACGGGGTGCCAGCTCCCAATGGAGCGGAAAACTGCGACCATAGTTGATCTTTTGTACTACAACAGATCCTAACCGAGCAGAAGACATTCCGCCTTCCGAATGGAAGCTAGACAGTGATCTCCTCCTGGCCCAGATCAAGGCTGAATAAGGTATATATGTTACATTCCCTATGGAGCACTATCCTTTTTTGTATTAGGTTTTTATTTTTAACATATAAAATGAATTAATTATAATAGTGGAGAGTCACTAAAAATCATAAAGCAGCAACACAGCAATAATAGATATGTATTCTAACTACACAAACAGACAAATGTAGCTATTATATACAGTCGTGTTGATTGACCACATTTGTGTTCATAAATTTATGTCCTAAGTTCTAACATTGGCAACAGACCACCGGCAGCTTTCAGTTCCGAACAAGAACCATATTGACCGCAGACAGATCTGTTGAAAATATTAGCTATGCTGTTGGCATATATACTACACTAATATATATATGTATGTATATTTGTGTTAGCGAATGATATGTTTGTTGGGTTTATTTTGAACAGATTCATTTCTTTATTCAATATTGAAATATATGTATATGAATATAGCACATAGCACATGTGTTATTTTTTGAAAATGATAACTTTGAAGACCATCAAAACAATAAATATTTTTGTATATGAAAAAGTCTATTTATATTAATATTTTTTATAATTTAATATAGTGAAATAGATTAATTAAAGGCATGTGATAAAATTAATAGCTGTTTTTTCAATGAAAGTGAAAAGGTCAAAAATGTTCCCGAACCACAACGAAGATTATGTACGTTGCGTGCGTTAATCGTTTCCGACTCTCAAACCATTCTCGCCGGCCACTTCACGCCACTTACACCCTTCGTTCTAGTTAAAGAACACTTGGGTTAGGTAGGTACTGGCTTCCATATTTTGCTTGTTTACTTCCAGTTCTCTTTGATGATTTATTTATTAATTTATTTGTTAATTTATGTACTTCAATCAATCGCATTGAAATTCAGTACAGCGAGATAAGATTAAAAGATACAATGTTAACCAAACAATTAGTACGTTTTAAATGGGATTGAATGAATGTTACTAAGTACTTACAATGTGGTATATAAACGACTATATATATGTGTGTATGACTGTATATATATTTAGATGTATATGATATTAAAAATAAATTTAAAATTTGTTAATTACCTGAAATGGCCAGTGTTTGCGGAATAATTTTGAATCATGTTAATGTGCAGCCAATATTTATGAGTGCGTTTATCTGAGGCGTTCCGGTATGAGGCGATCAGGTTGTAGTTACAAATGATTGCTGACTGAGTTAGAGGTGGTTAGAGGCGCATGACATGACAGGCAGGCAGGTAGATAGGTATTTGGACAAGTGGGCGTTACATATTAAATAAGTATCTTAAATGAGAAGTACGAAAGCGAAAATAAACATGTAATGAAAATGTTTTAACCATATTTGATAACAGTAACAACAATAATAAGTAAATAAATAAACAGTATCTATGATAAGTAAAACCTACAAAACGCTTCTTGTAGGTTTAGGTATGATAAATGCTATGAGAAAGTTGTTTTCAATTGTATCTCAATGATTTACGTATTTATTATAAATATATTTAGTAATTAAAGAATAAAGAATAGTAAATTATAATAAATAATAAAATAATTAAATGGTAGGCGTTTGAATGTAGTCTATTTTGTTGATAATATTATGAGCCCTTATAAGTTGAAAATAAATATTTTTTTTATTTTAAAATGTAAATAAATAAAATACCATATTGTTTATCAATAGTTTAGAACATTTTAAAAGCTCTCCTCACAACAGTAAATAGAATATTTAAATGAATAATAACAACGCCAAATAAGTGGTCGTCGATATAATAATTAATGCTAATTAACTTCGTTTACACATTTAAGGTTTATTAAACATTTTTAACAGTGGTGTAAATTAGTAAATAACACAACTTCACCTCAAAAAATTTAAAACTTATTTTTGTTGTATATTCTACAATCGCTATAAACAGCGCTATAAACTCTTCACTCTTCACTCTTATCACAGACGAGTCTTGGACTTCCAACTTCCAGTTTTTATTCATAATATTTTGATTTCAATTAGAAAAAATAACAATTTTTTCGTTAATGTATGTGGTGGGTCTTGAACTCCCGCTTTTTATTAATAATATTTTGATTTAAATTAGAAACAACAATTTTTGTTGTTTCATTAAAGTGAGTAGAACGCAATTTAATTACAGTTATTTTCTTTCTTTTTTTAATTGAATTAAATTGATTTTTTAACGTTAAAATAATTTTATTGGTATTTTTTTAAGGAAGCATTTTTTTTTCAAAAAATAATTAATAGAATTTTTATATTCTTCTTCTGAAAAAATAGATCTTCTCATATTGTTGAAATTTCATTACTTTTGTTTTGTATTCTTTAAGAACAAATACATGTAATATATGTATATGTGTGTATACACAAATATGCATGTAAGTAAATACCAAGTTTACGAGTTGTAAAAGAATTCAATGCTTCTTCAGACAATAGCAATTAAGAACTAAAAATCTCCATTTGTTTTATTGAATCTTTCTTCTGAAATTAATAATATTCTTTCACATCTTAACTATCAGGTTTATATAGATTTGTTAACAGACTATATAGGAGAAATAAAAAAAGCTGTTTAAATATAAATATTTATAAAGATATAATTAGCTTTCTTTTTAAACGAATCTCTAAATTCTAAATTTTTTCTTAATTTAATCATCATAGTACAATAAATGAGATTAGTTTTATTTGAACTTAAAAACATTTTAATTTTCTAAATAACTTTTTTTTCTTTTTTGCAATTTTTCAATATTTTCATAACGAAAATCAGTTAAATTAAAAGCAATACATATATATCTCTACATGGACGTAATATTTAAAGTCATACTTTCATATATGTATATTGTGTTTATATAACAATAGTGATATTCACGGTCTCGAGTAACGAGTTCGGTGACTAAGTAACAGTGTAAGGCACTCACAACAAAATATATATTGAGAACATATATTTTGTTTTTGTCACTTTACACCATTACTATAGTGAATATAGTATATACTATATACTATAGTGTATACATTGTTCGATTAACGAGGACGGTACTCGAGAGCATGACCACACACCACTGGCAGTAATGTGATTTGATATTGTGCTTGATGTTAAAAATTGTTAACAGGTGTTTTACTATAAGGAATCGATAGTTAAGAACAAAGATGGGATCAACTAATGGCATAGTGTTTAGAGCATCCGTTTACTTTAAATATTTAGTACCAATTTAGTAACTTATTATAATTAGTATGTTCGGGAGACATACTAACCTAGAGACCTAGAGATCTATTGTGCTCTCTTCATGAACTGCAAGTATTGCTTCTACTACAATTTCCTCTATTAATTATAGTATTGTACCTCTATTACAGAATCTTATTTTTTTATCCGATATAAGACCACCTAGATATTTTTTTCGAATTTTAAAGCTTAACTTAAAAATTTTTTAATTATCAAAATTACATATAAACATAATGTTTTAGTAATACTGTGATACAAAAATAAAATGAATAAAATAAAATTATTATATATATATTGAAGTATATAAAATATTATTATGAATAAAATTATAATAATAATAATTTAATTTTTAATACATTTTATATCTAGGTATATATAATAATATATATAATAATATAAATATTTATATGTTATATATTTTATATAAAAGTTATATATATTATTTATAAAGATATATAATATATAGATATATATTTATTATAAAGATTATTTAATTTTTCATTTATTTTATATTTAATATAATTATATTATATATTTATATATATATAATTATATATAATATATATTAATGTATACGTATTATATATCGCATAAAATTTTTTAAATTAGCTCCTACCTCTATATATAATTGTAGCTCTACTGTTGGCAGATCATTGTATGGTTGGCAACTATGTCAAGAGTTTGAATATATTGGTCAATGACTTGTGCCGCATTTATTATGAAGATGAAGAAGGGGAATAAAATAAGGACTAACTTTCTAAAGAATTTTAATCAGTTATAAGATATCCTTTCGAAGAGCATCTTAGACTATTATAGAGTTCGAAATGATTTTAAGCCCTACGAGATGTACATGGCAACACAGTGGATCAGTCAACAGGCCTAAGTATATCTGTTGCATGATCATAATAAACTAACTTAATATAATTTCTTATTTAGCGTTTTTGATGTTAAAAGAATAAAATGAAAACGTAAGGACTGAGGACAATTCTATAAATTATCATACCACATCGTTAAGACAATGCAATAAATGTTAAAATTGTTTTTTAATTTTTTATTGAGTTAAATATATTATTAATTAATTCATGAAATTTTTAATAATTCAAATTAGAAAACTAAATTAAATTGAATACTTTTAAAGCTAATTTAGTCACTGGTTATTGTTTTTGCTGTTAATATATAATTAAAATATAATTTAAAAAGTTTAAGTATGGGAACAATAATGATTACGTTTAATCATAAAGTATTTCAAAAATAATAAAGATGGACATCAATGAATACGGCATGAAATTTTAATATCAGACTTGATAGTTTTTTTAGAATTTTTCATTAAATTTTAATACCTTTCATAGAGCAATAACAATTACAGATATCAGCGTTTAAGTATAAGAATAAGAATAAAATTTGATTCAATGTATAAATAAATATAAATAAATATTCATTTATAACTTAATCATGTTATAGTCTTATATTAAGTAATTATTTAAATGAACGTCTCCATCTATATGACTTCATACAAATTCTTTGTTCAAAATTTCAATTGGTTATCTCAAAAACTAAAAAATTGATTTACATATTACAGATAGGGAGTAAACAACCAGATAGATAGATAGGTGAAGACAGATGGAAAGCAAACATTAAAGAAACTAAATCTTAATTTCATTAATATCAGTAGTTTTAGCTGCAGTGGACCGTAATGACGTGTTCGAATGGTAAATCTGGATTTAATGTAGATTTTCTTTGATCTGTCAAATTTTGTTCCCCAGAAAGTACATATAACAAAATTAGTAAAACAAAATTTTTTTTTTATAAATACATAAATAAATACGTGCAATGAATTAAATCACACTTTATTTATGAAGTCATATAAAACAGCTGATAATTTCAAAGTAATCTGCCATAATATCTAGAATGTTAAAAATTAATCTCAAATGTTATACATTTCGTTTGATATTTATCAATCGAAAATGAAAATTGCACTCAAAAGTGAATCTTGATTAAAAAAAATACTCTAGATTTACCATTCCGGAAAACGGAATTAAATCACTGATAAATCACTGAATCACTGATTTAAATCATCTAAAATTCATGAACTTTACTGCGTTAACTTATACTTAAGCCAGCTATGGGATTTAAGCTACGACAGTTAAAACGTCTTTAAATTTTAGATTTAATATTACCTTACTTTTCATAAACATAATCTTAAGTTTTTGTTTTGGGAAACTACCAACACCAAGGTCGTGTGCGCGTTCGAGTAAATTGATGGTAAATTGAGGAAAATAGTAAATTGTTTCAATATGGCAGAAAATGTTGGTATTTACCAGAATTTTGAGTAGGATAAATTAGATAAAAATTAAGTAAATTAGGTGTCACCATTGTGAAAATTTTATAAGATGTTTAATAAATAAATTTGAAAACTTTTAACCAAAAATAATAAATAAGTGCAATAAATAAATATTAACATAAGTGCAGTGCAAAAAATCCCTAGAAAATTCCAATTTACTTTACCTCAATTTATTCGAACTAGCACACGGCCTAAGGAACCGACAAAACGCACACTACACATAATTTAAATGTACATTGTTAGTAAAATTGGCTCGTCATATACACTTTATTTTTACACATTATATTATGAGTATAAACTGTAAATTTAATTTAAAAAGTAGTCGTCATTTTTTGTAAGTATCATATTAAGGTATTAATAAATGAGTATGTAAATAAGTAAGTAAGTAAGTAAAGTACCATGTAAACATAAGTTTATGACCTTGGAAAAGACATATGCACGCATTTAACTACGTAAATCTCGTAAAGCAATTTAAAAAAATATCGATAAAGCTAAAAACATCGAGAAATCTACTAAAAAATGTACTTTTTAATATATAAACTTAATTTATTTATATCTGCAATATTTATATATAATATACCTCAAAGTTTAGTCATACATAAATTTTTCAATATAATTTTATTACTTAATAGCAAAATAAGTTATTAATAGAATACAATTATTTTTAACATTACATAAATCATTTTTTATTTATACTAAATTAGACATAACATTATATAAATTATTTATTTATTTATTATTCACATGTAAGAAAATACAAAAAAAAAAAATGTCATGACCAAACGATGCGATGCGTATGTAGTTTAATGAGTTGGTACACGGAAAAATACAAGCATGCAAATAAGTAAATGAATTTATTTAAGTAATAAAATTACTATTCCCACACATATTTCAATCATTTAAATTTATTTATTTACATAATTTATTTACCAGAATTGTTTGTATGTTGGCGCCTTTGTGAAAGCAGATCATTGCACCGCAGCGCTGAGGCTGAGAGCAGTTTTAGTTGGCGTTGTTGTGTTTTAATGCATTTTAGCCACTGTGCAGAGATCAGAATATTTCTCGCAAACACAGCACTCAAAGTCAAAGATGTCATCGTAATTTTTCTTTCTACCTCGTTTTTTAGTGTTGAGTTAAGTTTGGTCTGTTGCTGTCGCCCTTTTTTTGAAGTGCAAAAAGCTGAGTTCAGTTGATGCTGTAAAATTTTTAATTTGTTTAATTCATTTTAAAAGATTTAATTAGTTTAATTAATAAACGAAAAAAACTAAATGTTTATGTTGCGCCGTTTTGCTAAGTTCAAAAATTTCAAAATTAATTTTGGTGTAGTGAATTTACAGCCAAAAGCGTTAAATCAAACACTATTTCGTACCGTACCAGAAAACAATAAGAAGTGTAAGTGATTTTGATTTTCTAAATTTTTGCTTATAAAACTAGCACAAATCATCAGCATTCACCGTCTGCCACGAAATTTAATGCATTCGCGAGTAACATGCACACAACCGACCTAACGTATCTTTACCGTGCCAAACACAACTGAAAGTGAAAAATCAAAATAATTGAGTGCTTTCAACTTTTTTCCTTCTGTTTTGTTATTATTTTTTGGACATGCGTAAAGTTATGAATAATTTTGCAATAAACAAAATACGCAAAAATTGTGTGCGGTCACAATAGATAATTTCTTAGTGTGGTGAATATCTGTTTCTGTTAGTGTTTATGTTGAGTGCAAAACAAAAATGTTAGTATTACGCTTTAAACTACAGAAATTGCTTATATGGTGTATTGATACGTTGGTGCCTAATTTGGTAGTTTTATAAAACTAGTAAACAAATATTCTAAAAATATGTGCTAATTCTTATGTGTATTATAATAATACTCTCATATATTAAATTTTATTAATTTATTTTATAATAATCATCAACTAATTATTGCAAAGCGTATATGAATTCCATTTATTTTTAAGGTTGAAAATTTAAAATTTTTTTTTTGATATCATACATATTAACGAATAATATTTTTTCTAATTTTCATTTTTTATTTTTTATGCATTTAGCTCACACATTTTTTTATATAGATTTGTTTTTAGTTTCGCTTTTAATGCTAGTAATTTTTTTTTGAAACAAAAAATTGGAGAACAGAAAAAATATGTACAATTATTTCAACTTTTAGTCAAGTATTAATTATATTAATTAAACTATATACATATATCATAATCACTAAAAACCCTATAATCTGGGACTTCATATCATATAATAATATATAACAAGCATTGGTCAGTCTAAGAATTTACGTTTCTATTTGAAATAGAATTCTTGTTACTGAACATTAATAGTTATTAATTGTAAAAATATCTTAAGATTTTTTTTTTAAATTTATAAAATTATAGCATATAGTTTTATTACACAAACAATTCATATTTTTCTATTTAAATATTTTACTGATAACAAAATATGGTAACTAATTTAATACTCGTACTTGCTTTCAATCTGAAATTTAAGATTGTCATGAAAAGTAAAATAATTGTTATTGCGGTAGAACCGTGGTTATCCCCTCGCTTCACATAATTAGCAATTATTTGTCGCTAGATCAATTCAGTTGAGATCGTAAAGTTTAATAGATAAGCACTTCTAACTGATCAGCACTTTGACAGACTATTTAGATAGTACTTCCCGAAAAGTTTGCTTCTATTGTTAGCTAAAATAGGGCAATCACAAAAGAATTGTGTGATTATCTCTTCTTCGTCCAAGTTTCAGCAACTTCTACAAATGTTATACGAAAAGCACAATTTCTCCGTATGGGGTTCTACACAAGAGTGACTTAAAATAATTGCAATTAACTTAGTAGGTATGGAAACATTTTATCTTAACGAATTCCCTCGGTCTAGTCTTATTGTATGAAGGCCATGTTCACCGCGATGTTTTACAAAGGTGGAGATATGTATCTCTCTAAACAATCTTAAGATATATACTGGTACGAAACGGGCATTTCTCAGCAGAATCATAAAGCCAGATTTATTACAATTAAAATGTAGTGTTGCGTTCAAATTTGGTTTTAAACATCTTTAATAAATGAAATAACCTGAATTGATTTGCGTATATATTCAATATACATATATATAGTATAAATCGTTTTGCATAAAGAAAATTGTTGAAATATGTATATGAGAGCAGACTACAATTTTTAAGGCTTTCATCATCTTTAAAAATTCTTTTTACTTTTAATCAACTCGATTTCATTCTCTATCCCCGATATAGTGCATATATTGAAACAGACAATAATATTCTTGGAAATTGATAATCTGTCATTTAATTTAACTAAGTACTCATAAATAAAATAACAAGGAGTCTATACCCTCCATAATCTTTTTTTCTATTTTCTTCATTCTTCATCATTAGCCCTTGATCAATAAATGCCGTTTTTATAGTATTTATACATATATATAATATACATATATATAATATACATAATATACATATATATAATATACATATATATCATATTAAACAGTGTATGTTATATAATTATAACTCTCGCATTTTTTTAAAAAAGCTATAGCTATATGAAGGTTGTTGAGATATATAAAAACTAGACGCATACATATACTTTTCGTGAATATAGGTAGATATAACTTACCAATTTATATTAAGTTGTGGATGTGAACACTAACTATTTCTAGAGATATATTTTGCACATGAAGTTCTTATAAACTCAGGTAGTTTAAGTTTATGAATAAATGAAATTGGTTAAGTTTGTTATTACTGGTTGAAATATCCAATCGAGTATAAACTTAAATTCAAACTAACTCAGCATATTCACACGTAACTATTGTGTATGCGTCTTTTACAGTACTAAGATATGGTTAGTAATACTTCAAGTTCAAAACCGCACAATTTTTTCGTATATCTTCTTTATTCCACTGCAATTTGGTATGTCATTCCCACGATAACAATGTCAGCAAGGCGCTTGATGTAGTGATTATTAATATCATCTATAAATTCTATATAAACCTATGAAAAAACTATTTCTATATATCTATAAAATATAGCTATATCATCCACATAGGTATAAAAAGATTTTATACCTTTTGAAATCAATATGAATCTTGGAATCCGAAATTTAAACCTCACTTTTATTATAATGAACATTTCCATTAGTAATTTTTATAAGAAAATTTTTGTTGTCGTCTATATCTCTTAAATAGTTAATCAATATAGGTATAGCATTATTATTGTTAAGTAGTATCATAAACTGTATGCAGGTATTTATGTTTTGGGAAAGTCAAAGTTAACCTTAACTAAAATACAGTAAAAGACATATTCAGATTTATTTATGCATTCACTAATTTTATAAAAAGATATATAACGCATAACTGACGGTAGTTGTGGTATATAGGTATACTAACTGAAACATCTGTGTACGATATTTATTAATTGAACATCAGAGTTAATCACTGACTCTCTATTCTTTCATTTGCTCAACTCTAACAAACGTGATTAAAACAGTGCTCTTATATCGTGTATTGAGGTGTAGAATACTAATCATTTTGATTGTCTCTAAATACAAAGGCGATCTGGTATAAAATAGGTTAAACACTTGGTTTTGGGCACACTGACCGAACACGAAAAACAAATACAAAAACAGAAGCAAATGCAAAAACAAAATTCATGTACGAATTGTAAGTTCCGAATTTCAATGTGGGGAACTCTCTAACCCGAAGCTCTCTGATTTCGGTGCCGTGACCATAACGAAAGCTTCGTAATTATGCTTTGTTGTCGATCGATTTTTTTTGTATTTTTTATATTTATATTTTTTTATCAATGAAAGCCAGCGAACAAAGAAACAAAGACTTAAAGTTCCCAAAAAAATGATCGCTGACTGTTTAAATTGGCACAATTGAAAAGTGCAAAGCAATCAATTAACTTTTGACTTTCAGCTATGATTGAGAAGAAACTATCGTCACAATAGTATCTGTATCTTATAGATACGGTTTCATTTTAATTAACGAATAAATAAATAATAAATATCACAATTGAATGAAATGAAATGGATGAGTACTGTGTGTCGGCTGAATCATAAGCACTTGTCGCGCGGTCTGCTCATTCTACGTCGCGGAAACTTCGAGCGTCGCCTTTGAACGTCGGTCGGTAAGCGCTGCCACTGTCAAGAGTCAATGGAGATTGCGACGTCTTCCCTTATGCAGAGCGAGCGCTTCGACGCGAGTAGTTTTGATTTAACCATTTTTGCTCATTTTTATTTGTTTTGCTCAGCGGCGCGTACTCATGCACAATAGCCAGCCAGATACAGATACAGTGCTTAAGCTCGCACCATTGCCCATATACCCACTTTCATCACATTCCAGTGCACACAGTTTATTGTATTCTAAGCGATAACAACATCAACATGTCATGATGTCAGCTCAAGAGCTCCGAAATATTTTGTAAACATTTCAAATTTTTTTAGTGTGAAGTGAAGAGCCAAATTATTAAAATTATTAAAAAAGTAAATAATAAGGCGACGCGCTACGCGATTCTGTATCTAAAAATAGTGATTTTGCAGTAAGTGAAAATAAAACGCGATTTAAAATTGCTATTGTTTAATTTCGCAGCGGTGTGAAGTACGAGTACGAGTACGAATACTGAATCAGAATCAGAATCTGAATAATTCAGTTTGATCATTGCAGCAGTTAAGATCAGCAAATGGCTACCTTCAAGTTGGGCGAAGTGAAAGCCGACCTCTTTCATGTGCCGCACACATATTCCTTGGCACACGCGGTCTCCGCGGATTTCGAAACCCAGAAAGGTACTTTGGCTTGGCAGTTTACAGTGATTTTCGGACAAGTGGATGATCTCAGAAAGCAGCATATGAACGCTGGGAATGTTGCCGTGCTCGAGCATAACTCACGTTTCGTTTACTTTTTGGTGACGAAAGACAGTTTATATGGAAAATCGACTTATGACACAGTGGAATCGGCTTTGATCTGCTTGCGACAACATATGGTAACTTTTTGCTACTACATTTTTTATATCAAACTATTTGCTCTAATCTAGTTTAACTATCTACCCCTCCACCCCAGCACCTGTTCAGAAACTAACTAACTAAAAAGGCAATTTATTACACGACAGTCGTGCTGTTATTATGAAAAAAAAAAACACTGATAAATAGCATTGATAAATCCCAAACATATTTCGCCATAAAAAATAGTTTTTTATGGAAGAATTATTATTAATGTCAACGCAAAACGCAAAACATGGTAGATCGTGTTAACCAAAAGAGATTAATTAAGATACTTTATTTTGTTAGAATCTAAATCTGAATTAACAATTCAACATATGTTGTGTCTTATCTTCGCAAAAGTTAAGTAAACATAGGAAAAGTTTATAATCATAAAGAAATGTGATCCAACAAATTGGGACAAGTTATTGTGGGAAAGTCTAGTCTCTTCGAGGGTATTTGATGACTATATTCTTCGTTTTTGAATGGTAGAATTGTAGTTTAACACTTGTACTGTAATAAATGTGACATCAGAGATCCATTTATATTCCGTAATGGGTTCTAATCTATTCATAAATAAAATAAACATAAAATAAACAAGGAAAAAGTTTTTAGTTATAAAGATATAAATCCAAAAAACTAGGTTATGTTATAGAAAGAAAGTAGCTTTGAGGATATTTGGTGAATGCCCTTTTAAAGGAATGGTATTGTTTTTTATTTCCTTTCCAAATTTAGTATGAAAATTGTGTATATATTAAGTATTATACGACTTCAGAGACTTTTATAAATCATATATATTCTTCAATAACCTACAAGATGTAGTGATATCAGTTTGGCTTTGGCATGAATAAACGAGTTGTGAATATTAATAAAAAAGAAACCTAAGATCCCTTGACTGGGGAGTCCGAAATTTCATTCGGGTTTCATATAAACAATTAGAACTAAGTTTACGCATTAAAGACTTGTTAACAATATAGGTATCTTCATTTGAAGTTCGAAGCGGTTATAAATCAATAAACCAACACAATTAAATTGATTTTTTAGATAACCGTTATAATCTAACCTACAACTTATTGTCATATGATCATCATATATTGAAAGTAATTAAGTGTATTAATCTATATATAATTAAACTATTAGTAGCAGACTATAGAAATTTGACTTAAATCTGCTAAATATATACAAAAATTAGTGACAAGTAAAAAAAGCTTTATATCAATGATAAAAAAAACTTAAAATAAGATCGTTTTCAGAGTATTAGTTTATATATCCCATTAAAGTAATCTTTATCAATATCTACTAATACCTCTTCAGCGTGAAGTGACTCTCCATGCTTCACTGAAAGCATTACATTTTGTTCCTTTTAAGTTTTGTCATTGTGACCTTAAACACATTTTTTATCAACATATATTAATACCTCTTCAGTGGGATGGGAACCTACACCCATAATGATATCGATTCAATCTCATGGTGTCATTAATAGTACTATCTTTTTAATATGAAACTTGGTCATTTTCTTTCCAAACACGTTTCTTATTAATATATATTAATGTCTCTTCAGCAGAATGTGAGCCTCAATTGTCGATTTCACTTCAACCTCAACTGGGAGTTGAAACTCTGCCATTCACTTTCCAAATACATTCTTTCGTTTTTCCACTATTCTTCTTAGTTCTAACAAATTTTCTGTATTCAATAGACTTAATGTTGACTTTTAACTTATTAAAGTTCAGCTCTTTTGGGTTATTTATATTTAATTTTATACCTCGCAATTTATTCTCTATAATATATCTTAGGCACTTCATTCTTTTAATTTGTCACCTACCGGCCAACTTTTTTATTATATGTGGGTCAAATTTTAATTTTAACTATAAAATAACTATATAATCTGTATGGATTGTCGGTGAAAATTTGGTTATAGCTGCCGTATAAAGCAACCAATCGAAAAGAATAAGAATGAGCGTAAATGTTTCTCGTTACCAGTCTTTTGTGTTTTAAAAAATGCTTTTTATTTATATATAGGTATATGTTTTAAGTCCGATTATTTATATAGCATTCTTTCTTTAAAAAGTTGTTAGTAATGCAATATTTCAAATGATTAAAAACCTCGAAGAATATCAATATTTAGCTTTATGACTTGGTGCTTCTGCTTCTTTGGTGATATGTTTCAATGTCTAGTCGAGGGCCTTAATAAACTTACTGCTGATATATACAACATCATAAGTCCATTGCAAAGTACTTTGGTATCAGTAGCGTTACTTGTCTTTTTGTCGGAACGATTTAATTAACCAACTGAGCCAACGGTGTTCTATTTTTAATATATATTAAAATCAATATTATCATAATTATAAATTTATTTAACTATAAATTAATGAAACTAAAAATTCTAGAAATTTCCATTCGAAAGTTTTGATTTTGAACTTTCAATTTTCAGTAAAAATTTGTATATGTAATTCTTTCTTTTAATGAACTATAGATTTTAAATGTCATTTAAGAAGTTAAGTCACTAATAGCAGGTTTCTTAAACAAGTTAGCCTATCATCTTAAAATCCTCTTAAAACAAATATTTGATTGAATCTCTTAAAAATCTTAATTTATTTTTATTATTGACTTAATATATTAAACAAATGAATTTATTTATTCTTCCATCCAACTGAAGGCAAGTTGATTTCATAACTACATATGTACAAACGAGTATGTACATAGAAACATATATACTCGTATATACTCATGACTATTGAAATGCTAACAGTGTGAATCATCAGATCTGCATTCAGTAATCAATGAGCAAAGTATTTGTGGTTGTAAAAAGTTTTTGTTTTTAATTAAAGCGAAACCATGGCGTCTCTAAAGTTGCAATGCCACGCATTTGCTGCGGCAATGATAAGTTAAACTGGTCGCGAGTTAAGGAAATTATTTACAAGGTCTTCGCCAATGAGTTCAATGTCGAAATTTTGATTTGCGAACATCGCACCAAAGTGGTAAGTTTGTCGAGAAGCGAGCACCATTGCACTGTCGCTATAGAAACTCACATTTCAAATTAAACAAATTCCAAAACATCTTCTTTCCCCCAAGTCCATTGTTCCATTGTGCAAAATATTTGAAGTCCGAGGAAACCTCTTTAACGCGCCACCGGGCTACTCTCTGGTGCATTCCGTGAGTGCGGATTTTGCTATGTGCAAAGGCGTTGGCCTTCAGATCAAATGCAAGTTTGGACAGGTCAATGAGTTGGTGAAGCAAAACAAGCACACTGGCAATGTCGCAGTATTAAAAGATAATGATCGTTACATATACAACTTAATAACAAAGGAACGCAATCATGAGAATTGTACATATCCAGCCTTGTACTATGCACTAATTGCAATGCGAGAACATATGGTATTTACATATTTAAGCAATTTTTTATTAATATTGTATAATATAACATGATTTTATTGCCTTTCAGCTACAACATAATGTAACCAAATTGGCTATACCACGACTTGGTTGTGGTATTGATCGTTTGAGTTGGCTGCAAGTACGTAGAATGCTGGAATTTGTATTTGCTGACGATAGTGTGGAGGTGCAGGTTTACTTCTTTGAGCCTACTCCCACACGTAGGACACCTATACGAACGCTTCATTGAAACACCTGGAATATGTTAGAACGTTGACAAAACTTATAGATCTGGGAATCTGTTTACTTTTTTTATTCACTTAAATATTAATTTATTGAATTAAGACTTAGAGACGGTCATGGGCCATTAAATGCACTGCAACACGCACTGATGTTTGTCTAGCTTAGAAAGCACTTATTTACACTTTCTACTAAACAAATAAAAACAAATACAAATATCATTTAAAAAGAAAATAAATTTATTTCAAAACCTTTCCCATCTACTTAAAAATTTGCTTAAATTGCAATAATAATGAGTTAAAGTCTTTACCCATAGAAGTGATCGCACAGAAGTGATCTCTCCTTTTAATTGATCTAATCTTCACAGAAACTAAGCCACTGCTCAAAGAAATCCCTACAGAATTTGTTAAGCTTGTGTTAAATATTTCTGGAGATTATGTGTACTATTAAGATTATTTATTATCAACAAAATATATTTAGAGTTAATACTTAACAAGATCAATATTGAAGAACTTAATAAATTTTGAACTTCAGCTAAACCTTTAGTAAAGCAGAGTGGTCTCTAGTAAAATTTACAACTTACACAGAAGGTGAAGATGGTAACATTCCATGGAAATGCTGCATCAAGTAGTTCTGCTTAGTATCTAACCATTTTAAATGTTTAATTGTCAAATCAAATCTTCTTTAATGATTTATCATAAAGTACAGTTTATGTATAAAGTATATAAGATAAATCATTAGAAGAGATATGAATGAAAATTTGAGCTGGAACTTCTTAAACAATATCGAAGTAGCAGTCATTGGATCCTTACTATCAATTAGCGAAACTTTAATTCAGTTTTTGCATAGTCCTTATGGGAAAACTATTTGAATAAGTATTTTAATCACAACGTAAGCACTTAAAATCTTAATTCCAAACATATACATATGTAGTATATAAATATGAAATAATAAAATTTTAAGTGATTTTATGCTTATACTCTGTATATTAACATTAACAGCGCAATTATATCTTTTTCATACACTTTAATACACATTTAACACATAACACATATCATATACCAAAATTCGATATCCAAAGCAACTCACATTTCCATATACATAAACTATTTCTGAAACATATTAAAAATAATCAGAAAGAATTACTTACTAATAAATTTATTAGCATAGTAATAATATAATTATATACATTATACATACATCTGTATTTTTCTTCCCGTTCAAAAATTACTTAAACAAATATAATTAACCATTAAAAGCTAAGGTCGGTCTTTTACTTAACCTGTACTCTAGATAGATTTGTATAAAATCTCACACTCATTCGTTACTAATATTTTTATTAGCATAGTTATAAAATAATTATAAATCTACGTATGTACTTTTTTACACTGTTTCAAATATACCATATTTACTTAAATAAACGAAATTGAATACCAAAATCTAAGGTCTTTTACTTAACCTTCACTTTAGACAGATTTGTCTATAATTCCACACATTTGTTACTAACCACTAACATAGCTACTCATGCTACTTACAGCTTTCTCAACTGGAACCGCAAACTTTGCTACACAGCAAATGGCTACAAAGGAATTTGCCTTGAATGAAGTTGAAGGTGATCTATTCAGCGCACCTAAGAACTTTTCGCTTGCCCACTGCGTGGCTGCTGATTTCGGTATGGGCGCTGGTATTGCTGTGAAGTTTAAGCAAATGTATGGAAGTGTGGATGAATTATTGTCACAAGGTGTGCAAACTGGTGGCGTTGCTGTGCTTAAGGATAACGATCGTTTTGTTTATTACCTGGTTACTAAGCGAGTTAGTTCTGGAAAGCCAACTTACAATAGTTTACGCTCATCTCTACAAGCAATGTGTGAACACATGGTATTTACTTCAAATTTGTTACTCCTTTGTTATTCCTAATATGATTTCAATTTCAATTTTTTATAGCGATGCAACAATGTTGACAAGTTGGCTATGCCAAGAATCGGGTGTGGCATTGATGGCCTTCAATGGGACAAAGTTAGCACTGAACTGAAAGGTGTATTTGGTAAAGACAAATTAGAAATTGTTGTTTATAACTTTGTACCTAAATAATAAAAATGAACTATTAATTCAAAATAAAGTTTAGTTAGATTAATTGCTTGAATTTATTTTGCAATCATTTAGTTGGCACATAATTGTATACAATTATTTCAATAGAATCTTTAGCAAAGATTTCATGTAATAAATCATTAACTTTGGACCACATTAAACCGTCCAGGCCGCATCCAATACGTGGTATGGCAAGTTTATTAACATTATGTTGTAACTGCAAAGAGATAACAAATTTAGATAAATGAATGAATAAAATGCAGTGTGGATTCTTCTACCATATGGTCCCGCATAGCATTCAACGAACTATGCAACGATTGGTAAGTTGGTTTACCCCAGCTAGTTTGCTTTGTAACTAGATAATATATGTATCTGGATTTATCTTTCACCAATGCTACTCCACCAGTTTTAACATTTTGCGCTTTTAGATTTGCAATTTGACCAAATTTATCACTATTATTTAATATTACTAAATGAGTTGTTAACTAAATATCATTTCACGCTTACCGAAACTTTATAGCAATGCCTTTTCCTAAGCGCATATCTTCAGCCACACAATGTGCCATAGAAAATGAGCTTTCAGCTGAGAATAAATCTCCGTTTACTTCCTTTATAATGCAATTAGACATCTTCCAGACTGTAAATATTTTAAATAATATGAGCTAAAACCACTGTATAGCCCGCCAAACAAAAAAGTGTTTACGTGCACAAAATATATTAAAAACGTAGAGAGTTAAGAAAGTAGTAGAAAATAAGTAGTCAAAAATGTTTAATATTATCTATATCAAAATATCAAGACGTCATTTGGGTATTTGTTTCTCGCTTCGGAGGAAGTTTACTTCATTCGACTCCCTTAGGATCGTTAAAAATCTGACAAGAATTGTGAATTAACTAGGAATTTAATATGTCGGTTGTTTTTTAATTACAGCCGTTTGTACCGTTGAGCAGCGGTATAAAAATTGCGATAATGCTTACAAAAATCTTAGAGGAATAAAATATCTCAATTTTCTGCAAGGTTGTATATGGAAGTTTAAGAATATTTTTGAAATTTTTTTGTGTTGACATGCACTGAACACACCTTTTTTACATTTTATGAACAAACATATGTCTTGAATGTTAACAATTTTAAGAGAGCAAGCAATTGTATGCTTGAAAAATGTCGCATAAATAATTAAAATCAAGTGTTGTTATTTAAGAGGAATATATTTCATTGATTTAATATAGTCAGCAGCAATACCTACAAACATTTGTATAAAATTAGAAACTTTTTTATTTGTATCTCGTTTTAAAGTGGTTATCACCTCTTTATTGAAGTATAACGTAACTAAAAATATATAGGACGTGTACGAGTTAGACTAAGTTGATGCTAAACCAAATGGGAGATTTTTTGGGATTTTTTGCACTGCACACATTTAGCCATTTATCAACACGTATCGACACATCACTACATTATCGGCACAACTTAGTATTTCCCTCATTTAGAACGCAACTTAGCCTAACTCGCACACGACCTTAGAGCCTAGTAAAATAAAAATATAAGGGAAAGTTGAAATAATTATTAAAACTGAATAAAAAGATATTACGATGAAAAAACGCAATTTTTCTGTGTGACCGTTTTGAAACATATTGAAACAAATATCGTAATTTATTCTAAAAATTGCTACTAATTATTTTTTTTTCACATCCTCAATTTAATATTATTCATAATCAAGAATAAAATTTTATCAATTCAGTGGTTCTTCTAGATTTTATAGCCCATTTACACGGCAGAAGTAATTACTGATTTTATCCAAGAGAGCATTTACCTCTTTGCAAAGTGCTTTATACATTATCATCTTCTACATTTTATTGATAAAACTACAAAAACCGACTTATAACTTGTGCGGGTAATTAATACTTATTTACGAGCAATTTTACAATATGTATTGTATACAGTAGGTGCATGTGAATTGTCAAAAACTATATACTTTGATATCAAAATTTGACGGACCTGCAGTATGCATAAGCATTGAGTCTATATTTGCAAAAAAAATCTAACTTGATATATCACCGATAGTTATATTAATTGTTTTTCGACTACCGTTGAAATAATTGATATATTGATAAGTTAAGTAAGTAACAACCCTGTCTTGTAACAGCTGATTTTTGTTATTGTTCCAAAAGTTTATTTATATTTGTTTTTATTTCACATTATCAAAATTTACGTGCAAAATAAATTGACGTAACAAAACTTGCTATCAACAATAGTTTTTTGCGATGCTAAAAATAACTATATATAATTTATTTTTTCATATTCTTTGAAAAAACTAAGAATCAATGTCTTTAAATTTATTTGAATTCTTGACCAGCTTAATACGCAGAATGCTAGCACTCTTGTCCTTTGGCCAAAAAACAATAACCAACACACTCAACGTATATGTAAAAACCAACACCGGACGAACGTTATCAGTTAATTTGGAACCAAAATGGGATATAAAGAACGTGAAGGAAATTGTGGCTACTGAACTTGGTCTGCAACCAGACGAAATGAAAATAATTTTTGCAGGAAAGGAGCTGAGTGATGCAACTACCATTGAGGTACAAAATATGGCTATATTTAACTAAATATTTAACTTGAATTAATGAAGTTCTATTAAAGGAATGCGATTTGGGTCAACAAAGTGTACTACATGCTATACGTTTGCGCCCACAGCAGCAACGTCAACGTATGCATTCAACTGTTATGGAAGAAGAATCCTTATCAATAGAAGAGCCTTCTAAGCCATTATGTGAAACACTGGTTGATTTACAGTTGCAAAGTGAAGAACGTGTGAATATTAATGAAGAAGGTAAATCATTTGTTTGCATATAATGATTTTTTATATAACTTTACTATATTTGAAGATCGCGAAAGAACAAAGGCTCACTTCTTTGTACATTGCACACAATGCAACAAACTCTGTAGAGGAAAACTACGTGTGCGTTGTTCACTTTGTAAAGGCGGTGCATTTACCGTACATCGTGATCCTGAATGCTGGGATGATGTGCTTAAGTCTAGACGTATTACTGGTCATTGCGAAACTCAAGAAGTAGCTTGTGTGGATAATGATTCTGGCGATCCACCATTTACAGAGTTCTATTTCAAGTGTGCTGAACACGTATCTGGTGGTGAAACAGACTTTGCAGCCCCTTTAAATTTGCTAAAAATTAATATAAAAGATGTTCCATGCTTAGCGTGCACCGATGTAAGGTAATTTGATTTTATACTGTTTGTGGAATAACGTACTTAATAAAATTTAATATTTTAGTGAAACGGTTCTAGTCTTTCCATGTGAATCAAAGCATGTTACCTGCATTGATTGTTTTTTGCAATTCTGTCGTTCACGCTTGTTAGAACGACAATTTATGCCTCATCCGGAAATTGGTTATACATTAGCTTGTCCTGCCGGCTGTGAAAACTCTTTTATTGAAGAAATACATCATTTTAAGTTATTGTCACGTGATGAATATGACCGTTATCAACGTTTTGCAACTGAAGAATATGTTTTACAAGCGGGAGGTGTGTTATGTCCACAACCGGGCTGTGGTATGGGTCTTTTAGCTGATCCAGAATGTCGTAAGATAACATGCCAAATTGGATGTGGTGTATGTTATATTATGATGTTATATTAAATAGGGCCACATGTGATAATGATTTTTTTCTCTATTAGTATGTTTTCTGCCGAAATTGCCTTCAAGGCTATCACTTGGGTGATTGTTTGCTGGATGAGAGTAATACTAGTCCAGCAGGATCATGTGAATATGCTGTAGACCCAAATGTAAAGCTGCGTTATTATTACTTTTATAAGAGATTTACATTAAGAAATGTTTTTTTAGAGAGCTGCTGACGCTCGTTGGGATGAAGCAAGTAAAGTTACTATTAAAGTCTCAACAAAACCTTGTCCAAAGTGTCGTACACCTACTGAGAGGGATGGTATGTAGAAAAATGAAGTATATATTAAATGATTCATATAAAATAATTGTTTTTAGGAGGTTGCATGCACATGGTATGTACACGCGCGGGTTGTGGTTTTGAATGGTGTTGGATATGTCAGACAGAGTGGACTAGAGATTGCATGGGCGCTCACTGGTTTGGATAGCTCTGATCTTTGTATTGTTATTATATTATATATATATTTCATATAATTTTATTGACAAAATGGCTATCTGAACTATTAGCAATTAAAATTAAAGCGTGATAATAAAAAAAACTTAACAGCTATTAAGACCAAATTTTTTTTTAAATTGAAATAATTGATTTCATCAATAGCCTTGGTATCCAAAACAAAACTTATTTGGATGTTGAATAATATGCATTGTGTATTTTTTTATGTTTGTTTATAACAGTAATAAATATTGATCCATTTCGGCGTGAGATAAGAACTACCCTGTAAAAGCTATCAGGAAAAAATATTTTGCATGCACTCACCTCAAAACAAATTATTATTTTGCTCCAATGTTTTTATTCTGTAGTTCGCTTTCGTACTTCGTTTTTAAAGTCTGAAGTTTATTAATCATTTGCCACGTGCATTACTGAGAGGGGTGACGAAGCTCTCCAATTTCTCCTTTCTCTGTTTACAATATCTTCCACTATTTAACCAGGTTGAGAAGAAAACAAAACCAGTCATAAAATCAATACGGAACATAATAAATACGATTAAGAATGAATGAATTCTGCGCAGCATATTTTTAAGAGAAGGCGAAGCGAGTTCAAATTGAGGGTTATATATCTGTAAACATATTTTCTGTATTGTGTATCAAAGAAACATGAATTTTTCAATTTTAATAAAAACGTTTTAAGCTTTTACTTACTCTCTTCTATATATAGTGTTCTATTTTTTTTTTGCTAAATTGATCTTCATAATTAATGGAAATTACTTAACTCTTAGTTAATGTATAGCGTTACGTTAGTAATAACTTATTCAAAACAGAAACATATATTTTTATTTCCTTTTCCATTTATCCATCCATCGTTTATCTTGCTGTATTATTAAATCTGTGGCTTAATATTAACACCTCATACTTCTTCATTGAAGTAACTTTTCTGACTCCGTAAAAACTAGAAAATAACATTCAAAAATTATTTATTATAATAAAAGAATTCGTTCACATCATCGTTTATTAGATAACATTCCATTGATAGAAGTTTACCATATATTTTAAATTTGGAATACAGGAAAATACACAAATATGCATTCATACATATCTATATTTGTTTTTAATACTAGATTCATGTGGTATATTAAGAAATTTGTTATTGATTCGATTGTTTAATCTGTAGTAAACCTAAATCAAAAATTGAAAATGAATATACTTTTTTATTGAATTATATATATATTTGCAAACTCGCTACAATGAATTTCAGCAGTTGTCTGACAATGCGACTTACATCAGTTTTAATCCATACGTAAGGTGACAACAAACTCAAGTGTAACCTCGCAGAAAAATAAGATGGCTCTAGAGTTTGAAGAACATAACGGAATTGATAGTTTGACGTAGTATAACCATACTTTCCGTGCATATTAGAGAAACAGTGAGAAGGTAGCTCTGGTCTATACAGGATTGTAATAGTTAAGAATGAGTAATAAATATATATTTTAATGGTTATAATATAATTATTGGAAAATAAATATATTAATTTTATATAAGTTGATTTAATTTTATTTAAATCCTAAAGCAAGTGTTAATACATACACTTTTAATTTGACTTGAAAGTGGAATACTTTTTTGTTTTATTACCTGTTTTTAAAATTAAATCTTAGGAATATAATATTGAATAACTTTAAATTTCTTTTTATTAAGACTTAATAATAAATTTGTAAAAATATGAAAAAAATGGACACAATAAAATTATAAACTTAAAATTATATTGTATTATATCAAAATGCGAAATCAATATAATTTCAATGAGCTGTGCGAGGATTAGTGAGTCCAGGGCGTAAATTGTTTTTGGAGCCGAGAGAGTTATGTAATTCTGATTCCTTGGGGAGTGTAGAAATGCGAGTGATCAAATTTGCTCATTATCAAATATTATCCAGAATGTCATTGAAGGATTCTTAAAAATAGTTACTAAAACTAAGGCACATAGCTAATTAAATAAACAAAAACTTACTGTCTAATTTGTACTAATAACACTAGTTGAAAATATAATAAAAAATTGTTGGTTTGATTTTAATATATATAAATAACAACAACATTCGAGGAAATAAAATTCTTTGAATGTCACATCTTTATCCAAGAACATGAGCCGAACAAGAGATCTTGCAAACAAACTTTAAAAATGTTGAAATTTTATGAAGTGTTTAATTTTAAAGAAGTATTTTTTAACAAAGATATGTACTCCTAACTGCATAAATTAAAATAAATAAGTTTGAAGTAATGAAATAGTGAAAAAATAACACTTTTGAAATTAGAAATATTTATAAAAATATATAAAATATAAAATTTTTGATAATAAATAAATAAACATCTATTAAGCACAACTAACAATTCTTTATTAAGAATAAAAATATTAATTTTTAAGGAATCTTTTTTTTTTAATTTAAATCAATTTTCTTTTTTTTTTTGCAGAAGGCCACTAGTGTAGTAAGTAGTCTCAATTGATCCCTCCTATTTTACATTTATAATCTCTTATAAATCCTATTTTTAACTTGTATATTTAGAGATAAAATTATTTCAAAAAAAATTGTTTATATATAATTTATTTATTTGTTTAAAATAAAACAAAATATATTCAAAAAAAATATATACATATAAAATTGAAAAAAAATTATATTTAAATAAAATAAATTTTTTAAATTTCAAAAGATAAAATTTTATAATATTACTGAAGTATTAAATTTTTATTTTATGAATTTTTTCAATTTTATTTTTTTTTTAACTTAACATTTGTCTGGTATTGATTTAAGAGTCTTGGCGTATTCCATATATTTTTTTTTTTGCGATTTGCAACCATATGTCACAGGCACGGATCCATATACTTATCTAGGCTCAGAGCTAGTAAAAATTTATTAATATTTTTTTAATAATCAAATATGATTTCTTTTAACACAATTTTTTTATACGTACTAATATATCCTTATGTTTTAAATAAAAATGAATAAATGCTCTAAAATATTGACTTATTAAATGCTCTCAATTTAACGTTTTTCTCGCCCTACACCCAACACCTAACACCCAATAATCAACATTTGTTTCTTATCAGGAGAGAAATTGTATGATTTGGCGCTCTGTTTTTGTTACGATTTCCTTTTGCACTTGTATTCGTAATCAGTTTTGCATATGCAGTTAATGTTATGAATATGCGTAATAAAGCAACAAACTAAACTAAAATTTCATTGCTCTGCTCTAATGGTTTTTCGTCACTTGTTAACTTCCTCTGCAGACGAACGACCCCAAAAGAGCATGGAGCATAGAAACGGTGAAATAAATAAATCAACCCCTTTTCGTGCACCACCGACTGACGTTACTGCCTCAATGAAGTGAAGTAAACAAAAGCTTTCGGTTAGCGTACGTACGCTAACGCGCAAATCGGGTCACACTGCTTCCGTTTTGCCTGTAACCGAAATTTGACTGGGACTGGTGTACTGTGCTGTTCTGTTCTGTTCTGGTCTGTGCTGTGCTGTGCTGTGTGCTTTTTGCAAACAGTTTCAGGTCTCAGTCGTCGTTGCACATTCGCATACAACAGACGCCAATTTGTAAGCTTCGAAGCAAGTGGCCCATGTAAATGTGCTGTTTGTTTTACATACGTTCACTTGCCTTATCGGTTTTGCTGAGCTTAAGTGGCAGTGCGTTGGAGTGGTACTTTTCAAAAGTAACGGTTTTTTCCACCTAAGTGCGTTCGTTAGAATTGCAAAAAAATTTAAATTTCTAATATACTGACTGACTCGAATACTCAAGCATACTCATTCGTAATAAATTTATGGCAAAAAGTGAAAAAAATATTAAAAAATGTCGTCACGTCGAAATGTTCGAAATGTTCGAAATGTGAAGAAGTTGCAAAAATTATTTTTGCATTAAAATTGTATAAAAATTACAAAAATCGATTGTGGGCACGCAATTCAAATATTTGAATTGGAAGGGTAGGTAAATAAAGGTAAATATGATTTCCATTTATTTTATCTTCTATGAAAAAATATTAATTAAAATATTTTAGTATTAAAGAATGCAATTTTATCGTATTTCGCATTTTAACAAAATATGTATACGGAGCGTATGAGTGACATTTTTATTATATATGTTCAGAAAAAAAATTATAAAAATGACAAGAAATGTCTGTGTCAGTAGAGAAAAGTTCGATATTTGAAAGGGTAGAGAGATGGTGTTGATGATTTTGCTTATAAATCCAAGTGATCATGTTGCTTAAGTTTAATAAAGCTATCGGATTAATAATAGTGTCAAGATATAAGATGTGTTATACATATTTATATATACATATGTATATATATATATCAGTGTACTTAAATATAACTATGAAACTTACAAAATTAAGTAGACTTTATTAAACTTTGAAGTTTGAAGAACATCAGTGAAAAAGTTTATAAACTAATGCTATGTTTACACTATTATATCGACAAATATTTAATATATAAACATAATATCTATTTTTCATATATCAATTTTAGTTTTATTACTATTTTCTTTACATATCATCGATCTGAATGCTGTAATGTATATAATACATAATTTTATTTTCTGCATTAACATATCTTGATTATTGTTTCCATTTTTCGATTTAGTTTTTGCTATATAATATAAAAGTTGCTCAGGTTATATATTGGGTAATTTAAAAAATATATTTTTTTTGTACATTTTTTGATACATATTTAAACAAAAATTTTCTTTATTAAAAATTAATTTTAAATAAGTTTATATTTGCCACTATTATTTATACCTTATCCAATTGAATTGGTAGTCTTAGAATTGGTGTAGAATTTTCAGTGTCTCTTAGGTTGATCAATATTTTACAATTGAAAGAGTTGTGCAGAATACATGTGATATATAAACCATTATGCTGTAAGTTTATACGATCATCATATTATTAAAATACGTATTTAACCAAAACGAATAAATTGTAATCGGAGGGAAGGTTCTTATAGATTCCACCATAGTATAGATTCCACAAATATATGACATGTTCCATTTATGAAATAGTGTAGAACATACCTCATAAGCGAGAATTTGTTTTATAAATATATGAAAAATATGAACTTTTTTAATAGTTAATTGTTAATATTGTTAAGGACGTATAAGTAAAGATTTATATTTGAAATTTGAAAGACTTTTTATTTTGAAATACAATAACGTTCCTACTTCTGAGGTCAAAACGTAACCATTAAATAATTATTACTGCATTATCGACCGAATCATACGTAATTTAATATATGAAAACCATACACATTGAGAGGATCTGGGGCAAAAGCCGAAAGCTATCGACACATTTATTATATATTATATTTTGTTAAAATCTTTACAATGAGTGATATAAATAATTAATTGTTTAATTAATTTCAATTAAAATAAAAATTTATATTTAAATATGAAATTAATATTAATAATGTTAAATTGGGGTTTGTGATTTGCTGAAATCACAAATGAATTTTAATTCTTCTACTGAAGCACCTTGTATACTAGATAGTTATATAGTTAGTTAAAAATGTGTATATTTCTCTATATATATATACGCATTTCATAGTTCGTTTAAGTATCAAAATATGCAAAAAAAATAAAATTTACAAGAAGTTGCTGATTATTTTTGCGCTCTCGCACTGATGTTTTATTGATTTATTTGATGTTGCTTTCATTGTTGCTGTTGGCTGAGTGTTGGTACTGCTGGTTGGCGCACAAATTGTCCCAAAACGGAATTCAAAATAGCATTACACAAAAACACCCACAGCAGTGAAAATTCGTGAGCATATTGACAAATAAAAAAAATCATAAGGAATCAAGTAAAATATAAAAATGTGAAGTAATTCTGGAGAGTAACAGCGGCACCAGCAATTCTTTCAATATTGCCGCCTAAGATGTCAACTTCCGTTTCCGTCGCCGTTGCTCTATGCAATGAGCAACTGCTTATTATTTATTTTAATAATTTTCGCTTAAAATGCTCAAAATAAACATTTTTGTATTTAGAAACAAATTTTTACAACAATTAGAAGTTTTATTAAATAATTCTTAAAAAATTCTTATTTCTATTAACTGTTAAATAATCTATAAAATTAAAGAGAAATTAACCGCGTTTACTCTTTTCTCAATTCTCTCATTTGAATAAAAGCTTCGCAAAGCACATAAAGCGCAGTTTTCTCTTACTTTTGCTCGCTTATGCAGTTTTTGTTTGTATGTACAAAAAAAATGTTTGTTACTTTTTGTTTTGCTCCAATTTTCGTACTGTTCCATTTGTTGTTGTCGTCGTCGTCTTTGTTGTTGTTGTTGTAAATACAAAATAGGTACAGCAACTAACAATTTCACTGTTCCTACACGACAGCTTCAATCATTGCTTAATTGAGTTCTTGCTGCGAGGAAGTGTTTGTATATACATATGTGTGCGTGGCGCTGTATTTACGCACCAACAAGGCATACTTGTTAATAGAGATGCTGCATCGCTAGGTGGGCGCCAAATAGCTGGAAGTGTGCAAGTTAAGCCAGAAAATTTCCACTTTTGCAACTATTTAATTATGTATCTAAACCACTAATCATTTCAGCTACATAGAAAAGGATATTTTTGTGCATGAGTAACCATATTTTTTTCATTTATACATAATGAGTTTATACATACACATCATACAGTTCTTGCCGATTTGTGAAAATGCATTCTGAAAGTATTTCAAAGAAGAAACTTTGCAATTTAAATAAGAAGTATCATCCCATTTGGCTCTACAGCTCACAAAAGTAAGGACAGATTATGATGATTTTTCAATAAATCAAAAGATATGTTATTATACTAAAGTTGGGTTTACAGACTAAGGCTATAATAGGAAAAAAAGAAAATGGAGATAATATCAATTAAGTAGTAAACCCCCTAAATTCACTCAATCATGCAGTGATCGATCAATTAAATTTCAATATATTTAATGTTATATATTGCAAATAAATTAACAATAAATGAAAATGAAAGTACAGGTAACAGGATCAAAAAAAGATATTCCTATATTTTAACGTGATTTCCTTTATATTGTTGAAAGCTCATTCCCCTTACTACTTATTCAAAATAAGTGGAGTTTATAAACCATATTTGACTAAAGATTTTAATTTGTGGATGAGGTACAATACCCATAAATTTTTTCAGCAATGTAGGACAAACATCGTCGCCTCAAGCAAATGAGCTAATTGCTCACTTTAGCCTGTCTTTGTCAAACATTACACCAGATTGTGTAAATGCAGAGTTTTCCCTGTCAGTGGGTTGTGATAATGTTACTCTAGTCTTAAAGTCAGTTTCTCCTATAGAAAATTGAAATTTTTTTCATGAGTCATTGTAAAAAAATATTAGATTTCTTTAAAATCTAAACAAAGCTATTCGGTTTCGCTTTGTTTAAAAACTTTTGAAATTTAGCACTTCCGATAGCGTCCCAATATTCTAGTATTGACTATATCAACTAGTCCGTTTGAACTGGCTAATTCATTTGTTGTTGTCAGTAAAAACAAGTACTAACATTGCGCTTACAAACTGAAGTCATGATAGGAAAAATGAAAGAAAAATGGAACTAATATCAATTGACAATTGACAATGAACAAAAATGAAAGAACAGGTAACAGCACCAAAAAAAGATATTCCTCTATTTTGACGTGAAATGTTTTACCTTGTTGAAAGCTGCCAATTATTTTTGTTAGTTTTATTATTTCTCGTTTTGATGTTTGATCTGATGTGCATACAATCCAACCATTTTTGTAATGTCGAATATTACTGAGCCCGTTAGTTTATTGTTACCTAAAGCAGTCTGGATTATTTGAGCTACATTTGCTAGTTGAAGTATGAGGTGTGTTTCTTTAAACCCTTATTATACTTCTGAAATAAAGGTTTTAATTTAAATAAATTTACATCTTTTTGGCAATTTGATTTAATTTATTTATATATGCTTGAAAATAATAAAATCAATTAATTTCTAATAAATACAAAAACGGATATAGAATGTAAAAATATGTTAAAATAAATATTTTGGATCAAATTTAGAATTCCTTAAAAAAATTGACAAAACTTTAATTTTTGTGTTACTGAGAACGAATGCTGATTTACCTTTTCAATATTAAATGAAGGAATGAATACTATGCATCATACTTGGTGTGGTATGATATCCACTCCATATCCATTCTCAGATACATCAGAGTAAATATCAAATCAATTGGCAGTCTGCAAACAGAATTGCAAACATTTACACCGAAATCAATTTCGTCGTTTTTTTAAGAGTTCACTTAATTTCTGCAATTTACGTAGGTTCAATCCTTTTGGAAATGGGTGGTGGGCTTAAGTGAATATAGTAACCAAGTGTACTGAGTCGTCTGTTATGTATCAGAGAAGAATGAAGTCGAGTTAATATTTGTACTTCACGTTAATAGCATGAAAAGATTTAATAGTATATGATTGCTATAGGTTGAAACTTATTGTTTGTATATACCTATTAATTCGTTTAGTAATGTCAATCTTGGATAGTTCGAATTAACATGCCTTTATTGTCATATTAATAAGGTAGTTATATCAAAAAAGTATTCTGTGTGTAACTCATTTTAGTTGTGGTCCATATTTCTCTCAGAGATTTAGTTGTGCCCCCATTTCTTCAACAATAAGTGTCCAGCTCAAAGAATTAAGTCGTGATCCAGACCTTACAAGGGTATTCACACACATATTACCTCCTTTACTCTTGCGATAAGGTAGTCAAGAAAGCAGTACCCTATTTTTTTGTCTAATTGCAATAACTTGTGACAGCAATCTGCTAGTTCAGAAGTTATCTTAAACTAAACTTTCAAGAGGACAACACTTTCAAAATTTCTTCTACAATTTTTGAAATCGTCAGTGGAACACAGAATTGCCTTTGATATCAAATCAAGAGTGGTAATTCTCAATTCATTTTCATGTTCATGTAATCTGTCCCAGAGTAGATCTTTAAGTTAGGAACTGATCCACATACAAGTTTTGATAGCTAACAATAGGCGCAATCACTGTACAGTGAAACCACGATAAACTCCTAGGATTCCGATCTCCAGGTTTTGGTATAGAAACCTCTGCAAGTCTATATGACTACACTGAACTCCACGGCTCCCTTTGATATTTGGGTTTCGTTTTCAACACGACGGTAACTTATTTACTAGTTAAAATAACTGTCAGATCGTTTGCGTAACATGCAAATGTCTCATTTTGGCTAGTAGGTCGTTAGCTTTTATAGCAATGGTGAGAGAACCATACCTACGAGTGTAGTTCCGTACAGCACTAACGCTGACAGTCATGCTATCTAGCTTGAGAGACGTGTTTTCATTACGTAACATCTTATTTTTGTTTGTTTTTATACACAGCTCAATGTCTTTGCAAACCAAGTCTTGTGTAAACTGTTACAGATGCATCTTCTACAATCCAAAATGGGTAAAGAACAATTTCTTTGGCGTATCGCGACTTCAGTGGATTTAAATTTAGAGTAGGCAAACCGAGAATGATGAGGAAGCACAGTAGTTGTGGGTAAATCAAGTTTTCCACTTATTTAATTTTCCTCCTTTGGAAACAAAGATCACACTTACACTTAGAGTCCAATTAATAGACGATATATAAAACCCAAGAATGTGCTGCAGTAATGCAGGTACCTTTGCTATCAGGCGTTTTAGGGATTGAAATGAGTGAATTCCCATTTAGTTTGTTGTCAAAGATTCTACAACCATGTATATTCATTAGATGAGTGCATATACTTCTCTTTCAACTGATTATAACAATAAACAATATTAATATAGTTTTGAAACCGGTCTCTTCTACGGCTATTTGGGATTATTTTCATGACCGTTTATAAAGAGCTATTAGGTTTGTTTAGAAGGCCTACACCATTCATTCAGGCCTTATTTTAAGCTTTTTGAAATGTAATCATTTTTTACGCCGATTCAATGTTCTAACAGTGACTGTGCTAGTACTTCTCACTGCTGCGGTTTTAGTAAGTGTGTTTCTGAAAGTGGTCTAGCCAGAGGAACATTTGCAATTGTCTTTATATCTATGACAGCTAGTTTTCCTCGGCTGGTATACTTCTCCTTGCTGATCGACTTTACTGAAAATTTTAAACCTAATATGTCAATGGTTTAAGAAGGTTTAACCTTTCGACATTTACTAATTTCTTGATCTCAGTAACCCTAGCTCAAATAAGCATTCTTCAATTTTCATGATGTTTTTAATAAGACATTTTATGTTAATATGTATTTGTTCAAATTCCTTGTATCAAAAAATTAATAAGATTTTGGTAAAGAATATCTATAGTACAGTATTAACTTTAAAATAAAGTAAAGTATTTTTAAATTAGTTAATAAATATAGGGAACCCGTTTAATTGAAGGTTATGGTAATTGTAGACTTAACCACGTTGAAATAAATAAACTCAGATTATTGATTACTACTTGTTGTAAGAATAATGATGAACATAAAATATTGGTTGCTTGTTTTCAGAAAAATATTCGAAGGCACAGACTATTTACAAATGTTAAATTCAAATTATTGAATATAATATATATAAGTATTAAGAATAAAAATACAAATATATAAATGATAGAACAAAAAATTCAATAGCATTTATATTTATATTATTTTTAGATTTTTGGGATTTTTATATACAAAAATTTGGCTAATCCTTGTGAAGACAGTTCTCAATCAGGCAGTCATTTAAAAAATTATCGATCATTTGAAAAAGTCTAAGAAAACGTAATTGAGCTGTAATGAAGTCGATGATGATATAAATATCGTCATCACTGTTTTCAATAAACGAGGCATTAATCGCTCAAGTAGCGTATACGTTTCATTCCACTTTGCACAATTGATTGACAGTCCAGCAGGAAAGTAAAGGACACAGCAGCACCCAAAACAACAGAACGAACTTCGCCACTAGTTTTCAGGCATTTACTGTACACAAAAGCATATAGAAGGATTCGTGCTGCCACGTGAGACGAGTGGGTGTTACAAAAGGAATAAACTGAAGCCAACGTTGTTAACAAAAAATCAATAGAAAATAAAGCCAAAACGTCAAAGTCAAACGAAACGAAAACGAGAAAACATAAGGAAGTCCACACTGGACAGTTACTAAATACGATATGAGTGCTATGTGCATGAGGAGAAAGTGGGTGTGGTGCCTACGAGGCGACCAGTAACCACCAGTAACGCATTATTCTCCACTCGCAAATTCGTTTATGCATGTTTTTCGCACACACAAGGATAACTGAAACTTAAACAGACGTTAAAGCAACGTGCCAGTGTCCTTACAGTGTATACTACGCTTGAGCACTGGAAATATTTAAAAAAAACCAACAAAACTGTATAAAGTAAACATACTTACTTATATGGAATTAGTGTTAAGCAGCTTAAATCGTCAATAGTCAGCCATAAATATGTCACAAAAACTTTCCTTCGCCGCTGGCATGGACAATGCCTTATATGAGCAACAAATGCAGAACCGTAATGCAATAGCTTCCACAACTCTCACGTCAGCCACAAGACCTTCAATGCATCAATTTGAAAACGAATTGCAACAAAGGCTGCATCATTATCAGCACCAGCAACATGCATTAGATCGATTTCAAACCAATCGTATGAACTTTTCAAATTATTCAAATGCATATCCTTATAACATACCATATGCAGCTGGTACTTTTGGCCAACATGCTCGTACAAATCCACTTAGAGCTTCCCCCTATGATTACGAAGCGTATATAAATCGCGCGCGCTATTCTTCCTATCAACATCAAATAGTCCCGTCGAGCGTTTTACATTACCCACCACGAAACTATCCGTTTCAACAGCACCAACTAATGGAACGACAACACACAAATATTTATCAATCACAATCTCCATACTACATGCAACAATACCAACAGCAGCAATCCCACCACCCACATCAACAACAATTTCTTGCGGCACAACGCTCTCCCTATTTGGAGATGCATTTAAATGAACAGGCGTCACTTGCTGCAACAAATCCAAGCGTTTACACCGACTCCGCCAATCTCACTCTACAACAACTTGAGCAGCAGCGACAGTTGCACCAACGGTTGCACTATCAACAAATACCAGCAGAAAGACAAAATCTCCTGTCACCAACACAATGTCGTGACGCTTACTCAACAGACGAAACTACAAGTTTGTTATTCCAGCAACAGCATAAATCATATCCTAATGCACAGGATGCACTGCAAGTGTCAAATCAGCGCAACGCAACTAACCCATCCGAGTCGGTGCACATAAATCCAGCAGAGTATTCGCACAATTTTAAAAACGACTTGGGTCAGGTGCCAACTCCTTTAAATAATGTTGCGCAAATATCTGAAGAGGAGGTCAATACCGAGGAAAGTGGCAGAGCACAACTTGTCATCTCACCGCCAATGCTAAGTGCCACTGGCACTGACAGTGGCGTAAGTAGTTGCAGTGGCTCTTCGAATTCCAACTATCAATGTGTGGATGATAAGGATTTTATTTGTTTAAATAAAGAAAGTTCCCCACAATATGAATCGGCACCTTCAGACAGAGAAAGTAAAAATTGTAACGAAAATATCAAAATCAAAAGTGAAAAGATAGAGGAATTGCAAGCAACAATTAAGACGGAAGCTGTGGCAAATGGGGTAACGGAAGCAGATATCAAGGTTGATATTGATGAAGTCGAACTAATAAAGGTCAAGACAGAGGAGAATCCTAATGATGAAGGTAAGTGAATCTTTGAGAAGAAACTTATTTATGTAATAAAAATTATATGAAAATATTTGTATATTTGTGTATTTGTATAACTAGTCTATGTGTGTGTTTTGTAGTTCACTTAATTGTGTGTGTGAAGATATATGATTGACAATATATCACTGAGTTTTTGATTTGGAAATTATGCGAATGTCCACATATCTGCTAGTAGTAGTGGAGGTTTCTGCAGTAAAGTGGGAGTAATCGATTATGTTGAAAAGCTTCAGTGCCCTGTCGCGTATATATAGTTAGGTTCTCGGCACGGAAATTTCTAATCAAAATCGTGGCCTGATGTATCACGCTGCTCTAAGAATTCATTTAAGCGCATGAAATTAGCATTACTGAAGGCATTTTAGAGTAGAGTGAGTGTATGTGGTATATATTTCTATATTTCCAAAAGTGATTTTGGGAATATGGATACCAAACTATTTGTTTATTAATTATTATTTCTTACTTATTAATTTTTATTAATAATTATTATTAATATGTTCTTGTTCCACTATAAGATGAAACATAACATGGTTCTGAACTAATGCTCAGATCATTTCTTTTACGCTAATGCACTATGAGAAAATTAAATTTTTATATTGTGTTTCAAATTAAATATAAGGTTTTTTGTTTTGTACTAAATTTACAAGACTAACGGATTTCTACATCATACTAACTTATCAGTGTTTAAAACTATAATTCTAGTATACCATGGTCAGCATCATTGACTTCACTAGTTTTGTAGCCTTCCCAAAATAATACCTTAATAATTAATATCTAAACATTGTTTACGATTTTCTCGTAGGCGGAGTAAAGAACATCTACAATAAACTTATCTAAAAATCCTCATCCAAGTACACGAAAAACAATACCATTTCGTTTTTGTGAGTGCATAAGTACATATAAAAATATAAAAATATTGGTTTTTAGTTTAAATTCTACTTTATTTAAAAATTTATAAACATAAACAAAAACTCATTAATTTCTGACTAAAAACTTATTTAACAATTAAATGATTTTCAACTTTCATGCCTCATTGCTTTCGTCCCTCCTCACCACAATTTCAAATTATTTAAAATTATTGCTTACAGTGGCGCCAAAATGTTACAAAATCATAAATAATTGATTAGGCATTCCTTTGTGGATGGTAATTTACATTGGCAAGCGGATTGAGTAGATCTTTTTAATTTGCTGCACATCCCATCGTACTTGCGACATTCTCAAGTGGAATTATGACATAATTTCCGAATTTAATGAACTCCCCCGTTTGGGTCTTCACTCAGGGGTTAGTTAACAGTGTGAGTGTAGGTACTCGTGTGTTCGGGTAATATAAGCATGTGATATATTAGCATTTTTCTTTTTTTACATGAATGATTTGATTTTGGCTTAATTTGTCACGATGTTGTAAATTGATTTTTATTTTAATAATATTATAAGGTACTAATATTAAGGTACTGAAAAAAGTTTATCTTAATTAAACTAATTCAGAGTACTTACAATAATAATTAAATCTAAATTATGATAGATTTTAAATAATAAGTAAAAGTTTCAAAATTTATTATATGTTGTGAATATTCACGTATCCGTTCATATTCGTTCGTCTCGAAACTATCGATGTTATTAAAGTATGGGTTTAGCATCTCCAAAACTGGTGTGCCTACTTCAGCGGATGCAGGGGGATTGCTCGAATGTCGTTTATCCCTTGGAGAAGTTATTCTATTTTCGTTTGACTTCATGCTGTAGTAGTTTCGTTGATGGACTCGTGGATTCACATAAGCGTGGATTCACATAAGTGGTACACGTTTTTATAGCGATCTGCTTGCTAGAAGTCCGACGACAGCTTTCAGCCACACCTTACATAGTAAATAGACATCAAAATAGAAACTCGACAACGTTGACCATATTCTTGTTGATTCGTCCGCCGTCTTGAATTATACACTGCCTTTGTTTGAGGACGAAGTTTACTTCTCCGCCTTTTTGGTCTTGTGCTTTTTGCTGTGAAAAAAACTGATGCATGGAATATTTTTATTAAAACTTTGTTTTTCACTTCTCTTGCATATTCAATTATATTCAATAATTACATATATTAAGTAATCAATAAGATAAACTTTTGAGACCCATGGGGTGAGACCCATAGCAAAACTGCAGAGTTATTGTCATTCCAAGGAATGAGTGTTAAAAGCATGGCTTAATCTGCTCTTCCTCTTCCTCTTCTTCAACAACTGTTCAAGTTGCAATGTGTGTAGGCAATAGTGGCATGCATCGCCACACAATTCGTTGTACATATGTAGGTATATATGGAAGGAATGTCAACATGCATGCCATGTAAATGAACTTTAAGCGCAAAAAGTAAAAAGTGTTGAACGCTCAGTCCTCATCCTCAGTCAGTCATGCAAGTATTTATGTAACGTCATAAATACCGAAGTGCTTTTATATGTGAATTAATATACATACAAACAGAACATAGTTCAACTGCAGCGTATGTGTATGTATATGTGTGTGTAACAGAAAATCAATGACCAAAATATATGAAGAAGAAAAATGTTAAACTCAACGAAATGAAAGTAATGAAAAGTTTATTTAAAAACAAGTTGAAAATTTATAAGTGTACATTTTTCCTATAATCAGAACACATACGTACATACGTACTTACACATACGCGAGGGGTTCACCAAAAAAAGGCGCAACTTTTATCACATCCGTTGCTGTCCGCGCACATTGCATGCAGCAACACAACAGAAGCTTATTACCTTAAGGAATTAAAAGTTACGCTTTATGACATACGGCATATGCAAAAACAATGTTGCGAGCAAGAATGCGAATACGTATCCGAATGTCAAGCGAAACACAGCTACAGCCCTCTCTGCCACACAAGAGAGACATTAACTTTTCACCCTTCCCACTTCAGTCAATAATGACAAACTAAATATGCTGGCGCTGTAGTATGTGACGCGTTTATTAATCAATATACACAATAAAAACTTTTTGACACTTGACATTACCGTTACCGTTCAAAACACTACCGCAAAAGGTTATAGTTCAATACATGGGCCCACAAATTTTTGACTGCAAGCAGTTATTTATACATTATTTCAGTGTATATACATATGTATATGTATGAGGTTTAGTTAATAATTTTGTTGATATTTTTATGGCTATTTATATTTTTATTTTAAAAAGTCAATAAAAACATGCTCCAGAGTTAACAACAACAAAAATTAAACTGCCATAACTAAGTCCTTTCGGTGTGCATGTTTGTGCATGTATTTCCTCTGCTGCTGTGTTCAACGGTGTTAAAAATGCATTTTCCAATGTCTTTCACTTTTGTACTGAATTCAGAAAAGTGGGTTTCTTAAGAGAGAGAGAGAGTGAGAGAAAGAGAGAGAGAGCTTTACTATCTGCGCTCCTTCACATCAGTCAACTCTTTTTTTATGTACCACAATGTTGTTCACGCACATTGAACTAGTTAGCATATAAGTTGAATGCCTTGAGTATGATCAACAAGTTGTTGTGGTGCTGTGGTGTTGTGGTGCTGTGGTGTTGCGGTGGTTGTTAGCTGAGTGTAGATGGAGGTAAACAAACACATACATGGTTGGTACATTGCTGCATGAAACAACGAACTTTCATTGTACGTATAAGTGATGTGATGTAATATAATATTTAATTTTAAAAATATATTTAATATAATAAGAGACCTTTATAGTTGTTACCTAATTTGCAATATTCCACAAAAATAACACTATCCAATATAAAACTTTTATTTTTTTACTTCTTTTTATATTTCCTTCACAAAAATGGAATAAATGATCCAAAAAAAAAAAAAACAGAGCAACTGTGGCAATGACTTACTCGTCACTCGTTGTAAGACACAATTGTCGTACTGACGAGACACTTAATAAATAGTAGTTATAGCGACCGATTAACGGCTTCCTTGAATGGTTACTATCGCAGCTATGGGTTAGAGAAGAAAGAGGAAAGTATTATCTATCTACACTTTGTCATAGTCCGGCACTCACTAAAAGACGCACATCAAATTTATGGTCTGTCTTTCTAAAATGTCAATCCAATATCACTAGTATAGGCGTTAAGGACATTGTATGCTTCATTAAAACAACAAAGTGGTTTTCTGCTCCAGTATAGGGTTCCCCTGAAAAAATTGGCATGCTATTGTACTTATATAGATATCACAACTGTAGTATAATAATCTTTTAATTTATATTAATTATATAATAATTTCTATATATTTATTTATATCAGACGAACTGTAACGTGTACCTACACACCTACATATGAAATAATTAATACTAATGTATACTAATACTAATGTGTTTTTTATTTAATTTATTTAAAATTCTTATTGAATGTTATTTTTAAGCTAACAATAACAATTATTTTTAATTTTTTTAAAATATTAAAGTGGAACAATTGGACACCTTCAAGCCAAAACTTGACTCAAATGAACAAACTGGCTCTATAAGTATTAATTCAACAGAAGCTCCCATCTCAACGGTAAGTAAGGAAAAAAAACATTTTATATTAATATTATTATAATAAGAATTAAAAAAAACTAAAAGTAAAAATCTAACTAAATCTAAAAATATGTTGATAGTCATTTTCAGTACACACGTGGCGTATGAGTAACAATTTTGTATAAAACTGGACTTAGCATAACATGAACTGTTGACTTTTTTATTTATTAAAATTTAACAAATTTAATGAATAATTTAAAAAATTTTATATTCGTAGTGAATATATGCAAATTAATAAGTGTGTGTAATGGCAACAGAAGCATAAATGTATCGATCAGAAAAATTTTTGGAGGTACCTTCCACATATTCTACTTAATTTTTCTTACATAAATTTGTTACACATTGCATTATTTGTGGTAACCAGCATCTCCGTCGACTCTATCCCCTTACTTCTAGTCAGTTACAGAGTGATTGAATCCAAGTATAGATATGATAACCCTGTTTTAATATCAATTACTAGTCAAGGCACAAAAACTGATGGTCAGTCTTATATAAAATATTTTTTTATATAAAAAATTTGTTAATTATTCTGCCGGTTTATATAGAAGGCATACAATTTGGAAAAAATTAATCGAAATATATACGCATGTGCATTTCTGTGAACAATTAATTTAGGGCAAGCAAATGTGCCACGAAAAAAAATGAGGTAGTCGCCCGCATCACAGGCTTGATGAAGACTTTAAATGGATTTGAAGTTTCCAATGATGCCATTGCAATGAAAGCAACTCTATCGACCGGCTTGAGTACATCTACTCAAATTGTGCACCCAAACTCTTTATTCTATTTTATTCTTTCATTTACCCAAAGCTCACTCTTTCTAAGAGTACAAAAAACAAAAGCTCTCAATTTGATATTAAGGAAAGCAGGAATTCTTGATAAATTATTTAAAAATTGCAATTCTGTTCATCATATCCTCGTAGTGAACGCAACCACGACAAACAACCCGTTATATTCACTTAAACAATTTTTATTGCTAATATTTACAGAGTGTAATGTGACACCGGAGTATTTATTGCATGTCTATTGATTTTTGACTTGTACGAGTAATCGGAGCACGACAATTTTGAAAACTCGACAAACTAAATGAACTCAACTCCACTCCTTGTTCTTAGAATGCCTTCTAGACAGCAATGAAGGAAGGTTGATTTTTTAATTTTGTTTTACGTAAAAGTTATGAACTTTTTTTTCATCAAATGCTTGCCTTGTAATGCCATAGGGAATAGACTATAATTTAGGGTAAGTTTTATTGCGATTTTATACGCCTCAAGCCACTACTACATATGCTGTAGTTTCATGGATTCAAAATATATTCAGTTCAGTTCCTTTACTATTATTAGTTATTAAATAATTAACTTAATAGTACAAAAATTTTATATATATAATGTCTAGGGATATTTTCGCTTTTTTACAAGTACTAAAAATTATTAAGTTGTTGTGAGAATGTTTATATGATTAAGATTTCAACCTTTATCGAAAGACTTCAACATTTTAAATATGTTCATTGTTGATGTAACCCATCACATAGAGCTGTTTGGCGAGACCTAAGCGGTAGTGGCGAGTAGCTCTGAGACGTTAAACCCATATATGTACATTTGTTGAGTTAATTAGTTGCAGTGGTTCTTTCGCTTCTCATAATTACCAATTATTCGTCGTTCTAATACTACATTCATCGGAGGGAGAATATGACTTGGTGTTAAATTTAAATTTCATTTTAAATTTTTTATTAAAACAATTTATTTTTAAGCAGCAAACAATATATATTATAGAAAATATATAATTATTATACAAAAAATTTATAAAAAGTAAATGATTCAAGTATTTTATTTTTATTTTTTGTGTGTTAAACATAATATTTTTATTTAAAGAATTCTTCTCCAACAACTGATCGAGCACTTACTCCGCGCCAGCATTTATCAACGAATTACGGCTCCAAAGCGCAATATTCAACGAATAGACAGTTTGATGATAACAGTTGGTCACCTTTTCCAACTTCACCCAGTAATTCCATTCAGCATAATAATTTCAAAAGCATATCTAACAATAGAAATTTGACTCCGTCGCCTATACCTATAGTTCCACAAAATTCACCTGTTGACTATTCTATGCAATCGATAAAAAAGAAACATATTATAGAATATGATTTAATACCAAGCAAAAAGAAGACGAAGCGTAGATTCAAAGCTCACGGAAATGAAAAAAATCCACATGAGGAAATACGTGTACGTACATAAGCAAATATGTAAACAATATAAACTAAACAGTAATTATTTATTTATTTATTTATTTATAACCAGAACACGAAACCATTACCAGGATTTCAGCAGGCATTTGGTACAACTGAAATTGGACGCTTTTCGGAAACATTTTTATTCAACGCTGACAATGCAACAAATTTCTTAGGAGACATCGAACATCAAGCAGAGTTCTATCCAGAATACTCTCAACAGTTGTCGGCATATGAGAACGTTGATAATAGGAACACTAATAATGAAACACACTATGAGAATTTTCCGTGCAACAATACATACAATATGACGCCATACGAGAGATATTTGAGAGCGAATAAAAGATTAAATGAAATAAATTGCAACGATAATGATTATTAATGATTTTTTTTTTTAATTTAATATCATAATTATGTACATAAGAATACATAAGAAACTCAAAGATCAAAATGAAAAAAGTCGAATTAAGTGTGCCTTTTCGGTCAAAAATAGCATTTTGTAAATAAGAAATTAAAATTCGAACAAAATTTAATTAATGTGTAATTTAATTGAAGTTATTAAATGTGAATTCAATAGCCGTAGTATATTGTTAAAAATTTGAATGTTTATTATAAAAATTTTTGAAATAGCCATAAGAGAAACACTTTTAAATTATAATATTAACAAATTAAGTTTAAACATGAATTTAATTAAAAATTCAATTATCTTGTTTTCACTTAAAGTGCAAAAACAAATTATAAATTTAGATTTTATATATAACAGCACTTAAATTAAAACGAAAGTTCATTTTAGTCATCCCTTCCACTGCTGACTATATATCGAATAGAATAGAATAAAAAAAAGAATATATCAAGCAAACTTCTATATATTTCATATCAAATTTAGTTTGAATGTATTTTTCATATCATATCTCCTGATATAAATATTTATTATTAATCATTTGTAATAATTTTTTGAAGTTTCTTAACCAGTTTATTCACATTCACAGTTTATTCCAATTCCAAACATTTAACATACACAGGATTCCCCATTTTATAGTTTCAAAAGTAAATGAAAATAAAATACACTTGTAATTGGGTTTTCAATCTAGTTGTAGTAATTGTCTTACGATATATTTTGACTGGATCATTTTCATAATGATTTCCTTTTGATAACTTGTTGGTAAATAAGTGGCCATATCACGCCCATAACTTAATGGATGTTTGATGTGATGATGTTTCAAAAAGTGAGAAGTTGGAGGGTTGTCCGTTTAGACATGATCATTTTCACAACTTCATAGTTATGCAAAGTTACACATAGTTAACGCACATCCCCAAAACCTGAAACTACATTTACCATAAATTTCACTTATTTAGGATCTTTTACAGTACTCTGTTGATTTAAGAGTCTAAATCAATAGTATTAACATCTACATACATTTACTTATTTGTTCATTTCCCTGTCTAAATGCAATTCAAAAGCAAACGAAAACAATTTAAAAATTTATTTAAAATACTAATAATGAATTCAAAAAAAAACGTGGAGACTTTTATAATTTTAAAACATTGCCCTTCATTGTATTATTTTTAATACACTTATTGCTTCTTTTAATTGAGTAAAGCAACAAAACGTAAACGTCGTGAACACAGCCAATTTATATAGCATGTAATTCCTTAGATTCCGAATGTGTAAACACTATTTACATACAATATACCATCTAACAATGAAATATTTAATTTAATGAAATATTTAATACCTTTTGAGAATTCATACAAATGTGATTGATTAACGATAAATTAATTTAAAGTGCAAACATAAGAGGAAACAATATCTAATCCTCTTCTTCACAGTATTTATTCTTTTACATATATGGTTTTCAATTAATTTTATATTGAAATTTCATTTTTGATTAATAAAAAAAAATATCAAAGAATATATTAACAAAAATTATATATATAAAACCTTAAGTTAAAGGTTAAAGGTAAATAAATGATATAATAAACAAATGCAATTTTGTTTCAAATTTCACATTTAATTTAATATTTAATATTTATTTTTCATTTAAAATACCTGTAATTTATTAAATATTGAAAAACTGTGCCAAATAACATAATTATTTATAAATAATTGTTTAATTAATTATAATTTTGTTATATCGTTTTTTAATTTAGAACTTAAAATATGCATAGGAAGATCACACGGTAAATCACATAATTTTTGTATTAATTCTTAATTAGCGATAACTACACAAGTGTTTACACCACGGCAATTCATTTGAAGAAGAACAAAATTAGACAAAAGAAAAGTTAATAATTTTTGTCAGAATAATAATATGAAATCAATAGATACACATTGCATTTTAAATGTACATTATATCTGATTTTAACTAAATTGCTGCTAAATACCGCGTATTTAATTGTAATATTTTTAATATACAATAATTTATAATAATCCAATTTTACTACAGCTTAACGATATTGATTTTAAATGATTTTTTTTTATTTAAATTCTTTGTTAATGTAATGCAAAATATTTGTGTTTTCTTTTACTCTGAATAGAAATGTTTTTTTTTTTTGTTTTTACTTACACGGATTAATTTACTAAATGTATAACAATAAAACAGACTAATCACTTCTTAGATTTGCACAATTTGAGAAAACAATATCAAAATTAAAAAGAAAATATATCACATAAAATATAAATTAATAGACCCAACTTAAATTTCACTAGTGTAAACATAGCTTTTTCTTATAACTGATAAAATGTAATCAAATACTTCACTAAACAGATTTATGTAAATAAAAAATACTTTATTGTAGAATTTAATTAATATAATTAATGACTTTAAATATTATGCATCATTTTAAATAGTAAAATTAAGAATATTTACATATATATGTGCCATTAATTACCATTAGTCAACATTTTTATTATATATATTAAAAAATAAAATATTTATGGAATAATTATTGATATTTTAAATTTTTTACAATTTTCACACGTGAATTTATAAATTTATTCAAACTTTATTATATATAATAACAAAATTTATATAAATTTTAATGTAATTATTTTAAAAATTTTAATATGTACATTTTTGATTTCAAGTGCCTTATTAATTTTTGTTTATTTTTTAATTTTGTAGTTTCCTATTTTAAACTTATGAATTTATAAAATATTTGTAAATATTTTAATTAAGATTTCAAAATAAAAGAATTGTTTTTTTTTTAAATTTAAGTATTGTTTTTAACCAATCCAAGGCAGTAAAAAATAAAATTTTTAACTCTGTTTTAATAAAACTATTTTATTGCTTTCAAATATTTTAATTATATACTATATATATTTACATAGATACGTATATATGTATTGTTTTCTAATAAATCAAAAAATTTTATTTAAATAATGAAAACTGTAAAATTTTCATTCGAAATAAATGCATAATAGTAAATATACTGTTAACAAAAATTTTGTTTAAATTTTGTATGTTTTTAACATGTTAAACTTGCAATATAAGTAATTGAAAAATATCTGGAGATCTGGTATATATGACATTACAATAACCGCTCTTTACTTATTGTTTTTTAAGGATCGTGTCTATTGCGTTAGTAGCTTGATCTCCTTGACTCTGTTCCTCAGATTCGGCGAGCCGTTCAAAAAATTCCCTACAGTATATCTTCATTTCGTTATTTAAATAGGTTGGAAATATCGCTGAGAGGAAACATTGCAATTTGTTAAAAAAAAAACAAAATAATATTTATATAACTTACTATTGAATTTAACATATAAATCACCAAGTATTGTTTTTTCAACTTTCGGCATTTGTAAGTAACTTTTAGGGCATTTAGGTAAACCTTCTCCGATGTATTTTTTAATGTAGTACGGGTGAATGACATCATTTATAGCAATTTTTAAGTTTCTATTGTCTAAAGTTTTAATGTTGAAATTAACTCCAACCAGCGCATCACATAAATCGATATCATGGGTATAAATTAGGTCAGTATGGTTGTGACGAACAAATCTAAAATAAAACACATTTAAAGTATACAGCTTTGATTCTAGTAATAATAAATACATATATTATAGAATGCACCTTTCGTTTGGTTTATCTGCAATAATGAACACTATATCTGCTGGAATTTTAGTGTGACAGCGATCGCCTTCTTCTTTAAATGTAAATCGCGTGCCCGCAGTAACGCCTGGTGGTATTTCCAGAGTTAGTACTTTCTTTCTATTCATTAAAAAAAATGAATAAAACGAAATGTGTACTTTGTTTGAAGTTCTAATCATTATTAAAATTATATATATTTATTTTATTTATACCTCTTTTCTGTAAGTATTTGTTCATCGTCTATAAATTCCTGCCTATAAACAGTCATTAATTTAACGCAGCCGAAACGCACTTCTTTCAGATCTAATTCAATAATTTTTTCCTCTGGAGGATCTTTTGTACGTACTCCAATACCATATTCCTTTGAGGTATACAATGACGGTGGGTTAGTTATAGCGTCAATAATACCCGCATAAGGTGAATAACTTCCAAATACAGATTGATATATCTTCATATGATCACCATGATATTGGTATGGTGGAAAATAACCATTTGGTAGAAGTACACCTTGTAATAGGCCTGTTTCACCGTAACGATCATAGATTGCGCGATGTAGTTCATTTCCTTAAAATAAATTGATTCATTATTAATGAAGACGTCATATACAAATGTATGTACGCAATATGTATGCACATTGAAATTGTACCTAATATATCATATGCCATGTTTATATATTCCCATTGACGATTTTTTGGTAAGGGCTTCATATGTGTCATATCGGCAACATCCGCACCTTCAGGTACAAATTCGGTATTAGTTTTTGGATCTCGATTCGGGCAAAGCTTAACTGCTAGTTTGCGATAAGCAAGAGCTATTTCCTCTTTTGGAGCACTGCGAGGAATATTTAAAATTGCGTAGTAATCTAATTCCGAATAATTCATTTTGATATTTTTATTGTTAACGTTACGACTTTAAGTGTTTCCAAATGTATGCAATATTTGAAAATAATAAAGAATGACGAAAATGTTTTAAATCTTTTTTTTAAAATTAAAAATTCATATGTTCAAATTTTTTTTTTAACATTTATTTCCTTGCATAAATACATAAAAAATTTCTATATATTAGTATACAATTAATAATAGCATTACTATGCTATTAAAACGAATATGGCAATATTTTGGATACGTTGATAAGTGCACCACAGACAATTTGTACGATTTGCTGTGCGAAGAGGTTTATTTAGCTATTAATCAAACGCTAAAATCCATATTTTTTGTTTTTTCTATATATAAAGTACAAAATTTGAATTTTGAAAACATTGCCTGGAAGTAAATATTTTTCAATAATATTTCCCACAGTGCATATTATAGCCATCTATTTTCAACACAGTGCATATTATAGCTATCTCCTTTCAACACATACAGTAAGTGAGTGGTGTAAAACTCAAACGTCAAAACATTCGCGGTGGATATTTATATTGACTTTTTTATCTGAAAAAAGTGCAGACGTCGAAAACAAAATTGTAAAATTTTTATTTTTTAGTAAAGGTCATAGTAATTTAACTGAAACCATTTAAAAAATAACAAAATATGTAATTGCATTAAAATGTTATTGAATTGTTAACACTACATTTTGTGGATCATATAAAAAACTTACTGTTAAAAAGTAGGTGGAAGGCGTTAGTTGTTGCTTAGCCTAATTTAATTAGTGTGTGCCCAAGCGTTAACAAGTTTTACTACACAAAAAATTGTACACATCGATAGTACATTAAAACGCAAAATGCATTTGAGCGCCGATATATCGAGTGCTCTTCAGCAAATTGAGGCAGTTAAGAAAGGCATTGATGATTCTGATGATCCAAAGCTCCAAATGCAAACAGCGGAGAGTCTTAAGACTATATTGGATATTCTTCAAGACCCAGTTTTCCGCACGATTGTACACGTTCAAGACTCTCTGTCCGAATTGAATGCACAATTGGTTCAGCATCCATCGATGTTACCAGCTGACTTTGATATAGACGTTGCTGGGAATTTGGTATTGAGCGTTAACGGAGGTGATGTTGTTTATGATTTCGAAGAGCGTTTATCCTCTGGACCCTTATCACCACGTTCTGGTGCAGTTAGTCCTGGTAGCGGAAAAAGAACAATAAATGATGCAATGAATACTGCAGAAGCAGAAGATCTAAACCAACGACCACAATCACAAAATTCAAAATATCCAAACACTATTGATATATCTACTGCCAATTATGCACAGGTTCAAGCTATTGAACTTGTAAATGATGGAACTGGTTTAGGTTTTGGTATAATAGGAGGACGTTCAGTTGGTGTTATTGTAAAAACCATATTACCAGGCGGTGTTGCAGATCGTGACGGACGTTTACGTTCGGGTGACACTATTTTGCAAATTGGAGATGTTAATCTTCATGATATGGGTTCAGAACAAGTTGCTGCTGTATTACGTCAATCTGGAACACATGTACGTTTAGTGGTAGCAAGGGCAGTAGAACCATTGACACCTCCAACAGTTATACAATGTTCTTTAGAAGCCGGAAGTGCTATTGTCCCAGTTCGTGTTTTTGCTGATCCAGCTGAATTAGAACGATACCTTATATCTACTGGATATCCGGAAATATTTGGTGAAAGTTCCACAGCATCTACACCGCAAACCACAACAGAAGGTGAGCGTTTTGTGTATCGAAATGGCAAGTCGTTACATTATCCAACTATGGATATACATGAACTGCTTACACTACCAGAAACTGAAAAATTCCAAGTAGAGTTAACGAAAGATGCTAATGGCCTTGGTATAACAATTGCTGGTTATGTTTGCGAAAAGGAAGAATTATCTGGTATTTTTGTTAAGAGCGTTTCTCCTGGGTCTGCGGCGGACTTGAGCCGTAGAATTCGTGTAAATGATCGAATAATTGAAGTAGATGGACAATCCTTGCAAGGATTCTCAAATCATCAAGCAGTTGAATTGCTTAAAAAATCTGGCCAAGTAGTTAATTTACGTTTGGAGCGATATTTACGTGGTCCGAAATATGAACAGCTGCAGCAAGCTATTGCAGCAAATGACAAGGTATCATCTACCATACCAACAACACCACAACGTGCAACTTTGTCATCACCTCTAACACCTGTTGCTTCACAAAAAGATGTTTCTTTATCGAATACAGGAAAACTACATAGTACTGAACCACGTGATATGACAACTATATCGCCTATACCAGCACCTGATTCATTTACTGCTGTTACTGGTTCAACAGTAGCAGCAACTACCACACTCAGTAGCTTTGGTTCTGGCAAAAAATTAATTTCTGTACGTGATTCTATTGATGGTACACCAAAAATAATACCAACTGATATGCCACTTGTAGCTTTGGGTAAATCAGATAATGAACAAATTGAATTCGAAGTATGCCTATTAAATTATATATAGAATAAAGTATTTTATAATTATAATTTAAATTATTTTGCAGGAACATGCACATGCCAAAAATTCTACTTTGCTTGCACGTCACAAATATTATGTTGAACCTGATCTGGCGCCAGAAGTTGAACAAGAGATAATACGCAAATGGAGAAAAGTAGTTGGCCCTGACGTAGACGTAATTGTCGCTCAAATAAAAAAATTCGCTGTAGGTGGTTTAGGGATATCTCTTGAAGGCACTGTTGATGTTGAAGGAGGTCGTGAAGTGCGTCCACATCACTACATACGATCGATTCTCGCTGATGGTCCAGTAGGAGTAAATGGTGTGCTTCGTTCTGGTGATGAATTGTTGGAAGTAAATGGAGAACGATTATTAGGCATGAATCATTTGGAAGTAGTCGCAATTTTGAAAGAACTGCCATTAGACGTACGTATGGTCTGCGGACGTGGTAAAAACGCATTGATGCCCTTTTCTGATGATACACTTAAGAAGCTAAGTAGCAATTTCGAAAACTTACTGCCCGCTTCTGATCGTCTTGTTAAAGCCAAATCGGATGGTAGTTTGGCCACTGCTGGTTCAGTAACTGATGACTCATTCAGTAAACCTAAGTCACGTTCTTTGGAACCACTTACTGGACTTGCTATGTGGGCATCTGAGCCACAAATTATTGAATTGGTTAAAGGCGATCGTGGTCTAGGTTTTTCAATACTCGATTATCAAGATCCGTTAGACCCTAACGATACGCTCATTGTAATACGTTCATTGGTACCTGGAGGGGTAGCTCAATTAGATGGTAGATTGATTCCTGGCGATCGCTTGCTGTTTGTAAATTCCATTAATTTGGAAAATGCATCTTTAGATCAAGCAGTTCAGGCATTAAAAGGAGCACCAAAAGGTGTGGTGCGAATCGGTGTGGCTAAACCTCTTCCAATGACGGACAATTCGATAAGAGGTGTATCTATAATAGCTAACAGTGCTTTGCTTACAGGCCCCTTAAAAGATGATGAAGCTGCTGAACTTGAAAGATCCATACAACTAAGATCAGCATCTACAATGGCTGCAGAACCAGACTTAATATCTGATTGGAGGAAATAAGTCATTTGTAACTTATTAATAAGAGCAGCTTGTATAATTCTGAAATCACAATTTGTTATAAACAATATAATCATTTTGCTTAGGGTAGTAACAATATCTCAATAGTTAAAGTTTACTTGTTGGAAAGTATATGTAATTATATTGTTTTATAAAACTTATGACATTCAATTTGTTGACCGTCCGTAGATAAAGTTTAGTTCTAAACAAACAAAATGTTCAATGCAATTTAATTTACATTCCAATAATAATTATTGAGCGATTTTTTTTATTTATATTATAATCACTTTTATTAAATATTTTATATGCATTAATTATACAAATAATTTATCTTATGTACTTATTTACTTTTTATTGTAAAATTAATAAATCTGTTATTCTTATAATAAATATATTTATGTAAACAATTATTTTTATTGAAAGTTAACAACATTACTTATGCTAAGTTGCTCTGTTAAGTTGCCGTTCGATTTTTTGGTTAGTTCGTCGCGAGAGAACTCTATCCCGTGCATAAGAAACTGTATAACTTAAAAATCCTACTATGAAGCAAATAATCTCAAATTTTATAAAATTTCGTTGATCAATCAAAGCTACGCGGTCGCAACTTTTCGTCACTGTTTCTCCACTTTTACAACGCAGTACTTCCTTATAATGAGTGTGTATGCAGACCCCAAGGCTCCGACTCACAATGTCGAAATCTGTGCATGGATGGCATTCTTGTATAACAGTATACTCTTCTCGTTTCCAACAAGTTGAATTGTTTTCAATTAAAAATTGCTGGGTTCTTCCATGTCGTCCCGTATCGGTTGCTAGACGCGACTCAATTATTAGTACAACAATAGTCACTCCAACCAGAAGACCGAGACCGAGCAACATATGTTGCTTTTGGCATGACTCAAGCATATTTACTGTTGCAAGATTATATATAAATCATTGCTACTTTCACAATTATTTGTTGATTTTCATAACTTTTGTCTCGCTGTGGATAATAACAGCTGTTCAAGATAGAAAATATTGCAGGGTTGATTTTGGGCGTAGTTATGTTTATTAGAAATATATAAAGAAAAATGGTGAAATAAAAGTTAATAAATTATTAAGTATAATGGGGTCATTATAATATATTCCTATTGCCTTCATTAAAATAGTTCATTTGATTTAGGTCGCTTATGCAACACAATGGGCCAATAGGCCTAAGTGGATCCACTAGGGATCACCGGTATAACCTAACCTAACCTAGGTCGCTTATGAAATTTGATTATAGTACAAAAAGCTTTTGTGCTTTTTAACTTTGTTAGGAATAAATCAAGATAAATTATATCAAAATTGTTGAACGGATTAAAAAATACATTACTCAAAATGGAAATAAACGAAATTTGAAATATTTGACACATGTAACAAAATGTAAATACACATAAACTTCTGCAAACATAAACTTCTGTAAACAATATGTTTGACTTCTTTAGTCAAACAAATATGAGGTACGAATTTTTTAAAATAATTTTTGTAAATGAATATTATACACAATATTTTTAAATTTTCTGTATTTTTCATGATCAATTAATTAATTTCTGCACACAAAACAAAACTAAATATTATTTGCTAATAAATGAAATTTAAGCAAAGAAAAACTCTTCTGGTTTTTTATATAACTCTCTGACATATAAAACCTCTTTCACATACATTAATTTACTTATGCCAATGGAAACGACCAAATCTTAATCTGATATTTTAATTTATATATTAATATAAATTGATTTAATTGATTTAAAAGTTAGTAAAGAATGTGTAGGCTTATCCTACTTAATTTAATTCTTTATTTATTAATCAAAGCAAGAAATAATTACTTAGTTTTATGTGTTGAAATTACACGTGTTTATTGTTTTTATTCTTAGTTTTCCCAAAACTGTAAAATGAATGACAACCTTCTTCCTACTCCATCAAAATATTATTATTAGTTTTTAAAAATTTTCTTTTTATGGCCAACTCATCTTATTTTCAATAATTTGCTTGTCCGTGTTTGCATGGCCAACCTATATCAATTTAAACATAAATGTGAATATGCAACCGCCACAAATGAAATTAGTTTTGAAGCAGTTACGCATTAACATTATTCTTCGTTTTATTCACCACATTTCACTCACGCTACTCTTTTGTCTATTGGAATTTCTGTGCATTTTTCTCAACTTTGCAGTCCTGATTTTTAATGAAATACTTTTGGCGCGATTTTTTACATTTTTGTTAAATTATAGCTTCAATTGTGTTATTGTTTTCTTTTGGCAATTTCAATTGAATTGAAATGGATGAACAAGATTTGAATAAACTTAAAAGGAGAATTACTTCAAGCTTCAAACTAAGTGGTTTCCTAATCCGTACAGACAACAGCACATTTCTAGCTGAGCAGTTGTTTCCGTTTGAGGAAACTGAAAGGGAAAAGTGGCTTACCGTGATAATCGAAAATTTGCAGAACCAGCGCCTTGAGACGGTACAAGTCGAACGTAGTGTGCTTGAGAAAGCTATTAATGAAATAAACCGTGTGGGTTTAGAGGAAGGTGAAACAGTATTTTCACTGATCAATTCGTACTCAATACCAAGATTTAATTACAACTCGCAAACAAAGAAATTTGAACGGGACACCACAGCACGAAAAATATTTGCGAAACCAAGTATGAAATCTGGATACCTGCGCGAACGATATGCTATGTTGTTGCAGAAAACTTTGAGGCACGAATTGTTTGCGCCAGCCGTGATAGAAGGAGGTGTGTCGGCTGATTCACGGGCTAAAAAGTTTAAACTACTCTATGCAGAAAATTTATTAGCATCATCGTCCGTAAAAGAAGCTGTTGTGTTAGGCTTACTTACACAGATTATAGAGGGAAAATTTTTTGTTGAAGATCCAACAGGTTATGTAGAGCTCGATTTAAGTGCAGCACGTTTTCATTCTGGATTTTTTTGTGAAGGTTGTTTTGTTTTGGCAGAAGGTACATTTAACAATGGTGTTCTCAAGGGTATGTGTTTTATATTGAAGTTAAGAATGATGCTTTACTTATGTGTCAACATTTATCGTAGTTGATGGATTAGGATTTCCTCCAGCGGAACCAGCATCGAGCAGCCGTGCATTCTTTGGTACTCAAAATACTTGGGGCGGAGATTCCACTAAACTCTTAAAATATTCTAATCGCTTGCAAGAAGTAGAACGTACAAACACGGAAGCAACAATAGTATTCCTATCAGATGTACGTCTTGACGCACCGAAAGTTATGGAGAAATTAAAAATGCTTTTTGAAGGCTATGATTCGTGTCCTCCGGCAGCTATAGTGCTGATGGGTCCCTTTGTTACAGCAAACCGTAATCACTACGAATTGCGAGACCATTTTACTGCATTGGGTGCCTTAGCGGCAGGTTGTGATCATTTAAAAAAGCAAACAGACCTCATTTTAGTGCCATCATCTGATGATCCTACTGCAGCAAATATTTTACCTCGTCCTCCATTACCTGCCTTACTAACAGCTGGTTTACAAAAGGCTTGGCCGCGCACACTGCTCGCGACAAATCCCTGTCGGCTACAATATTGTACACAACAAATTACTGTATGTCGTCTTGACTTAATGACTAAATTTTGTCGCAATACCCTACACTTCCCAACAGATACCGAAAATATTGATCAACATTTTGCACGTACAATCATATGTCAAGGCCATTTAACGCCTATACATCCAATCGCAATACCTGTGTACTGGGATTATGATCCTGCTTTGTGGTTGTATCCATTGCCCGATATTGTTGTTATCGGCGATTCATGCCAGTCATTTTCAATATCTCAGCATGGCTGTACAGTATTGAATACAGGTTCATTTGTGAAGTCTAAGTTTGGATTCAAAGTTTATATACCATCAACGCGCACCATCGAGGATTCTGAAATACCTGACCAGATGGAATAGTATCGTAGATTGTTGCTATATTTATATGTTATTATTTTTAAGCCCAATATATTTATTAATTTTTAAAGAACATTGTTGTAACATTATCAAGCCTTTGTCGCGACTTTATTAGTTTTTTATGCAAAGGAAGCATTTCCCGCTTTGTTGCTTGAAGTTATGAACTTATATCGGCAAAAATTTTTATTCATCCTGCAAAGAAAAAAATTAGGAGTGTGTTTGGTCTGATAAGAAAGCAGACATTATTCTAAATTTGCCATAAAATAAATGCTTCGCATTATTATTGTGGTTGACAAACCGTGATGGCACCATTATTTGGCTTCTGCTATCAGTGCAGCATGTGTTCCTCACTAGGCGAACAGTATGTGAAAATGTTGTAAAATATCAACTTAACGTGCGTTGAACGTTGCGCACAATCTGCTACGGTTCCAGGCGATGTGTTTAAATTGCGCTACCCTTACAACTGCTTCCATACTGTGTGCTCCTGTTGTTGTGCTGTTGTGAGTGTAAGGATCCTATTATTTTTGATGACTTAAAGCCGATTTAGAAAAATATTGTTTTGTTGATTTCTTTTCATGTGTGCGATGAACATTATTTTTCTTTCAGCGATGGTGGTTTGCGTTTTCGTTAATAATTTAATTTTTCGTTTTTCCAATATTAAATTTATATACTCGCCTGTTGAAGATGAGGAAAAGATTTGTATTTCCAGTTTCCCTAAATAATTTTACTAAAATTTTATTGTAGGTATTTTTCGTAGACAATTATCAAAATTAAATCCAATGTTAATAATATTATTTAATAACTGACTTTGAAAGGATTTAAAGTGGCTGGGTTGGGTATTGCAATTTAAGCGGAAAGTATTTCCCAAACGATTTAATATATTTATTTATTTATTTCTTATTTACCACATTAGTATGTAAATTGAAAAATTGCTGACATAGATATATCTAAGTTTAATTAATTAGACTTATTATCACATAAGTAGGCAAGGGGTATGTAATTATAATATAATTATAAAGTCATCAATTATAAATCCAATTAAATTATATAGTCATACTTGTGTACATAACTTTTTTATATGAGAAACAAGTGATTTTGAAAACTATATAAATATGTTATTTTAATCCATCGAAAATGCATTTAGTATATGAGATTAACTGGATAGGTTTTGAGCGGGGCAGTTAGTAGTAAGTATAAGTCAAGAAAAAATTGGTCAAAGGGTATTGAGAATTGGAATATAAAATGTTTCCATTTACGAGCAGCCTTGAGATGGGGTTAAAAGTTGGACTCACATGCCGATTTACTCTATTTTAATGTTGTTTTTTAAGTATTGGAATTTATAGTGTTTAGATGTTTCTAATTTATTTGCCTCATAAAGAAATAATTGTGGATAGTTATGTTAATTGTTAAGACTCCACACATAGATCTAAATAATTGTATAGTAAAGATCATGTGCCTCAATATTGTTCTATTGAAACGCAAACATATATTGTTCAATAGTCAGTGAATTTTGTCATAAGGGTTGGAAGAGTGTCGGCTTAAATATTTCAAATAAAATTTTATTTCAAATTTAATTTAAAATTTTACTACTTTTGTCTCAGTTATAATCGTTTAGAATATTCGTATTTGATTTTCGGAAAAATAAAATGATAAAACAAAACATGCCGAGTGTCAAATTTATGTTCATAGATGAATTCAAGATAAATAATTTGAAGCCACAAAAGCTCCTTTTACAGATTTCAAAACAATATTTAAATTTTAAAAGGACTCTGGTGGGGGTAGTGCGCAGAAGTGTTTACGAATTAAATGAACCAGAAGCAAGATTGTCACAATGCGAAGGGTAATTTATTTAAATTGGCCTTTGTGTTTCCTAAGTTGGCCACTGTAACTGTTAATCCGTATCCGGAGCAGAGGCAATGAAGTCATCATTATTGTCTGGTTTTGTATTTAATAAACGATATTGTTTTTAACGAAAGGAAATAAAAAATTGCTTAAAAATAGTAAAATAAAAACTTTTCACATATTCGTCTCAACTCATTGCATTAAGAGTAAATGTATATCCACAGAAGAATATATTGTATATTAAATGTAATTATAGAAGGTGTCTCAATTCAATTTTATTCAATTGCGATTTTATCTTCTGAAATTGACACTTAATATTTTTCTTTCAATTTTATGCCAATAAATCATAAATCAATAGTGTGCTTTTTTGCACAGAATGTACATTAGCCATGTCCAAATTGAGTGTTCAATAAAAATCGCCAAAGGACACACAGCAACAAGACAGATTTAGTGTGGGTCCACAATCATACAGATACACTAGGGTAATAAATGCACCCCACCGAATTGTCAGTTAATGATGTAAAAAACGATTTATTGTTGATATGCATACACACAGAACACAGAGATTCACATAAAAAGTGATATAAAAAATGCCAAAGCAAAACTGGGAAGTCACACTAGGGCAAATGATGTCCTTAGGTCAAAGGCATGAAAATTACTTATAAGCACTGCACCAAACCATGAAAATATAAGTTGTAAATATTTCAGTACCTATCATCCACCGCAAACTCGCTCTGGACTTTTGCTTGTTGACAAAAACATATTTAAATGGATTCGAAGAAAATATGTGTCTTTCGTAAATTGATCCTTTTCAGTACATAATTATATTTTAACAGCAGTTTCTAGTTTGACATATAAACTAATTTCGTTTAGTTTATAGAGCAAATTCCATTTTTTAAAATCGATGACCTTTTTTTAAGTGAATTTCGAATTATTATTTTTAAAATAAATAAATGGGATATTAACCAGATATTCCTGCTGTAAATAATTCTTTAATCGATGCTAAAGTCATATTTACGAACTCAAACAAAATTTAAAAATATATATATTGCATATAAGAAAATTCCTGTGAGTTAATAGATAATAAATAGGTGTATAGTATGAATAAATAAAGTAATAGATTGCCAACGTAAAGCATTCTAAACTAAAACCAACGACCTTCAGTAAGTTTTTATTAGAGGACACTACCTGGACCACACAAAGCTATTCGTCAACTATTTATTCATTTATGTAGAAATATGTAAATATGTAATATCTAAGTTTGTAATATTTAAAGCACATAATGTACTTATGTATAAATTAGATATAACAAGTAAGATAAGTCACAAGATAGGTTTTCACTGTATTACTAAAATGATGAAATTGATGCCAATAGTTTCGTTTGGTTATGGTCATTGACATTAAATGAGCATTCACATTAAAGCTCAAGACTTACGAAAAATATTCAGAGGTGATGATGCTCAGAAGCACTTAAACTTATTTTGCTACGAGAATTACCATAAAGATGATACAATTATCAATTATCATCCTTATTTACATTTTTAAAGTGTAAAGCAAGCAAAAAGGAAGTCTATGAGTACTAAATACCATATCCCGTAGAGTGAGTAACAGATATTAACATTTCAGAGTTTAATAAATAAATTGTTAAAGTTAATCATAAAATTAAAACCGACAAAATATATAATTAGTTGAAGAACGAATGGATAATGTTCGAAAGTTCTATATTTTGGTATTGTACTGCCCTTAAGGGTGACATAAGTAGATTTCAAAGTCAAACTTTCAAAGTGGACTTTAACGAGTACTTAGTAATATATAGTATATATTAAATAAATTAAAACGAGAAACCTAAATGAGAACATTCAAAACCTTCGTATATGGTACTTTGTTTTGACATATAGTAGCAAAAGCTACCAACATTTGTGGGTAAATGCATATTTTTGGTATGCGTTGTTATCACTAATGATCTGATAGATCAAATACACCAAATTTATTGAAAAAAAAATTATCTTACGGTGTTTTTCGGTAGGACTCAATTAAAATAACGAATGTAGCTTTGCAATCAAAGCCTGAAGACGCAATGAGGCAGAGAACAACTCTAGATGATTTCACGAAGAAGTTTCAGTAAGAAAACTGTCGCATCTATTAGAAAATTTTTATAACACTCCCATAAATATTATTACAAAAGGATATCCTGTGCAAATAGTTTAAGTTCTTAACTGTATGTAAGGACAAAACATAGCATTCATATTATTACTATGGAGAGCACAAAATTAATATGACATTAACTTACACTATTTAACACCAACCTATTCGAAAAGCTTGTGTTCATATCTCAGATATTCAAATGAAAAAAATTACTTCTCGTTCTGTTATTCATGAATAGTAATCCTTTCAAAAATTTTTAGGATTTGGAGATGAAGCTCCAATTAATGAATACAGATATATCAGTGTAGGTATTATTTTAATAATTATTGTAAGAAAATTTCTTACAGTTTTCCAGACAATAATATATGCTGAATAGCCCATAACTCGGTTGTATGTGACTTATTAAAGTTGCTTCTCACAGATATAAATATTTATCTAATTAATGTTGATATAAGTGATTGTGAACTTAAAGTGACTTTAATCGTTATTTTTTTAATTCTTAAAGTAAATATATTCAAGCATTGTCTTGCCTACTGTTTTCTGCTTTCAGGAAACTTACCGAAGACGTTGCCATAACATTTAGAGCTGACTATAATAAAAACCAATAATAAACTTAAATAGTTACATTTCATTTCATCCTCATAAGTTGCTATCGATTGCTTGTAAGTTTTTGGACATCAATCATTCTGAAAACGTACGAAACCATAAGTGATTGTGAGTTCCGTTTCCGATTGTATGCGCATACAAATAAAAATTCGTCCACGTTGAGATTAAAAGGTGTCACTGGTATTGTGTATGCGTTGGCGTTGATTTGTCTTTAGAGAATCATTGAATAATCAATGATCAAAGGGTGAAGTCTGATATACGTTATTAATAAAGGGTTGGAAAAACCAAAACATAACGATTGCTTGATGTTGTGCCAACATTCATTCCGGAAATTCATTCAAAATCAAGTACAAATGACTTTGCAGCAAACATTTTTTTATAAAAAATGAGTTATTCAAACACATTCGGAAACCTTTTTTACTTCGGAATACCATATGGCACCTGGTAATTGACACGCCTAGACTTCAAGTGCGTGTACAAATAATTGCACTGCCACATATGCAGCTCGACCATCATTTCAACTTGAACAAGGATTTTTTCTCCTAAGTGAAGTATATGTGTATGAATATGTAGAAAATATAAATTATTAAACGTTTAATTATTTGAAATGTGTAATATGCTCAGTGGATTGTTTAATCCTTTGTACGCAGAACCGCAAATATTGGATGAATTTTTGCACATATGGCCGAATTGTTCAAAAAAGAAGCCGAAAATAAATGAGTTTCCGAAGCGAATAAAAAAAATTGTATAAGAATTTAATGGGCTCGATTCACGTGGAATATCAAAGACATGAATTTCCTCACTTTTATACTCAGTACATTAGAATTATTAGAAGCTTCAAAGACAGACTTTGTAATTCGGTTGCAGACCAAAGGTTTTAATTTTTCACATTTATGCCGTTTTCACTGGATTTTATACATAGTGATTGTACCCACAAAGCGTAAACCCACGGAGACCAATTTATTCATCATTATCACATTTATTAATAAGTATTGTACTTTAGATTTGAATGGACATGTTAGATTTCAGCAATTATCAGATAATTCTCATTTACTCATCGGATATGGTTCCACGTTAGTCCAACGCATATGCATAACATTAAAAATCAGTATAAGTGAACATAAGCTCATCATAAGCTTAAAATTAAATGTTTATCTTCTAATCCTCATGAGACAGTAAGCAAATGAATAGCCAAACCACATATGCATATACGGACTTCAATCCACCATGGGTGGCCGCCGTGTCCATATTGATAACAGAAGCGAATTTCAGTCCAAATTGATGCCCAAGCAATTATAGTCTAAGACCGAAAGCATGCCAAAC